GCATGGATAGTGGCTTCAAGGGGGTTCAAGATGAATCTTCTAACTGTCAATACGTAATTTAGACTTATTCCTTTTAAGTCCCGTCTGAGTCAAAACTCACGGGTGATATTAAGATGAAGGAGGGTTGAGGAACCTATTAATGTAACCAGCTTCTATACTGCTAAGATCGAGTGTTGGGTACACATGATATCTCACATCGTGGTCGTTCATATCTGCATCTCTATGAGAACATCACCGAGTAACACCGATGTCAATCAAGTAATCAAGAGTCCTCCTCTACCGTACAAGTACATCAGCAGTGAAGGTTGCGTCGTAACAGCTAATATACATGTGCAGAATCTTGACTCCTTGGCTTGACAATCTCAATACCGCCACATTCTCTTTTAGAGACGTTGATCGCTATCACTTGCAGATCCAGGGCTGGATAGAATTTTTCGGTGGGTACCTTGTTGGACCCGAGACTAATCAAGAGTCCCAACGATGCGTGCTACATTGGCCGTGACTTCTATGGCTTTGCGCCATGTTTAGCTCTCTAAGCCCACAAAAAAATATTTCTATTTTTCTTGGATGTGAGCTGATCTTAACGCAATTTTGAGATTGTATCAAAATGCAAATAAAATTTTGCAACTTTGATTGCAAAATATAAAAATGAAAATAAATAAATTTTGTACATAAATTAAAAATCTGTGAAAATTTGGTATTTTTTTAAATTATATTTTTAATAACTTAAAGTAAGAATTATTAAATATTGATGATAAACAATTTTTGTATGCATTGTATACAAAATCGATTATTATGTATTAATAAGTCATTTTTATAAAAAATTCAAATAGATTTTGTCATAATTGATCATAAATCAATAATTTAATATGTCTGAATTTTTTTCAATAATAAATTGTATTTATAATCTGAGTAGATGTAAAAATATTTGAAATTTTAAAAAAATTTATATCTGATAAATCTCAATTTTTTCCAAAATTGGAATATGTTTAGTAATGTGTTTTTAATCAATTTTATCTTTAAAGTGTTTTATATCATGATTATGGATCCAAATATAAAAAATATGATAGACAACTTTAAATGTATGTTATAATAATAGACTCGTGTATACTTTTTATAATTCATGATGTGATTTTTGATGGATTGATTTCAATTGATTATGTACATGATTGTGAATTATGCAGATAAGCACTATATACATTCATCTTCATATCTTTGTTTCTCTCATTTTAGAAAGAATTTGAACGTAAAAGTATTCTTGATCACTTTCACATAAGATTGATTCTTTCATGTGGTGGTAATTAATGCATGCACCCTTGAAGTTGAAAATAACTTTGACTTGATAATATTCTCAATTTGTGCTAAGATAAATAGCTGAATGTCTTTGTTGACATTTAAACAATAGCGTTTTTATTTTGATGCACTTTTATTGGTGCAAGATAATTCATGTTTTGTGATACTAAATAATTAATAACACAATATATATATATAATTAATTAATTAAGTTCATATGTCATGACAAAATAAGGAGATATGAATTAAATACATGTCATTATAAATTCACTTCAAGTATTATTTCAAAAGGATTAATAATAACATTTTATGGTATCTAAAATACTAGAAAAATTTACAAAGTCATTGATTGGATCAAAAATATGTAATATGTTTGTGTTAAATTAGACATGCTGACTTACTTGACGATGCATATACTTATGATCAATTGTAAGTATTGTTTTCAATATCACAGGCATATACATGGAGCAAATCAATCTTCAAATGCTTAGCATCAAACTATTCAAGTATGCAAATGAGAAAATGAATCTACTTCAGAAAAACATACTTGAACAACTTATTTCACAACACTATTCATAATGTGGACAACTAAAATTAGCACTCTATCATGTCAACTCATTTCATAGATTTTGTCAATAAATCCTATGCAAGAGTCTTGTTCGTTTTTAAAGAGATAATACAGTAATATAAAACCTCTCACACAACACTACAATAACTGAAGCCGACCAATACTTCAAAAAAGTTCATAGAGTTTACATATTGCAAAGATACCTTCTCAAACAAACAAGACAATCCATATCAAACAAAATCAAAAGATACTCTAAAAACAAATCAAGACTTCAAATGAGATTATAGTTATATGAAGTACAACCTGAGCTCACACCGTTAGAGTTGGAGTCACAACCTCAAAGGCATGCGAGACAAGGGCACATGGACGTGTCATATTTGCAAGGCATGCATGTATGTACGAAAAAGTATATATATAATTCTAAAGTTTTTGAACAGTTTTTTTCTAAGAGTGCTTTAGTTCCACAGAAGTATATTTTATGATACGCAAAATGTACATATTTTAATATGGGCATGCTTAGTAGCATGGAGCATGACTCGAAGAAATTTTTTGTGACTTCAACACTACACACCACACACACAAAAAAGAGAATTTATATGATTGTATATATAAAAGTATAAATGCTATATTTTTTAGAAAGATTAAGGGTGGGGCTAGTTATTACTCACTTAGAGCTAATTAGCCCTCATCCTACCATGCGGTCTTATCCTATTGATCGAACATCCTATAGTTGCTACTGCATCCATATTATCCTGCAACTACTACTAGACTTCATCGACTAATAAGAGAACTAACTACCCTGTATAGACCAATAAGAAGACTGCGTATAGTGTACTGAGGGCTAATTAGCCCTAAGTGAAGGATAACTTATAGGGATAGCCGCTTTTAAGATTGAATATGAATGAACAGAATATGTTTTGCATATTACATGCTTATCGTCATAAAATAGAAAAAGTTTGCATGACACATATTTCTTAACCTTCTCTCATTGTGACATGAAGGTCTTATATCTCACTATAAGAAAAATTATCTTTCTGTAAATTATTTTGTTATATATACTGTCATGTGTATACACTTTGATGTGAGTTTTAGATAGACTTTCGATTCCAGTTCAAATCGGTAGACGTTGAGACTTGACGGGTAAGGGTCAAGGAGCGTAGGTTGGGTCCACTCTCGAGCAAGAGTATAGTCAATGCGACCTCAAAGAACTTTCAGTTCTTCGAGTTGAGACTTCAGTGTAGGGAGTGATTAATTCCTGCTAGCTTCGACTCTACGTTTCTGATTGGAGTGAGTTTGGCTCGACTATTATGTTGACTTCTGTGTTATCTTGCACATCATATTTCAATTGTGATACCTTTGTGTGGGTACACTTTAGTTCCTTATGTGTGTGTGTGTGTGAATAATATGTCAGCGATGTGGTGTGTATGACAAAATCTGGTCTCACGACAATACAATGGAGTGTATATATATATATATATAGAGCTCATAATTGTCATCTAATCTATATAACTATTTTCAGTCAAAGAAGAGCTTGTAAAACATAAAATCAATCATAAATCTTCCATGTTTTATATCTCTCATATTGACATAAGCTCTTATATCTTCTTGTAAGAAAAGTTATGTTTCTGTAGATCTATTGGATTTCTATCATAGCCCAACATTGGGTGCCCCTGGCCGGAGTTTTGGATGAAATTATTTTTCCATGGCGAGCACAAGTAATGATAATGATGTTTGTGAAAATCCAACCAAGAATTGACATAATTTGAATAGCATGGTTAGAGTATAAATGATCATAAGTATGTGCAGATTTGAATTAAAATATTGGACAATAGTTTCTATGCAATGGAGTGTGTGTGTATATATATATATATCCATCCAATAAAAAGTTCGTAACTTGCAGTAAGTTAAGTTTTCTCCAGCTTCAAAAGCCTGTGAAATATAATCAGTCACATAAGATCCATGTTTTATAAGAGCGAGATGTAGGGACGCCTATAAATGACATATGTACGAACTTTTTATGTGACAATAAAATTCTGTACAGATCTACTTAAACCATTTTGTGGGATTGTATGATACACCTAGACTGACGCCATTTTATGGAATAGAAAAAGTTTCTAGAAGCATTGCATGAACTCGGCGGTCTGAGGGTGGTAGTAGTTGGCGTTTGTGATCGAGCACTAGATCATTAAACCTCGATTCATCATGTCATACGTCAAAGAGTAAGTCATCGTATTTATTTTGCATCATCACCATCACACCTGTCCAGCTCCCACTGTCATTCGTTCTCGTCTTTCTGAGGAAAACAGTTCATTCGAATTAATGATTGTCCACCAGTACACTTTCACTTACGCTTGCACTGCTTCTTTGGTAGTGCTCAATACGGTTAAACGTGACCACTGTGTTCCAAAATGTAGCTCGTCAGTACGGCATAAAGCTTAGATATACAAATCCTGACAACGATTATTGTGACGATATCGACTAACTCTTTAATACTTAGCAATGAGATATCACAAGGATGATTCAAAAGCGGGAATTTAAGTCGGTAATTGGGTACAGAATGGGCCTGTTCTCTTGGTATTCTGGTACAAAAGACGAAATAGAGTCCACATTGGTGTGTTTTAAGCTGTCAACATCAACAAGAAAACTAACGTAATCTCTTGCTTCGTTATTGCTATTTGAAAGAATTCGAAATGCAGAACGGATTCTTCTGTGCTTTCATAATAGCATCCATATGGCTCAAAGTGGCGGACATTATTATTCTCTTCTCCACTTCCTCGATTCTCCGCTACTTTTAATCTCTACTTTCGTTTCTCTTTCACTCAAAATCGTTCGAAACTACTTAAAAAAGACAGTCTTCCGCCTTTTCCGACAGCACAAATTTAGCAGAAACTGAAGGCCTTCACATAGGCTTCTTTCTCGTAAACACTTATTCGTTTACCACAGGCAGAGAGACTGGCAAGGCTCTGCAGACAACACGAACTAATATCTCATATTAGCACTGCAAGACAAAAACACGGAATTTTGAATGACGATCTCTTGCTCTTCATTCGTGTTACAGTTGCTGGGAAGTCTTGCACAAGTGGGTAGGTAATTGCAGATTTCATAGGTATATCAAGTGCACATATTCAATACAAAATGTGGGAAGCGCTTTACTGGAATGAAACCCTTATGATATCCGCAACAAAACTTTCACTTCTGTACACTCGTGTATAAGCCAGCAAAAACGCCTAAGAAACAGTCTGAAACTTCAAATGCAGCGTCTCTATACCCTCGTTTTTGACAAATAACCAGCTCCATTTACTGAACCAACCCGAGTTTTAACAAGTATCACAAAAAGCGTCACTCCTCTCATTCGACATTTACAACTTTCTAGAGGGTGACAAGAGCCCTAATCGTTTCTACCATCAATAGAACAATCTAATTATGGCTGTAACCGAATGCTCGAAGATGGTCTTTCGTTTGTTGACCCTTTGACGAGTTCAGCAAGAAATTCTCAGCGTTGTCATCTGATATTCGCAACGTCGGCCACGTGAACCATCCTCCACTTTCGCTCTCTACCAAGCGGACGATAATCAAAGATCAAGAAAATGCATGTTGAAGGAACAACGAAAAAGAAGGGAGAGGACACGGCTTGGGTTGGATGAACCGCAGTAATAAGTACCCTCAAGATACACTTTAAGAGAGTCCACCGTCTCTAAGACCAGTTGTTAGAGACCGAGTTGATTTCCTATCATCCAACTGTCTAACAATAGACTCTGCGAACTTCTGCTGCCTGCACAAATCGTTATGCAAAAAGTTCAGTACTCGCCTTCATGACATGCTAAAGTACTTGGAATATACTAGATTGATTTGTATCAACACAGATGTAAGATGATTTGTACAAAAGGAAACTTACTTCTTCTCCGTAAGTTTGACGCTTGGTCGATAATACTTGAGGTAACCATCCCAAGGGACCTTCTTAATTCCAGCCCTGTCAGCTATCATGTCCCGTACCCTGTTTACAACAAGATCAGCACCAACTTCAGGTGTCCAGAAACTAATGAATAGGTCGGACAGCTATATAATAGCTAGATGAGAGACTGTAAGACGATTTGTACAATTTCACGCGATTGCCTAAAAGATCTTTTACATTCACAATCACAGCAAGGCACACGTGGCCGCAATCACTGTTCAGATAAACAACAAACATTTCCAAAGAAACAAAGTTACCTTTCCGCGAACTCGATGGAGGTTTCACCCGGGCGTAAAGTCTGGGGTTCAAGGTACCAGACATCACAAACAACCGCCCAAGATGTCATCAGCCGCAATAAGTGCATCGTGAATGACTGCCTGCGAAAGAACACAACAAAAGGTCATTTTCAAGGGCTTACAAATATTTAGTGTATTGTGGATCTAGCAGAGTGCTAGTGCTACGTTCTTCCCTACCCACTGCAATTTCCTGTCGCATTTGTCATACTCCCGCGAGATCTTTAGCATCAGGTATGCAACGGAATATGAACGGAGATGATTTTGCTGCGGGTGTTGGCCAAAATCATGAGAGGGTAAAACTATTCTCAAAAAAAAGTGTTAAATTTTTGGATAAAAAGGCAGCTTACTTCTTGCTATTCCAAAAGGCATCTACGAATATTTTGTTGTACTTAATAGCGATTGGACAAACCGTGCAGTCCAGCTCAAATGCACCCTGAAACATACACGAAACACATCAAACAACTAAGTAAAACAAAAAAGAGAAATTTCCATGTCAAGCTTGGAAGAAAAGCCCTTTAGCAATTTTGCTGGAAAATTAGCACTTTTGCTGGAAAGAGGTATTGCCTCAAGAAACGTTCTGCACGATACCTTCTTAAACATAACGGTGTACTCGTTGTTGACGCATGTTCCTTCTGGAAATATAAGTAGCGGGTTGCTATCAGGATCCTCTACATGGTGCTTTAACCTGTACCACAGATGAATAGTTGTAACCCGAACACATAACTGTTTGAAATCGACATGGGAGAAAAACGGCAATTGGAACTTGTCTAAAAATACACAACATGCGAGGGTGACAACTAAAAACTCTAAGGACCGAAGCTAAGTGGAAACAAGCACAAAAACGCTTCAAGGACGGTCCCACTTACTTCTTCGCTACAATCATTCTGTCTTTCGACTCTGTTCGATTGAACCAGATGCAACCAAGACTTTCTAAGACAGTAGTTTGTAGCAGTCCTGCAATTGCAATCTCATGAATAGATGGTCAGTTATCGAAATTATTTTCTCATGACGTTTCTCATTGTATAGCAGCTGAATAAAACAAAAAAAAGACACGCTTAGAGGCTGTCGTGATCATCTCACCAACCCATCCAGGGTGTTTTTGCATGATGACAGCAAACGCAGTCATCTGCTCGAGTACAATGAAGTCTATCATCGACGTATGATTTGCTACAAACACCTGCATATCGCATGAAAAATAAGAAGACGTGGACTCAATCACCTAACAGCAGTAAAATTCTTCTACTCTCATCCATGTCGACAATCTCAAAAGATTTTCGCGGAACTCCAGGACTCCAGAAGAAATGTGCCTTATTTGCACTTTGTTCTAAATTCTCACCAAATATGTACAGTATCCGAGATGAAAACAAGAATACAGAAGGTTAGTCATGGTTGCAAAGTGTATTTGTCCAGTTCATACCACACAGAAGGCACACACTACCAGAAGCAGACACGACTCACCTGCTTGGCACGACGACTTGGTCGAGGACCATGATACTTTATAACTCCTGTCCACGACGCAACAAACACGCTGCAGATAAACTCCACTAAGCCTCTCTGCAGCAAAAGGCAAATACCTTAAGAGTTATCTCGAGACCCACACCTTAACCTGAACTCTCCCCTACAGATACTGTATACCCAAGTCGACTTACCTCGATCAGATAAAACCTATAGACCCCAATCTGGGTATCACTTCTCCGGAAGACCCAGGATGATGAAAGATGAAAAAGGCTTCAAACAACGCATCATCAAAATCGTGAAAACCTCAACCAAGGGGCAGCTGTCTTGCCTCGGTATTAGAACCTAACTAGTTAAAGCAGCACTTGAGAGTGTATGATCCTTCTCGAGCAAATAAGGTCGAAATGCGAACACTAAGAAAACATTTGCAGCACTTTCTCGTGACGAACTTCTGCATTTCCAACAAAAAATGTTGTTCAAGTTATCAAACGATAAAGCTCACCTCCAGCTTCTGCCGCAACTTTTCATGTTTCTTGATACAAAAATGAATCGGAATGAAGAGTCCAAGGAAGATGACCCATCCTATTATGAGCAACACAAGCCTGTGACATGCAAGTTTCCAACATGATCAATAACAACGTATATTCAACTTTGAATGGCCTTCACACATTGCAACGGCACCCCAAAGGCTGCTGGAATCAGCTGCGATAGTGCAAAGATGAGATCGTTGACTCCATTGCTTACAGAATAAATGCGCGATAAAATCAAAACGATTGACCTGACATCATTTCTTCATAACTTTCACACCACAATCTTCACCATATCAGGAGATCTAGACGCTGGAAGAAATAACAAGCTTTTATAGCGTTCATAAACGACCTACTTCAACAGTTCCAGTGAGCGAGCTCTATGACTACGAGTATTACAAACCTGATTGGAAACAAAATTCCATATCGCATAATGACACCCACTACCCATAAAGGAAACAGATATATGTTCCAATTCCATGGCTCTGGTGAATTCGATTTGAAGCACCGCGTAAATGAATCCTGACAAGTACAGATGATTCAAATTTGGGATCCCAGAATTAGCAGAAGAACTCGTAAGAAATGAATCCGAAAAAAGATATTCAATAAAAACAGCAGAGATCTCCGTTGTATGCAGCATACAAAGAATGCGAGTAGTTCGTACGTGTCAACGTTGGGAAGAAAGTAAGTCTCTACAAAAATATTAGGCAAGTATAGAGATACATCTACTTTGCTCTGAGATACCCAACACCAAAGCTCCAACAGATAAATATCAAAGTCCATATATGCACATTTCTGAACAGCTTACATCTATAATCGCACTTGCGGCTTCGCTCAGAGTAGGAGATAAGTCCAGCAGGTTCCGTCTAGAAGTAGTTAAGGCATCAGTGTCATCTGCTTTTCTTAACAAAGAAAAGCAGATCTCGGTCAGATCTCACTTGGTCCAGAATAATCACCTCGATACAGACCGTGAAAACAATCAGAAATGAAATTGGGAAAATATATTGACGTCGCCATTGTCCCAAAAAATCACTAACGTCAGGGCACGTTTGACTGGTCAACTGTGCTCCGAAAAATCTCTCATACAGAAACGGTGAATATACTTGGTAAAGCTCAATCAAACCTTAGAGACTCTATCATAACCTTTCCCGCAAACCATTTGTTGGCCCACCATTCAAACTGAAAAGAACATTAGAGGATACAAAAGGTCATCGTCAGCCTTCGGCCCTGAGTCCGCCAATACTTCGTCCAGATGGCGCTGGTACATATTTATTTCTGAGGCAGAGGGTTTAAACAAGGAGGAGTCGCGCCCTTGGACCCTGCAACGTCCATCCGTTCTCGTGTCATAATACAAATTGATCATTCCAGATTGGTCCCGTTGAAAGTGAAGGAGATCAATCTATTCTGAATAGAACAAAACGAATGTGAAGAAGAGTTCCCTAGTCCAGCATAGGACGGCTGGAGTTTGCTTGCAAATTAAAAGTAACTACAACCCTTTTACTTCACTACAACACCTGCTTATCACAGAAGACAATGTCTCCTCTTCGCAGGAAATCTTTCTTTCCCTGCCAGACTACTTGTCTAAGTCTTGAATATACGATGAGATTTGTGGCTAATGAACTTAACAAGTCGCTTCCGCTTATTTTCGACAGTGCAATTTGACAATGTTGTTATGCCATAGCCGAACACTGGCGTCATGTACAATTCAAGTTCGGAAGGCTCGGCTCACTTAAAGATGCCCCTGAGTCATGAACACTTCCACTTGAAAAACGAGAGGAGGAGTCCACTTTTGATGTGTACGCACGACAATTCAGAATAAAACTTACTGGTGTAGCCACTAATCTATTCAGCTTTCAAAGGTCCATTGAGTAACTTCGAAATAGACAAAATAACCTTTCTACATCCGTATTTCTCTATTTTGTATCAGAAGGCTGACAGTCAGAAGAGGTCCGTCCATCACAACCCGTTCATACAAGATGCACTGGACTCATCCCAAAAGCTGGCAAGAAGATAACCGAAAGTTAACATAGCAACCAGCTTTCCAACTGTATGGGATTGTTGATACATGGAATTTACGATCAGACTCCACGTGACCACAAAATTTAGACAAGGGAATTGTTAGCAGAAAGGCAAGCGACCTCACAAATAGCGCATAACCATGAAACAACGTCATCGACGCAAAATCATAGAGAGAAAACTGAGACTTCAAAATGCATCTGCAAGCTTCTTGCTCATGTCGACTTTCAGCCCAAGAGTACTGCATCAATGGCAGAGACATAAATGATCAAACATACACTCATCATCTGATCGACAACCATTACTGCTGTTACAAGTTTGAGCATAAAGAAAATGTCCACGACTAAGAGACCAAGAGACTCCCAAAAAACTCATCCATTCCAAGACGGCATCCTCAATCAAAGCTGTCAAGGCGAACTCCATCTTCGATTGCGAGCCTCTATCTCATGGACCATTCAACCCACCAAGGACGTGCACCGAAAGCAAAACCAACACCCACCGTGCACGACCGGGATTCCACAACCAGCCAATTCGTCAATGAATAAACAAAGCAATCAACTAATCCGAAAACGACAGATATTCTCATACCTCTCGAGGACATTATCCAGACGCGGATTCCTCATTCCTCTATACTTTTTTTCACCGCCCTTGGACACACTGTACACATCCGCTCTCTTTGATTCTTCCATCGATCGTCGTTCTGGTCGCGCTGCTCCCTCCGCTGGCCGCGCCTCGCCTCGCCTCGCTGCTCTTCTGCTCTGGCCTACTTTCTTCCGTCCGTCGCACGGCACAATCTGCGCATGCGATCGGAGGACTCGGGCCAGAGACGAGAGCCGCGATTCTCCTCCTGCTGCCAGCGTCCTAACTCCTGCCGATCCCGGATCCAGCGAATGGCATGTTGCAGTCCTAGGTGGACCGAGGTTCTCCGTGACGTGGCGGAAGTTTTCGCCCCTGCCATTGGTGCCACATGGACCTCCGATCACCTCTTCTCCTGCGTCTGGCGTCTCCCACTCCCGCCCACCCACTTGTCGCAGCTGCTGTCGTTGCTATTCATTCCGCTGATCTGCCTTCTCCGTCAAAAGTCCCTGTTTTATCTTTTGTCCTTTCGTGTCTTTTGAATTGCAGGCGTCCTTGGCAAAGTCCCCCTTACAATCTGGACTACCAGAGCTCACATGGTAGAGAGAGTTCCCGCCATTTACTTTTCTGCATCGATGAATTTTCACCGAGCTTGATTCATATCTTTACGCATTCAAGTGTGATGTATTGCTGCTTTAGATATAGCATGATAAAATATTGTGGATAAAATATAGTTATTGGATCAATCAAATCATCTCTCTGCTTGATTTGGGATGAAAAAATATTAATACAAAAAGTTATACTCAGATATTATATATGATATAATATAACACAAATAGTGGATTGTGACTCTTATCTAAAAAAGTCTTCTCATTCTTTTCTTCATATATGATGTATTCTCGTCGCATTGATTTTGTGATTAAAATAATTATCAACCGTCTTCAAAATGGAAAATATTACAAAGTGAAGCATGCTCTCGCCGTCCATCTTTGATAACAAGTCAACTTTGGAGCTCTACGTGTGACCAAAGATACAAGTTTGGGATAAGCAAGTTTTTGTTTGCAACATAGAGACAAAATATTGTACTAACACATATCGTGCTCATTTATGCAATAAAGCAATACAATGGAATTAAAATAAACATGAGAGCTTTATTTATTTTTATAGAAGGCTTTACACACTGTGCTTCTAATTAAATGCAACTCACATACTCCCTGTCATGCTTCCTTATTTTTGAGTAAGTAGTAGTAGATCCTAGAAGAGTGTAACTAGAGAGTGATATTGATATGCTCATCATCCGAAGATGTGTTGCAAGGACCTTTGTTTCAAAGTTGCTGCACTTGCCTGTATGAAGCCTAATGCTTCCACAATATCTTCCTCTCTCAATAGGTATGTTGCAACTACGGCCTTGAAGATGATTTATTCATGATGTATATTCATGTTTGTATTCTCTCTCAAAATGGACAATGCGCCTATGCGTACAACATTTTGCAGCTCAATACTGACTGGATGATAATGGAAAGCAACATTCGAGTTGTTCATGTTGGAGTGGTGCTTGCATTCGGTTGCAACATCTTCTTGCATCTTAGCAGCATGCAAAAATAAGTATATTTTCTTTGCGCTGAGAGGATGAAACAAACCTGATCGGTTCTTTCTGGGCTTTCTTCATATTTAGCAGTACAAGTGTTGCTCCGAGTTGTGTCGCCACCACAACAGCGTCGGCTATCTGTGCTCAAACGTCCACTCCACTCATGTTAGACGAAGGAAGTAAACTTCCATCAACATAGAGCAAAAGATATGATTGAAAAAAAACTGAAGGAAATGCAAACACGGCCTTCAATTATAGCAGTTCACAGAGACCACAAAAGTGGACGACATAGGTGTAGCAGAAGATCTGCATAATAAATGTTTAAAATGTATGCAAATGAAAACATGGAGCCAAAATATAGTATCTAAAAATGTTTGTAGATTTTAATCTATAGGCTCTATCATAACATCAAATTTTGCATATCATCATTGTCATCAAAATATTCTTCAGTACTATCATTACAAAAGTCATGCCAAGTTACTTCGATGAATTTTTCAGATATTTCTTCTAAATCACTATAGATGTTATCTAAAATAAGTCCAACAGAACACGTGGGAACACAAGACTAAAGCTTTGGTGATGATATCACACTCTCAACCTCCTCATTCATGAAGTCTTCAACATCAGCAGCTGCTCTTCTTTCGCATGTACGGGCATTGTGTTCCAATTGCTTGCATTTGGAACACTCACTTTTTGTTATGTAACCTTGGTTTTTCAAAGCTCGACTTGCTTCTGTTTGTTTTACAATTTGTACATGTTTACCACCAAGTAGAATTTGTTGCAGGCCAACATCATCACAAATGGGATACTTAACAAACAATTGATCAACCTCTCCATAGAACTCGTCAGTTGCAAGTTCTGACGAAGCTTTGCGCAAACCTTTCTCATTGTCGATTTTCACTACCCGATGACGACCTCTTTTTACAGCTAGAGCAGGTGGATAACAATCTTCATGAGCATCCAGGTGAAGACTCATTACAACTGAAACTATTGGAGCATGTAGCATACGTAAACTTTCAATTTTTCAAGAACGATGGAAATGTCTGTGAAAGTCTTTGTCTTCTCTGTCATCCCATGCCATGAGATGTTCACATAACCAAAGCATTTCTTGTGTCTCCACGTAGGTACATGTAGTTGCTCGTGACAACAAAACAACGTACTCTTCACTGTCATCTGTAGTAGAAACTTTGGCCCTATACTTCCCATCGCCAACAACCTGTCATTGTCCATAAGTTTGCAGATTCACCTTGTGTCAAAAATTTGTTGAAAAAGTCAGAGTATACTTTATGCTGGCAGCTTTTGAACATCGGAAATTGAACTTATTCTGAATGTAATCCCACAGCGAATCAACTTGAAAGGAGCATACTCTCGTATCTCCAACAACCCCGAATTTATCTGTTCGACAAGATTAGAAGTCACTTTGCCTAGTCGAGGTAGTGAAAATGCATGTCTAGACCATAGTCGCGGATCTATCTGTCTAATATAGTGTGCAACATCTTCTCCTTTCTTTGTCTTTGACGATGACTTCATCTGTTCCTCAAAACGAGTCTTGGTCTCAACATATACCAAGGCCCAAAAAAAATCCCCACAGGATTTACCAAATGACTGCTTAATGTTACATTTCAGATGAAAAGCACAATGACCATGTATAGAATTTGGAAATACATCTTTCACTGCAATTAAAAGTACTTTTTGTCTATCTGAAACAAAGGAATATTTGAATCAAATAAACCTATTATGGAAACACAAAGTAAAGTGCAAAACCAAGTCCAATTCTCTATGTTCTCAACTGGTGCTAAAGCAAAACAAAAAATCACCGCTTCACTATTTCCATCAAGAGCAGTGGCAACGAGAAGTTGAAAGGGAAACTTTCTGTTTTTTGTGTGACATGCATCCAAGCTAACTTGCGGCTGACAATACTTCATAGCACTGCGTGTCGCTGAGGAGCATATAAATGCTCGATGGAAAATTGTAGAATTGGTGTAAGTTGACCAATTAACTACACTGCCCGGATTTACTCTTGAATCTTGGACATCAAAGCTAGAATCATATGGTAAGATTTTCGCTGTCCTCCTAAGTATAAATCCTTCACTATATCTTTAGCCCGCCACATCTAATGAGACTTTGTATTTAACTTATAATCAGACTTGAATCCAATCACTAATTCTCTAACAGGTACCCGAATGTTGCGTGTAATTCTGTTTCCTATCGTTCCGCCAAGCCACTATGAAGTTTGTGCACGACCTCTCCACCTACTCTTATGGCACAAACATGTGTGTTCAACATTCTACAAAGTCATCACAAATGACCCCTTTGCAATGCGTTGCCAACGCACTCTAAAAGGACATGAACCTATGAAACTAGATCCTTGTTCTAGTATTTGATCTAATTCCCCACAAGCTCCAGTCACAGAAGATCCACTTGTGTTTTTAAACACAACATCACGATGGGGTTCAAAACTACCAGGAATACACTCTGAAGTATGTTTCACGACTGAATGGGGATAGCCAAAAATATTTTTGTTACCTCTTGAAGATACTTTGTTTTTTTTTGCAGGTTGACTTAGCTTAAATCTTCTAGCAGCTGCTCTCGTAGCTTGTACATTAACAAGCGTAGAAGTTGTGGAAGTGTACTTGGTTGTGGTTGAACTCTGCACTTCTGGAATCGAAATTGTCTTCATCTCAAACTCTACTCTTAGCTCAAATTTTTTTCCCTAATCAACGGCTTTCGTCTTACTAGGCCATATCGGCAAACATGCACAAGATAATTAAATTTTGTCTTGAATTTATGATATGCTCTACCTTTTATCACACTCCAAGAATGAAGGCATCTATCAAACTACTCAAAGCTGTCAAAATTCTCCCTCAATCTTCTACGCTGAGACTCTATTTGAACTTCATGCGGACTTTCCAACCAAATCAACCATGTTAGTTGTTTGATATCCACGCATCTTCCAGTGAGAATATATATGTTGAAAAATAGTTGAAGGTGGAAGAGGTATACGGTCTACGTTGGAAATTTTAATCATTGTGGGTCCATTGTGATAATATGTCTGTGCACATACTTGTCCATACTCTCTTGATTTGTTAACTCCCTGCAGCAACAAAAAAAGTTGGATAAGCTTTCATTTTTGCATTATTCACACATCCATATGCAAGTCTACATTTACAAGTGGAATTCTACCAAAGGACAATGGGAAAATCTTTATAGAATCTGTACCTTGTGAATAGTGTGCATGTTTGAATCACATGAGGAATTCTTGTCAATCCACACATTGAACATGCTGAATTCTAAAAAAACTGGGCACAGGAAGAACACTTGACAATAATGTACAACAATATCCCCAGTTCTGCCTTGTTCAAATATGTTTATGGTTTTCAACAAAGTGTAGGTGGATACAGTCAAAGTTGAAGTATTGAAATATGGAACTGATTGTTTCCATCCATAATGTTCAAGGCGTGTCACAGAATATAGAAGAGTATTTTCAACAGTCCACAACTGAACCCATTCATTGCGTACCTTCCACATGGAACATAAGCCTCAGACTATGAAGAGTCCTCAGGGAGCCAGGTGATATGACTTCCTTGATGAAAGCTCGAGCAAAATCAATCGATACTTAAGCTATCGCTAAGAAATCTATCACAACAGAAACTCGACCGAAGACAACAAAATAAAAAGCCCTTGCGAAACATGCATTTACGCTAGGCAAAAAAGAATGGGAGACAAGTAGCATGATCAAGAAAAATGTACATTTTGTATGTACAATCCTTTGCAGACCCAACATTAGTTTCCATTACGAGAAGATATCACGTAAAGTACTTAAGTTCATTGACAAACTTGATTTATATATGAAGGCTTCAACATGCAAGATGCAGTTTGATATTCTAGTCGAACTTAATTAGGGGAGACTTGAAAGAAAAATATTTTTCCAGGAGATATATCGCCAAACTTTTGAAGTTGAGAAGCAATGCGTAACATCTCAAGTGAGTTGGATGGCAAAAAGCGGTTAACAACAGGGAGCCGTCTTAAAGTATGTACTACATTCATAACTGAAAAATATTTTAAATAGAGATACGATATTGTGTACTATACACAAACCAACCAACATCAACGGATTATAACAAAGAAAAGTTCACATGATAGTATAAATGATTGAAATATATTCTCTTTTTGATGTACTGCTCAAACATTTTGCAGGTTTGTGGTTGTGCAATTGTGAAGAAAATATATACATACTCGATACTTCATCAATCACTCAAAATTAATCCATGATATCACATCTGAAATGACAATCTAAAACCTATAGAGTCTCGATCTTATATTTAGTCTTCCACAGAAGATCGCAAAGCTGCAGACTCATTATCTTGTAAGTGTCTCAAAAGTCTTTGGTTTGATAATGTCATCAAAGATTTTCACGATCCTCTATTCAACATACATCGATTGTGATATAATTTTAAGAAAAATATCTAATGTTTGGAGACCAGAAAGGCTTTGAGAAGAACTTAGGTGAGACTCAGTAGGATGAAATGAAATCATCAAAGCCTACTAAAATTTAGCGTTCATAGCTAAAGTTGTATGCAATTATTAAACAATCTTGCAGAATATTGGGATGAGAAGCAATCTTTGGACGAGGATGATCGGCAAAAGAACGCTTTCCATCATCACTCCCGCGAACATTTAAGCATGATATTTGATTCGAATGAGTCTTGAGGTGTTTACCCGGCCTGGAGACTTTTACGATGATACAAGCACATCCTTCTCGAGCATGGCTCTTCAGTGGAAGCAAGCGAGTCTCAAGCTCATCATCCTCGAAGGTTCTCGTCCACAGTAACGATCACTTTCATGCGTATATTATAGTGCATGTTTCTTCCAAAAATTCACGCTACGAAAGACCCTGTCATCCACGCAAATTCAAGGAACCGTGAAAAAGACTCGCCGCAAAAAAACAACACAAGAGAATGAAGTCGATGAAACTATCACAACGAGTTGTAATTGCAGCAATGCTGAGAAGAAAGCTGATCTCTGCATGTTCACAATTAAGCTAAATCATGAACCGACCCAAAGATATGATAAAAGCGAGTGAGCAACTTCGGATGTGAATTAAGCGCATAATCTCACACACTACAAAACAAGAACAAATTTACTCTTCCGGCTCAAGAGAAAAATTTCTTCTAATTGGGCGTGACCTTGAGACCAACCTTTCTCGAGTGAAATACAACCATGAAGGCCAGTATTGAAACGCACTGCCTTACATTTTGAGTTTGATTCGTGTCTTTACCATCTTCTACTGTACAGTTCAAGTGTCTCCTTGGACGAGGGTGTAGTAGTGTAAGCGACTCACGAACTCACCGTCTGTTCATACTAGAACAGTCTGACGTGTGCCGTCGTTGGGGTACCATTGGGTAAAACAAAACTTGATGGTTCCATCAAGCAAATATGTTCTTGATGGTGTCCCATCAAGCAAATATCTCTAAAAACGCCATAGTGAATATAAAATAGTTTGAGTTGAGTTGAACGAAAGAGCGATTGTGTAAGTAAACCTGCCTGAGTCTGTTGTACGGCAGTTGGTGCTTTAACTATCCACCAACCTAAAGTACATTGTATTTAGAATCTATCGACGTGTAGATTGATTTCAGAACAAAATATTGATTTCATACTCTTATGCAACACTTTTCACAATAGATCAAACCTCCTAAATTCAACTTTCATTTTTGCATACTCAAGTCCTATCTCAAATATATCTAATTCAGTTCTCAATCAAAAATTGTTGAATTATTTCAATGTAAATAATTTTCAATTAAAGTAGTCTTAGTTAATCATCAAAGCGGGAAAAAATATTTTATAGTTAAGTTTTCATGTATACACGTATGTAGATAATTGTAGAATGAGCCTTCCTCCATACATGTCAAGTTCAAAACATATGAGATTTTTTTTTTAACTTAAAAGAATGCCAGTTCAGAATTCAATTGTTTATAACAATTGAATTACATAAATACATATACTATAAATACATATTATTTATAGTAGAAACATACAGGTCTGTGAGTAAACAATTTCATCAATTTTTTTTTAAGTTTTCTTCCATGCAAAAAATTGGAGTGAAAATGATACGATTAAATGGTGTCGAGTTGCAGTGTTTACTTCAAAGCTTCCAGATGAAAATAATGAAAATTTATTATATATATTCTCATCTTCGTGATTAGATGACTTCCGTAAAACCTTAAAAGAAAAAAATTCCATATGATGTTACACAGTAGGTTAGGGCTCAAGAAATAATTGACATATTTATTAAAGAGTTTGCCATTGGCTATAATTACAATGAATTGCTCTTCAAATTGATCTGCAATTAATATGGGTACATTTTTATTTTTTCCAAATAACTACTTCTACGTTTTTTCATATATCTGATACTGGAGTTTTTCTTATTTAAGAAATAATCGTAATATTTACATTTCATTTTGAGTAGTCCTTGAGAGCGAGGAGCACCAAAAGATCCTGCTGCTTAATTAGCTATATCCGTGACACAAAACTTGAAACAAACTTATTTTCAAAATCATGTAACAATCAAAATTCACAAAATATTTGAGATGAGTAATGAGAAAACATATGAAGTGAAATGAGAGTGAGAAGGGTATTCCGATAATGATAGAAACATATTTATAGTAGTCTATAGGAGAACAAGGAAATAACACTGTAGAAAGGAGAAACCTGAAGCAAAATATGAGTGAGAATGTTGCTTTGAGTCCTACTTTCCAGAACTCATCCGAAGACGCATTTCACAGGTGAAGTGACATGATCAGCCCCATTTGCTCTCGTAGATGCGCACCAGATTCTGGAAGCAAGGATGGGCTGCCGATGTAGATCGGCGTTCGTCCGCTGAGAGGATGTGAATCCCTTGTGATGGGATGGAGCCATTTTATTAACGGCGGAAGGGTTACAGAACTTCAATATTCTCCTTACGGCGGGCAAGGGATTCCCGTTCCAGGTCAACCGGGACATCCATGCGGAAGAAGGAAGGTAGACCAACGGGTGGCGACGGCTCAGGTGACGCAGTAGACGGGGAGATCAGGAGGAGACAACTCGCCGTTCCGTTCCTCGCCCACAGTCGACCCCACAGTCTTGTGAAAATCACAACAGTCCTGTCACCATCAGTCACCGAACGTTTTCTGGCCTGGCGCACGTGCACGGGGACCGAGGAAGAGGATTTGGACTCTCGGGACAGACGAAGTTTTGAGGAGTGCTGGATAATTCATTGGAACGAGATTTTCTGGGTAGAATTCCGTGAAAGCCTAGCCCGATAAGCGGCCGTGAATTTTGTAGCTTTTGTAGCTTTTTTTTCTCTTTTCAGACCAGCGAATTCAGAGCCCTCATGTGTGCACAATGCCACTGTCGTGAATTGTACCGCCGCCTGTCTGGTTGAACATTGAGTTGCTGCTTCTCGTCTGCTGAGGCGCCTTTGCATCACTCGTGTTCCAGGCATTGCTGTAGTGTTGTTTTTGGGATTAAAAAACAAGCTGGAAGGTCAGGAATTGCGTCGTTGAATTTTACAGTGTTCGTGAGCATTCGTTGGATCATGGATAGTTTAGGAGGGAGCTGAATCCAGGGACGTTATCTTGAGGTCTTCATCGCACTCATCACAGACAATTGAAAACTTCGTCTTCTCATTGAAGCTTCGCTCTCTAATATCAGGTTTGTGTTATGATCTTTGTCAAATGCTCAGGTTGAAAGTTAAAGTTTTGTGAAAATTTAGAGCTCGTAATTGCCTTCTGTGAGAGTCTCCGCATTTTCCCACCCATCGAGTTGCTATTTTGCCCACTGAAGCAAAATTCTGGAAATTTTGCAAAGTCAGTGTATTATGTTGGTGAATTTCGTGAGGCGACGATGCCACGTGCTGAAACAAGTATGCTTTTGCCCAGCTGCAACGAGTCGGGCAATTGACAGTCAAAACGCTTGAACTGCAGTCCTGGGATTTTCAAGAGGAACGGTCAGCTAAACCGCTGAAGTAAATGCGGCGGTCGTTGCGTCCGCTTCGTCCTTTCCTCGTTCTTCTTTGTACCGGATATTACGGTCTGGAGAGATGAGGAGGACAACAAGCAGCTAATTCCTCTCGAACAGTATGAGTGGAGTTGGATTTAGTGGCAAAGAGTCTTCGTATGAAATTACCGGCAGTGGAATTCTACTTGTCATTGTACTGCAATGAACCGCAACTTCGCGCGTTCTTTAGTACGGACTTGTGATGATGATGTCGTTCGCTCGGGACAGCTGCAGTAATCAAGAGGTAGCTGAGAGCGTCATTCCATACAGTGATGGAGTAGTGTTCGTTCAGGTTGTGGGCTTTGCCCTTTACATCATGTTTAGAAGCGGTGGTCTGACTAATCCTACATGGATACAATCATTCCTGTTTAACTGGATGATCATCGCGTGTACTAGGTCTGAAGAGACACATTGCTCATTAAACAACAGGCACCACGCAAAGAAGTTGCAAGAACTAGTCACTTCATGATGGAAATTCTGAAGTTAAACCAAAAAATGACGCAAAAACCATTTCTCCCTTTAGCTTTAGAATGTACTCTTCTCGTTACTCCTTTGCCCACGTTTGGTGCCGTGGTTTTCTGTGCATAAAGTTTTTGCAGTCTTAGCGCATGTCCATTCAAAGCTTTTGGTTCTATGGTCTTGCTCATAATGTTTGTCGTGTGGAATGTGATAAACAGCTGATACACAAGTTCGAAGGAGGAACTTGATTGATAATTGATACCTTCACGCTTTTCATACCCTCTATATCATATGAACTTTTAGAAACCATCCAGTAAGCAAGGCTGGAGTCTCTTTGTAAAGCCACGGTGACTGCAACGTTGTCAGTATCGCTGGCCGTTGGCCAGGCGGTCATGATGGCAACCAAAAGGAAGTACTATGCCGTCAAGTCGGGGCATGTGCCTGGAATATATGACACCTGGGAAGATTGCAAGCGACAGGTTAGCTGAAGAGACTTGGCCTTTCAATATTAGCTTAGATTTCTCTTCTGGTCTTCGTCATTAACACATCACACACAAGATCTGAGTGCGAAGAACGCTGTGAATGGTGTCCATCATCTAGTTTGTTACTTCTTGTGTTACATAGAGTTTTTAAAATCTTGTCGTCCATAACAGTGGCAACCTACTTGTTACTGCTGATATCCCGGTTCATTATCTAAACCACAAACGTTCAAAGACGCTATGTTTGTGTTGTTTGGCGTATCTCTGATAGTTGCTTCCAGTTGCCAAAACCTTTCAAGGAAGCCTATTCTGGATTCTTTGCTGTAGTATGGTCTTTATTAATCGGATGAGACTGGACTGAACATCCATAGGCTTTTTAAACATAGAATGTCATCACGAACATACAAACGGAGTATTATATTTGTTGCTTCTGTCAAATTCTATCTTCACAGCTACTAGGAGAGCTTCGTAGGAATTAAGCCATTGCTTTTGAAAGCTGATCTTTGTCCATCTTGAGATAACCTTAGCACATCTCCGTTACCTTTTGCGAAGCTGAGCTCAGTTCCTTTTGAGATAGAAAGGTTTGTTGTCATATATTTGTAGTGAGTAGTCACTGTCACCTCGAGCAATAGCAACTGATATATTCCAGCCTGCCTGTTTGGTGCTGCAGGTTACTGGATTTAAGGGAAATCAGTACAAGAGCTTTCCGACCCTTGTGGAGGCAGAGCAATATTTGAACTCTCTTGCTGGTTCTTCAAAAAATGTGGAATCTGCTGTTGTGTCTGTTTCTTTACCAGCTGAGAAGGAAGCAAAAAGCGATCGGTCTCATAAATTTTTCGGCCCAATCAAGGTAAAAAATTTGTTACTCCTAAAGCGAAAATGTTGATTTTACCTCAGTTGTATCGCATATGTACTGCATATGTGTCTGTTTAGCCAGCTAATTTGTAAGAAGTGTCTGTCAATGGATTCTTTAGTGCTACCGTGGATAAAACGATTTTATGTTACTGGACTGTCGTGTTGAACTTCACAGGAGATACAAAAACCGAGTCGTGAGAGCAAGCCATTCAAGAGCAATGCAATTTCAATCTGTTCATCCTTGCTGGACATGCGGGGAAGCGATATTTGTACATTATCGCCAGCGAATTCCACTATATCTGTGAAGAAGAAACTGGAACGAGCATCACTTGCCTTACCAACACAACATGGTTTTGACGAATCGCCCGTCATTGATCATGACGTAAGTAAAAAGTTTATCTCTCACTCATATGCGCGGACAACATTATTTATAATCCTTGGGTACTTGAGGAATGTTGTTTGGGCTTGTGGAACTATTATGCGCATCTGCAAAAAACACTTGTGAAATCGGTCGGTCATATGTAAGTATGACAGGCGAGCACCATACAGTTGGAATGATTTGAAGAGTTTGGAAAGGTGAAGAGCATTTCTTACCTTCTTCATTCGACGATTGTGACAAGCATTTTATATACCTTGTTAGTGAGAACGTTTCCTCATTGTTAATTTGGCATTGGTATTCGATTTACAGTTTATGACTGGCATTAACGAATTGTTTGTATAAAACGGGAATCAATTTACGTACATGATAATAATCGGACCAAGCACGAGCTTGTACAAGCAGTGGAACAACATTTTGTGATATGTCTTCCTATTTCACATCTCACTTTTCTGATTTCTTTCCCGAAAAGACGTTTTATTGGATGATGCTCATACATTTTAATTAGAACACCTTTTGGTTTGGTAAAGATTTAAACGTTGGTTTGGTAAAGACTCGTTATTGTCGGTCATTTCTGTGGATGGTACGGTAGAAAATCAGATCTGAACAAGGTGAATGTTATTTAGAGGATGCAAGAAATCTGCAACTCCTTATAGGAGTTAGTTGCTTTTAGGTGCCGTTGTGTCCTATCATGTGTGGATCCTGTATATATGTTGTTTACGAATATTGAGAGGTTTGTTTGAGAAAAATAGACACGTAGACTCGGCGGTGTATGTCATCACCTCCGGTTATATGAAGCATAGAATATCAAAGTAAGGAACTGGTGATACATACGGTGGAGTCCTGATGCCATAGAATGAGCCATGGGACAGGAAGAAATATTCTCCGAGATACTTATTGTGGCAAAGAATTGCACCAAGCAGGCAGTTTATCAACTGGAGTACGACGGGGCATCCAAAGGAAATCCTGGTCACGCTGGTGCTGGAGCCCTTATTCGCCACCCAGATGGAACAGTGGTATGTATTTTCTGCACAAAGTAGTCTCGTGAGAGATTACATCACTAGTGTGAGCACGCCTTGTCAAGAAGATCCATCATTTGCCTGTAGTGGGTGTCATGGTCTGGCTTCTCTGAACAGTCTCATCAAAAATACATCATTTCTCCTACCTGTCGTTCAACCCCAGCGGATATCATTACATGGCTGTAAAAGAAACTTAGATTATATTGCGAGGTGTTTTTATCGTTTTTTATTTTAAAAGCTGTGATGTAGTAGCTTTTTAGTGAGGACATCGAGGTTTCTGTCTTCGACACTTGAATCACATCTTCTTCCTGATCTGCATGTTTCAGATCTGTTCCCCGTGCTAATTATTCAAATGGATCTGGAAATCTAACTTCAGTTATTTATACATTGGCCCTACGATGAATAAGCACTCTTGGAATCCTGTCTTCACTTCCAACTTTGGGTATCAACATTGTGATTGTGATGAACTGAGTGTTAAGACAGTAAGATCGAAGTCATAAACAGCTCAATGACCGAAATTTCACGAGCCACAGAGAACGATACTTTTATCTATCATACCGGGATGATCAGACATCACTTCTGTCTCGCTAGAAGACGGGGCCACGGTCTTCAAACTAATGGTGCTTGATGAGTCATTACATAAATGAAAGAATACAGTCCTCGTTGAGCTTGATGAAAGCGCTCAGCCATTTTCATATCCATAGAAATATCATATATATCTAAGAGTGAAAAAGTTCCTAAGCAAAGTCTTCGAACTGTTTCCAGGTTTGTGAATTGACAGTAGGCTTGGGAAAGGCGACCAACAATGTTGCAGAGTACAGAGGCCTAATTGCTGGCTTGAAGAAAGCGCTTGACCTGGGTATACAGCGGATTCAAGCCCAAGGAGATTCTAAGCTCGTTACACAGCAGGTAAGAATAGCATGCGACAGTCATGTGCGGGTCTTTGAAGTTCGGCTTTGTTACAGTAAAGTATCACAGTTTGAGTCACAAACATTCAGAGGTGTCTGTTAATTTCAATATGTTTATGGATTTGTGAGTAGGTTCGTGGTGTTTGGGCTGTGAAGAATGAGAACCTTGCTGTGCTATGCAAGGAAGCGAGAAGGCTGGTTACGAGTTTCAAAGGTTTTGAGATTCGCCATGTGGATAGAGTAAGCAAGACGCTTCAGGGCATTTTGATGTTGGGCATTATTGTGAACTGGATGTTATCCTAGAGTTCATTCACTTATCAAAGTTTTATCTCCTCAGAACAAGAATTCCATGGGCTGCAGGCAGCTTGTTTTAATATGAAAACTGCGTTATGTGAAAAAGGATACGAAGAGAAGAAATAAACTTCTCAGAAGATAGAGTGTTCAGGAGAAGACAGTGTCGAATCATCGGAATCTGCTTGTTCTTTGAACGAGTTACTGTCCACCAAGTTACTTCTTTTTTGTTTCAGTTGATTGAAAGTATTAACCACTTTAGATGTTATTTTTGAGCAACTTTGCTCCTGAACCATCGGAAGAGTAAATAAGAACGTCGCAGCTTATTGTACTAATTAGATCCGACTTAACTCGGCAGACTACTGTCCAATAGTTTACACTAAATACGATGAGAATTGTCCCGTGGAATCAATTATAGAATGGCAAGTGGTGATGAGTATCTTTTGAAGGCCATTACTGGCATTACCTATTTTCATCGCCGGACTAGAGTTTCTGTGTCCTAATTTATGACGTCGAAGTCATCAGCTTAACCTGAAGGAAACTTGGTTAGAGGTTCGAAAGATTATTCAGGCTTGTCAAGATCTGATTCTGCTCGGCTGCAAAGTTTGATTCCTCTCGCGGGTCATAAGCTTTATCTTTTGTCTTGCTTGCTAATTCACGAAGTAATTGCTTGTGCAGGAATGGAATTCGGCAGCCGACGCTCTTGCAAATAAGGCAGTGGGACTTGCTGGTAATAATTTTTCTTCTGGCAGTAGCTCCCTCGTAAGATTTTTCAGTAAGGGATCAATAATAATAAGTACTGTGATAGAGGCATTTCCGGTGGCTTCCCTATTCTTTTGAATTATCGGAGAGGAGTTATTTGTAGTACCGAGCTCTTACGTTCTCTTACGTTGGATGGTAAAATGCATTTCGATCAAACTGCTGGAAGCTACTACTAACTCATGTTCTTTTAGATTTACTCGTTTCTGAGTGGCAATTTGTTTGTCCACACAATGTCTTACCGACAACCTGACAGGACGGCATGTGACCGACTTCTCTGGGATATGCAAAGTGGCTACTGTAATTTTTTAAGCTGCGCAAAAGCCTGTGGCCGCTTTACATCGGGCGGATCTTGTCTGGATGCGGTTCTGACTCATACGTTCTTCATCTGCAGAGGAGAAATTGTAGCACATCCGTGCGCTGAAATCGAAGAAAGATAACCAACACTTACTCAAATAAGGCATGGCTTCCCAAAAAGCAGAACCCAATGGCTCTACAGCTCCAGCAGGACGTAAGAGCAGAAGAGTTTCGCCAGTTTGCCTGAGCTGCAGACACTGCTTTTGGCCTTCACGGTGAGACTTATAAAGCGGGATATGTTCGGCCAATCAGAGTTTGAAGAAGATCAGCTTACCTCGACCTGTCGCCTGGCCGATTTGAATCGAATCCAGGTAGAGGTCATTGGGGCGTCTCACCACCCGTGGTTAAAACCCTGGCCGCAGTTACTTCAAGGTGTTGAGCTACAGTTAAGACCTCAAGTTGAAGTCTTGTACGTTACTCAAAATTGGATTGATTAGACACGAGCCAGTTGAATTGGCGTATACAGCCTTACAACTTCAAACTTCGTGTGTAAAACTGTAATCGTCTAAACATCAGCTTGCAGCTCCAGAGCACCTTCAGAGGAGTTGGGAGCAGAGATTGACGATTGGGGTACCCTAAACCGTCACATTTGACAGGAGACGCTAGACTTGATATTGTAAAATTCTCGCAAGATGGACCGTTATGACTTCATGTTGCCACAAAATACCTTCCGAAATTTTGCTTTGATCGCGTACTAATGAAACACGGGCAACGATGGTTGCCAGTTTGTAATCAAAACCATCTCCATGTACAAAATCTTATGGGAATGGACTATTTTATAAAGTATTATGACATGAAAATGTGCCATTGTTACTGCATATAGGCGAAATTGCTATTCAGGGAAATGCAAAATCGATAACACTTTGCAATCATTTGAAAATTCGGTTGAGAAGTTGGTTGACCATGTTTCCTAGAATGAGATACATGGTGTCCGACTGTCTCTTACTCCTTCACTACCACTTTCTCCACAACCAATGTACAACTCGTGACTTCGAGGCTTATCATTCAATTGAAATGGGCTAGAGGAGCATATGCGGGCCGAAACCGTGAACAGCACCAGAGTCGGCTCTGAGAGGGAGAAGCGAATAAATAAACGATTGTGGCTCCAACTAGAAAGTTTTCCCTAACCGTCCTTTGAAACATCCACAAAGGGACGAATGAAGATCGGTTGGGCCCTGTCGTTTCGTAAATATCCCAACCCACACCGAGGCATATGCCGTTGCTTATCGACACCTGTCCAAAACGATCAGTCGATCGGCACCTCCACATCCATTTTGAGACCACCGTTGCTAAGAACCTGCCACACGCATTTCGCATAAGCAAGCATCAGCCTAGGTGACAAATACTTGGTTCATCTTTTCCAGGTGTAAACACGTATAAATTGACATTTTTCTAAGGACTGGTGGTGTCTAAGGCAGAAAGAGAAGTCTGAAATAGATTCGGCAGCTCTAGCGTTGAGAATCATGACATTATCGTTGACAAGTTCAAACCACATCCGCTGTTGACTGCTTTAGAATCACACTACATATTTACGTTTATACTCCATTATATCAAACTGCGTATTAAGTATTAAGATTAAAAGCTTCTTCCCGGTTACTCCCATTCTTTGAACTATTATCAACTCTGGGTTTTGAAGGAAAAATCCTTACAACTTCAAAAAATCCCAAAAGGTTTTAATAATTTCTACACTGCGCAAATTCCCCTTCCCACGATGGATCCAAACCAGAAGCATGTCATGTCCGTGAGTTTACCTTCAAAAAGTCTTCAGGCGTCAGTGAGTAATCTTTTGAATATCCTGACTCTTCCAGAGCTTGAGTAACAACAGCCTGTATTTTCATATTTTAAGGACATTACTCAGTTTCGACCACAGCTGCTTACGGAAACATCTCAACATCTTTCCGAAGACTGAAAGTTGAAAACTGTATCGTTAGTTGTATCTACGTAATGGAAAAATAAACCTCTCCACAGTACTACAAAGCAAGGCTTAACGTCCAATCCCCTGAACGTGAAGTGTTCTCAGAAAGAAGTTATCCTTATTCACCTGTCGTTGTTTATCTGTTAGGAAGTCACCAGAGAGGTCACGCAGAACTCGTATCATATCTTCACTAGACACCTTCCCATTGTTTCGAATATCGTAGACTCTGAAGATGACTGCCAGTTTGCACAAAGAGTTAGAGACACAGTCCCAGTCTCCCAAGGTGGACCTTCACTTCGATAGAAAACATCTTCCTTAGTGCTAAAAACAGCAATTTACCCACAAACGGTGGTCTGCTGGGATGTCCACAGAGTCCTATACTCCTCACGTATTTCAACATTGAAACGCCTTATACCACATATATCTTGAAGTAACAGGGGTGGCTACAGCAAGATCAAAAGCAAAACAGACTACCGAAAAGTATAGAAGAATGTACAGATGTGAGGTGAGAAACTTCGTAATAGACAAAGACCAAAGTTTCTGTACGAAAGAACTTTGCGAACAAACGTGCCTACCTCTAACAGCATTGAAGCAGAAGAAAAAAGTGGTACAATCATGGAGATCTTAACATCCAGATATATCTTCAAACGCAGCCACATTCCAAAGCCTTAAGGCAGGTCACTTACAGTCTAGTTTGTCGTTAATGGTTGCTAAAGGACTGAAAGCTGACAACACTGCAACAAATTCCTTGAAATTCAAACCCTCCAGTATTCCAAGTAGTCTCTGTGCAGGGCCACGAAATCTTCAAAGGACATACTGAGCTCACTCTCGAGCCGTAAAATTCGAAAAGTGCGGAATGTAACTTTGGACTTGCAAAGAGATTCGCTTTCTACGTGTACTGTACACACCTGTGAAAGAGGATTCACGGCAAACTCCGGAACAGACATGAACTCATCACCAGAAATATAACCTTTGCCACTCCGATCGAGCGCACAGAATCTTTGGTACAAAGAAACAATCTCTCGCTGAGTGACTGCACAGAAGGAAGCCAGAGATATTGGTAGAGATATCATATACAGGGTCACACAACATGTGAGCCAATATGGCCCTACCGATCCACTGAGTATCGCGCTTATACATAAAATTCAACAAACTATGCACGAGAGTTATTGAATTCTATTGACCCAGGTCTACTTTTTGCTTTTGTACGGCAACCAAAAAACACTGAGCAACGCATAAACAAACATGTCAATGTGATGCATCCTTTTGCCACCGAACAACATGCAAGTTTCAACCCTAGCCACTATCCCATGGTTGAAATACAAAATCCTCTCACAAACTCCTGGCAAGCGCTGTGCAAACAACGCATACGCCTTCTAGATTGGAAGTGGTGAAGATTCAGTCCTCAGCAGAACATTGACGCAAACATGAAGCTAGAAGAGACGGTTGCCTTCGCATAAAATCCACACACACCATAAAACTGAGACAAACTTCCCATCTCCGGAGATTTGGAAAGAGAAGCAGAACAGATTCGTGCGCGAGAAAAATCTGATCACAGAGTTCCATGAACAGAGAGGAATCAAGAATCCAAATTACATAGCTCCTTCTAGAACACCATTACTCTAATATCAACTGTCCGCTCCCTACTCTCTAGAAACTGCTCTGTAAGCCAAGGCTTACGTACATCGCTGAGAACAGTGGTTTTCCACATCTTCTATATCATACTGCGTCAGCATGGACGAAGTGTTTCCCATCGTCCCTTCGATAAATGCGAATCCTCCTCCCGACGGCCTCCCACTCGCTCCCTGCTGATCTTCGGCCGCGGCGCTGCAGCGGCAGAGGCGCTGCGAGGCAGTGCTCTATTCTCCAGTGCCCGCGGCCTTCTCTTGCTCTCGAGCATTTCGCTCCAATTCTCGTCGTCGCTGCCCCTTCTCTCGCTCTCTTCCTCGTCCTGCGCAAATCTTTCGTCCTTTACTGTACTGCGTCTTGTTTGCCTGCCACGCGGCCGTGTCCTCGTCATCGTCCCTCCGCCTCCTCTTATTGTTATGCCCAGTTATACGGTATCGTCCGTATGTATCGTCTTCGGGCGAAAACTCCATTGCTCCCATGTCGTGAGATACAGTAACCTTCTTTAAAAGAAGCCACGATATAAATTAGAGTCTTTGTATTCTACCAATTTAATGTTGGTACAATCCCCAAGTCGGCAAGTCGGTCAATTATTCTCTTACGTTTAGGTAGTTGACGCAAAGTCAACTAGATCGGACAAAGTTTCACAACTGTATTTATTTCCGAATCTCTTTGAAATGAATTAAGTACTCTTGAAGTTAGATTCACATCTTTGAACTTGTTGATAGCGTGCATTTAGGACGGGCGCCTCAAGTAAGACGCATACATTATTATTTTCTGTAAAATATTTGGATTAGCGTGAGTTGACAATAACAAGTAACATTTCACATAATACAACTTTGCAGAGTATTATATACACTTCAAACATTTCAGTTAGGACAAATTGTACAAATTTGTTTTGTACCAGAAACCGTTATGTTGGCACATACAATGAAGACCTTAAAGTCTTTCCGTCTACTAACGGAAAATAACATAACCACAATACTTGCCGAATTTTTCCATATACACTTCAGGAGGAATGTGACCAGAGTGTCTAGCAATAAGATAACTCTTGTCTCCATAAACATACCAACATAAAGTTCAACCCACCTGGGCTTGCGTTAAAATTCCCAAAGCTATCCAAGTAGCCTTCCAACAAAGCGGAATAAGAAACTATGTCGTGTCTGTCAATATAATATAATAGTCATTCTTTAGTTCCAAACCATCATGATAAAAATGTATTCGCGCTAACAAGTACATTTGAGAAACTACATTTGAATACACGGCGATTATGTAAAGCAAATGAGGAAAACCCAGTCAAGCAGGCAGAGGTTATTGTCAAAATCTGTCATATATATTTTTTATCTTTAATTTCAAATTATTCACAAACACTTATTAACAAAATTTCAATTTAAAAAAGTAGAATGAATATCCAACCATGACCATTCCTTCATGGCACAGCCATCACTTTTCACATCATCTTAATAATTTACCAACCCATGCAACGGTAGTTTCTGGTTATACAAATTATCTTCAAGGTTACTTATGTTATGGAAAAACTACTCTTTTGTGGCAAAATTTGGCTTTCAAATAAAATATGTTTAAGGTGAAAATGCTTCAATTTTGACAAGAAAAATGTAAACTGAATAATGTACTATTCACAAGATTTATTCTTATGATTAACTAATAAGAAAAGACATCATGACTTGATTCTACATATGTTTAACAACTTCAAATTTGAACCAATTTAATATTTATTTAGATTTTTGGTAAAAAATTTATGGCAAAATTTTGAATTTAAAAATAGTTAGGAAAATATTTTCAACCATTATCTAGAATTCTAAACTCATTTCATATCATGGACAAATTTGAAACATGTATATCAATTTTTTTTAATTTCAATTTATATTTTATTTTTGACGTACAAAATATTTTAAATAAGTATTGTAAAAATCATAATATCATGTTATGCTTGAATTCAGTAGAAAGAATGAATTCAAATGTACATTAGACAGCATGAAATCCTATAATCTTATTACATTCAACAATAGGTATATCATTGACTTGTGATGAAAGTTAAGCTCAAATAACTACATAATATTTTCACAGCATACATTTTTTTCATGCTGTATATTATCTATTTAAAAAATATTTTTTCAAATTTTTTATTTGTGATTTATATTTACTCAAATATATATGCATAAATAATGTATATATTACTTAAAATTAAAAAAATTGTTCAATCGAATAATTCTGAAAATGATGGTGATTATATTATTTTTTAACAAATGAAAATTTCAGATATAAATAATCCATGTAAGGTGATTTTTTTATTAAAGTATGATTATATTAATTTTAAATTTGAAATATTATCATTTATAACTTGATAATTGTAATTTCAAACAATTGAATTTTAAGAAAAAACTTGACTAACAAGTTTAAATACAATAAATTCAAATAAATCAACACGTAAAGATAAGTTACGTAAGAAATCAAAAGGCTCCAAATTAAACTCATTGTTCAAAATTTATTCATGACGTATGAATTGTCTCCCATATACTAGGAATTAATTCAACTCTTGATTAATTTTAGCTAGTTTGTTAATTACTAGTTAGATCATTGAGTGTTACATACTATGAAGAAATTAATTATAGTTGTTTATGATACAATCAAAATTTTCGTGAAGTGATGATATTTTGTGGAGTTTTGAATAGATGTATTGCTTATTTGTTCAATAAACAATTTTTTTTGTGATATCATAGATTTGAGTTGTGATTAAATAATGAATCATATATATTTTATTTCAATAGAGATAAATTCATTGTTATGAACATAAAATCATAAAATAATGTATTTAATATTAAATCACAATCACATCCATGCACATGTTGATGAAAAAAAATCAAAAAATTTGATGGGTTTGAAATTGTAAAACAATGACAACGTCATAATTCATTTTGTGTCAATTGATTGAATGATTAGTTATTTACAACAAGTGAAATTTTTAGATGAATTACATAAAAAATTCAAATGTATTATAGGTTTGTAGTAATGTTATATGGTGATGCAAGAAAAAAATATTTTAATATCAAATCTTCTAATGAGATTACATCTATTTTTGCATTTGAGTGACAGACATATTAAATTATAAAAAAAAATTAAAACTTTATGTGCAGTATTTGTGGAAAAATGAAAATAATGTTTTGATTTATCCACCAGTGTTTTGTTGAAGTTAACTCGTGTGAAATACTAAATTTGTTTCTATCTAAAGATAGTTACAAGGGTCACAGCAATCTAGGGTTTGTGAATTACTATGAAAATTTTTACACTCTCACGCATGTGACCTATTCTATCGTGGATGTAGTACTCAGAACGATGAACCACATTACATCTTGCGTCCATTTTGCTTTCTTGACTTGTTGTGTTGTGTTGCTACTTTTATCGTCATTTGTGAATTATGTATATTAATTGGTTCTAGAGTAGATTGAGTTATGTGACATCATTTTGGCAAAGATTGCATCCAATGATTGTGTTTTTATATAAGTAAGTTGATTTTGTGACAGTATTATCGATTTAGAATCTAACAAGTTTTTTTAGAGGTCTATGTAGGTGAGGTCTGCCAATGTGACCATCTTTAATTGGTCAAAACTAAAGTGCATGTTACTCAAGATGAACTTATAATAACTATAGCGTGCATTAGTCATAGCTGCCACGTGAACAATCCGCGTGTTTGATAGATAGGAAGTAAATGTGTTGGTTGATAACACAACGTCAGAGATCCATGTATATGTTAGGGTTATCCGTTTGGTCATACATCCACTAGGACTGGAATGAATGGTTGGGAGTAGATCTTACCTCCTTGTATTTGTTGGTAAGAGCTATGGAAGGAAGATGAGAACTATTGTTGATATCTATCATGTTTAGAGTTTATCTTTCATCTTTGAATAAGGTTTTCACTAAATCATAATGTTACAACAAACAAGCGCAAGTGTGCAGTTGGAGACACAAACTTCTAGGCAATGGGCGTGTAGAGCGGAAATTCACCAGCGGTACTTAATTTTATTTGACATTTTTACGACAAATATCAATTTGCGATCAAGCACTAGCAGTAACAATTGACAAGACGCGCGAAGGTGCAAAGTCGTGCAAGCGGATGATGCAGCCGCTCAACGATGACACATGTTGCCGTTCGCAAGCGACACGAAATCTTCCGTTGATGACATGTCACTTTCACCATCTTGACATATGAGTCAAACTTTATCGTCACGTCATCTCCATCCAATCACGTCATCTCTGTGTCATGTTAGCACCGACATGACACGCAGACGACACATGAACAAAAGTTGACATGTGGCAAATAATGTGGCGGGCAAAGAACAAGCGGTGCAATGTGATCAAGTTAGTAATCAACACGGGCAAAGAACAAGTGATGCAATGTGATCAAGTTAATAATCAACACGGGCAAAGAACAAGCGATGCAATGTGATCAAGTTAGTAATCAACACGGGCAAAGAACAAGCGATGCAATGTGATCAAATTAGTAATCAACACGTGGCGTGGACGACATTCGTGACATGACATGCAAGCGCTAGGGATTCGCATGGCACAACACGCAAGTGCGAGTGACATGTGGAGCACGCCGCGTAGGCGCGAAAGACATGTGTGACTTGTAGAGAAACGCATGGCACAACACGCAAGTGCGAACGACACGTGGAGCACGCCACATAGGCGCGAAAGACATATGTGACTTGACATATAAACTAACCCGTGATGTATAGTCAAGTCCGGGCAGGTCGAGCACGTTCAGGCAAGCGGGATCCAACACGGACAGTTTCAAATAATTGGTTTGAATATTTTGTTGGACTGAGTGTGTCAATAAGGAATATTTCATCAAAAAATGATTTTTTTGTAAATATTCTATCAGACATAATCTTTGCCAAAATATAAGAATTTTGGATTTCATCAAAAAGCTTTTGATGCGATTAGTGCATCATGATACTTTTCAAGAGCTAAAAGTTGACCACAATAAGAAAATTGTAACGGAAGATGACATTGTTTCTAATTTTTATTGTACAAAAATGACATCCATACAAGTTGAGACATTAGGGTATAACATTGTAGCCTTTGATAGACGACATGATTATCCACTTTGGAAAAACAAGTAAAAAAAAAGTTAATGGTTATGTGCCCTACTATTTTATTGAGGAAGAAGCTTGTAGACTTTGATAGACGACATGATTATACACTTTGGAAAAACAAGTAAAAAAGTTAATGGTTATGTGCCCTACTATTTTATTGAGGAAGAAGCTTGTTAACGTTAGCGATATCAAATGGAGGAATTCAAAGGTACTTAAGTACCATACACTATCAAAGATACTACTACATGGTGATATCACATACAACGAGGTTGTAAGTGTACTTTTAGTAAATGAGATTGAAAAGATGATGTCATTTTCTTGTTCATTCACTTTCAAGATTGCACTAATTGTTACTAAAGGGTAGTCACAGTCGGTGTCAACCATTATTTTTTCTCAAATATGACTAAGATTAATCATATTTGAATAAAGATAATGGTTGGCAGAGGTTTGGATCCAAGATGATGAAATTTAGATGAAGGAGTACGTCCCTTAAGAGGAAATTGGTGGCTTGTTGTAGATCTGGCAAGAGTGATTACATCAAGAAATAGTGCCGTAAAAAAGCCAAAGGCGCATTTCTTCCTCCATTGATGAACGATGTAGATAACTTTGACTCTGAAAAACACAATCTTTTGGATTATATTCTATAATGTGAGAGTTATTAGAGACTATGGAATCCAATAGCTTGTAAAGATCTTGTCAGTAGAAATGTTTTTTTAATGAATCAAGATCGTTGACAGAGGAAGAAAGTTCTTATGCTTTTTGTACTAACAAAGGAAAATCTTCACTCATTGATATGGTTGTGGGAGATTTTGATCATTATTTGATTAATGATCAAGAAATAACACCTAGACTTATCGAGTTCCAAGTAACCGGAACTACAAAAGCATGTGTTGATGAGTCTCATCAGGAGTCATGCTAGTAGAACTCTTAAAAGGTTTGGTGTGTGGACAAACTTATCCATTCTTGAAGATTGTGATGTTGACACAGAGTATGTGGATGTTATTGGATTGATATTGGAAGAATTAGAAACTTCTTTGTATAGGTAAACTTAAGCTTGGGTCAATAAGCTGAAGTAAAATTTTGCTATGGAGGTGAAAATGCAGTTGTTTTATGGATAACAAGACGTGGCATGTGGTTAAGATTCTTGGGGATGAGTCGTTAATTGATTGTAAGTGGGTGTACAAGCTAAAGGACAATTCAGTAGATGACGAGACGAGAATTTTCAAAGCCAAGTTGATGGCTAGAGGTTTTGCACGAAAGAAATATTTGACATACAACAAAGTTTTTCTTGAATGTAACAAAATATGGTAAAATTCGTTTGGTCTGTGCATTAATTGCAATATTTAGTTTTCTAATGGACCATATGGATGTGTGTACAATTTTTTTTCAATGGCTATTTTGAAGAAAATGAATCAACCGATTTGCTTTGAGTTTAAAGGCTAGTAGATATTAGTTTGTAAATTGCTGAAATCACGTCATGGATTGACAAGCTCCTAAGCAGTGGAACACGAGTTTTTTGATATGGCCAACAACTAGCGTTTTCTAGCATAGTATTTGTAGTTACCTCTTTATATAATAATTCTATCCAGTGATGTATACGTTACAATTCTATGTAACTCCAGTTGAAATGAGTGGACTTATATTAGGTTTCTTTCTAAAAAATTTTGCGGATTAATTATATAGATTACAAAGGTTTTGTTTCCTCTATTCTAGTCGGTTTAGTTACATCTTTGTCTTAAGGATATGACTTAGTTCTAGTTAACTATAATTATCAAGAGAGAACTTGTGTTAGATTTTATTTGGAACTTACCTTGGAGTAATAATATAAGTTACAAAGGTTACAGGTACCTTAACACAAGTTAAGGGGAAGATTGTTGAAACACAAACATCAGTTCTTAGCTAAAGATAGCTACTAGTGTTGCCAACGTTGAGGTATCAAATCCAAGGATTTGTGTATAAACATAAGACTTTACAATATCATGCGTGTGAGCGTAAGACCCTAAAGTATGAATTACGCTACACCTCGCGTCCATTTTACTTTCTTGACTTGTTGTATTATGTTGATGCTTCTATTGTAATTTGTGAATTATGTTTATTATGTTTGGCAAAAAGTTAAACCTACTTATAGGAATTAATTTTTACATTTGTGTGACTAACAAATTTAATAGTAGCTTTACAAGATAATTTTAGCTTGTATTTGATAACATCATGATTATTTGCAAGTTTTGCATATATGGTGCCAAGCAAAATAAATAATCAAGTAATGTTATCTTACTACATTATTATATTATATTTTCTTTTGGTTACGATTAGATTTTAGTTAACTCTAGTTTGCAAGAGTTTTCAGAATTTACTCTTGATTTTTTTGCAAGCAATCATTTAAATTATAAAGGTTATAATTCTTAAAAAACATGAATAAACAAGAGAATTGTAAGGAATATTTTAGGTTTTGATTAATTTTAGCTAACTTAATCATAATAAATTGATTTGTATAGCATGGCATTATATAAATAGAGAAACCTTGGGACATTTTTACTATTGTCAACACCAGTTATACTTGCTCTTTTAGTATCATTACTACTTTCAAATTTTTTTTGAGTGTTATTATTTTCATATCTCTCGCTTCTTTATTATTACTAATTGTTACTAATTCTAGTTTGGAGCTTCCAATGCTATTCTTGTATGATTTGCCGTCCGCAACAGCTATGTGATATTCTTTGTTTGCTTAATAGATGAATTGTGAGTGAAGAACATCAAATCTATGTGAAAAATCTTCAACATCATAAAATTGTAGAGTGAAAAAATTAACATTACAAATTCCCTTTCTATGATATGCCTGAAATTTGTATAGGGAGAACTATTCGGATAGTTAGACATGGGTTAGCACATCTGAATAATAGATGTAATGATACATCAATTGGGGTACTTCTACTTTTTCTGTTTGTTGTTGCTGAGCTTTATCTCTTATATCTTGGCCTTTCTCTAATCAGACTTAGTCTTTAGTGAGGGAAACTAAAACATAAATGAGATGATTTTTAGTTACCCAAGAACTGATGTAGGAAGACATAGGAGAGCTCTTACATGAAGACCATATCGTGCATTGTCCTTCTTGACAGCAACTAGTGTTTGAATAACAAGAAGTATTATCAGTTTACTATTCTATTGGGTAGTTGGATTTTCCATGAGTACTCTGCTTTGTGCTCTTGCAGTTGCAGATGGTATTTATTGCGATTTTTTTCCGTGTTAAGATTTAATTCACATTATACGCCAGGGGTGCACAATATGTGCCCATGAGACTTAAACCCAACCCAAGATACCCTAGGGATAATTACCAAGCTAGCTAGGCACCAAGGCACAAAGGCAGTTTAGGAGCACCGAAGGACGGTGTGAGAGTGAATTACCATCGATCTTGTTCAAAGTCCTCGCGTCCTGAGGTGTGGTATATACCAATAAAATATGGTTCTGTATTTAAGAGCTAGTCAATGAATCATGGTTTTAGGCAGACTTGTTTCCAAAATTCTGGAAACCGTACAAGACGGAACGTCACGGAAGATAAAAGGTAAGTTGACAACGAGAGAAGTGGTGATAGCTACTTTTGAAGCAACAGTTGAGAGCTGACATAAGAGTCTTCACTTATCAAGAAAGGAGAAAGCGTCACGGACAATTTGCATCTCGTGGGCGAGTTCTGGGCATCAAGATCCACACCGAAATGAACGGGCGAAATGAAACTAGACTTTCATTCGAACCCGACGGAGCTCATGCCTCGTGACGGATTTGAATATGAATAGAGGGCCAGAAGGAAGGGCCATCCGTCCGTCCCTCGGTCGCACAAGGACCGCAACAACTCAACGCAATTCAACTCAACTGACGAATTGAACGGAAGGGCGGATCATACTTTTCGGACTGTCCGTCCGTCAGTCCGTCCGTGGCCTAGACCAGTCCCAGACTGTGGACCAGAGTCTGGCCCCGCGAGAGCTCTCGAAGTGAGTTTGGGTTCGAAGACTCGACTGCACTGCCTGCGAGTTGACAGAAGGCTCGCAAGGACTCTTTTGCCTTGCCTTGCCTTGCCTTGCCTTCGGTGGGCTGACCTTCAGTGGAAGGAAAGGGCCTCACCGGGGTCAGCGGTCGGGGTTTGAAGTGGGGGACTGGGGCCACAGGGAGAGCCTGCGAGGGGAGGGGATGGGGACATCGGGGAGGGAGGGAGGGAGGGAGGGCAGCGCAAGTGTTGTAGGACGTGTATCACAGTAAAGGACAGACAGCAGCGCGAGGAGAGAGGAGAGGGGAGAGGGAAGGGGAGCAGGAACAGCAGCAGCAGGCCATCTGTTTGGTTCGCCCAATTCACGCTTTCTTGAGAGCGAGAGCAAGCGCAGACTGAAGAGGAGACAGTTATCTTTCACTCGTGCTCGGCTTTCTATGTCATCTTCGTCGGTCATTCAATCGGTGGGAGCAGAAGGACGGGAGAGGGAAGAAGGTTTCGACCACAGCCGGGCGAGTGTCTGACTCTCTCACTGCCTCGTCTCCTCTGTCGGAAGTTCAATCAACTTTGCTGCTGTTCGCGAGGCGGAGAGGGATTCGAGAACGACGCAGTATTTGATGCGGACGCTGACAGCAGAAGACGAAGAAGGTACCGGGGGTGAAGGAGTGGAAGGTTCCCGAGGAGCGCCCAGACGCATTTGTGAGCGGAGGACGAGAGAAACACGACGGACAGGAAGGCGGATCCGGTTTAGAGAGAGAGTGAGGGAGGGAGAGGACTGGAAGTGTTGGTGATATGGAGACGAATTTTGCGACGGTTGGAGGAGGTTGAAGTGGTAGGGTTCCAGAGCTATTGGTTGTTTAATAGGATGGGAGGGAGGGAGCCGATTTGCTGATTGATGATGGCTTGGGTCGGGTGAGTTTGAGGCAAACGGGGTTTGCGTGGAAAAGATGTAAAGAACAGAGTATAAATGCAGGGAATTGGAAGGAACGCTAAACCCAACTAGGACTGGTCATTTCATTAGTGGCCCCAGTGTCTCTATGAACATTGGCACTTCAAAGTTGTTCTGATCTTTTCAGTTTCCAGACATTTTTACGTTTATTTTTGTGGAGTCAAGAACGAACGCCTACGAGTACTTTTGTCCGCCCCTGGATTTTTTGGACGGGATGGAACACAAGGATGAAACTAGAAACTTATCGGGAAATTATTAGACACAAGTTAGATCTTCCCGCATGGACGGAAAGGACCCACGCTCAATGGCAGAAGCCATGCCTTCTTCATCGGTGATTACTCTGTCTTTCTGCTCGTTGGGCTGTTACTGTGTATTGCTCGGGGTTCTTCGTTTGTCTATATTTGATTGAGTTGACAAAGATTAGTCTAAGGGCTGGGACCAAGGCGACTCTGGTTGAAGAGCGGCGTTAAAGTGTACTACCGAGACCAGGCACGGGGTTTCGATTTTGGTTTTGTTTTGTGTTTGGTGGAAATGTGCAAGACTCGTTTCTCAATAGATAGAACATTCCCAAACTGTTCTGTTATTGTGAAATTGACGATGGGTATAAATTCTGATATTAGTACCGATGAAAATCATTCGGTGACGATGTTTTAACCTATTCCAGGTGCCATTCGTAGACTTGGGAAGTGGGTCTACTGCAGGCAGGGCCCATCGTTGTTAAGATGCGGAATTATAATCAACGACATGGGCGAGATGATGTTGTATTGGTTCTCTAGAACTGCCATACGACGCTTTTCTGTGGCCAATGTGCAGATATATGTGCTATTGCTCCTATGCGTACTATGCGTCTGACCGACGTTTTGTCGCGTGGCATCTTCTGGAAGCCACACCCAACCCCCATTGGAGTAGATTTTATAATTGAAGTAAAGAGAGTGTAATTACTGCGGACAGAGCGGGCTCCTGATTTTGGGTGGATGGAACTGCTGATGGGACAGGAAATCGCAGCCTGTCAATCTGAAGGAGAGATGCGAAGAGGGATGTGAGAACCCTCACGGGGATATGCAATCAAGGAAGAGAGGGCGCGATGGACGGTGGACGCTATATGCTGCAGCAAGCAGGATGGGATAACAGCAGCGTACGCCATACAATAGAAACAAAGTTGATATCCATACAAATATTATGTGGTTTTCTCATTAGAGTCTCCTGTGCTACGGGGTGACATCACCCCACCATAAGAATGATGGTTCACGTGCTTCTCACCATCCTGACCCGCAAGCACACAATCAATCACGCACGCCCAACGCCAAATGTGGATATGGCTCTTCTGGATTTGGCAGAAAAAGAGGCCTCCTGTCCTCCTGTTTCTGTCTTGGGTGCTGACTTGCCCTATTTCTTTTGGATGCACAGGCTTTGGAGAACTACGATCCCATCCACGATTCTGACCTCAGGTTCTTCCTTTTCCCAGCCTGCCTAATTTGGGTCTTGATTAGTGGCGCTCACTAAATGAAGCATGTTCCATCGTGCATTCCTGTAGCGAAGGCGTAAGTAAAATATCATCAAGTTGTAGCTGTCCAGCCTCACAATATATTTTGGAAGATGTAATCTTCCCAAAAGCAGTGAGGAGTCAGGTATGGCGCAATTCTGCAAGGGCTTTAGTGAAAGCAAGTGCGATATGCGTCCTAGGTTCCATCTCAAATTGTTATACCGGCCCATTTCAATTACTGGTGCTACCTAAGGGTGGAATCCTCGTACAAGGTTGTATTGTATGCGTAGATTCTCGCACAATCTATGGCCGTTCTTGAGTTGAGGGATATAGAATTCCCATAACGAGGCACACTGGCTCTTCTAACTTGGTAACTACAGATCATTACAGGCGCTGTGAAATCGTGATTTTCTCGTTTAACATTTGATGTTAGAAGTCTCTAGACAGTTACATGGTGATTTGTCATCTAAATATGTCTCCTATCCACGTCCTTTCTCGGTTCTTGCGCTTTGCGCAAAGCCCACAGTGTCGTTGCTTCTTTGAATTTCCCTCTTACGCTCGATCCAAGCATATGCTCTTTGCTCAACCTCATATGCTAAGTTGATAGTCGCTTTGTTCTTTCTGACTGTTCCTCCAGCAACTTCATGGTCCCTGCGCTTAGATTCATGCGTACAGGAGACTTTTTCATTTCGAGTCAGTGTCTACTTTGATGGTATTTTCTTCATATTAGAAGGCCAAGAGCAAGGATTGTCTGCTCATAATGGGATGTGCAAGGATATTTAGGCAGGCACACCAGGCTTTCCTACTGTATTGCGTTTGCTTGTCCCTAGGGAGGGATTATGCAGATGGCATTCTTAAGTTGCAAACTGTTCTCGCGCTTCATGCGACTTTGGGCAGAACCATCTGCGCATTGAAACATACTGATGACATCGGCGGAGATGGCTGGCAAAAAGATGCCTGCCATTGAGATATTGGAGAAGATGACTGCTCTGGTTGCTTCCAGCATTCCGGGCTATAGAGCACTCGCGATGATTTTTGCTGTATTTGTACTTTGATTAGGTGTCTGACGTTTGCTTCTGTATCCCTGGGCTGGTCTTATGCTTTATACGTCTGATCATATGACGCAGCGTCCACACTGTGGTGCTGATCCTGTAGTTTTGACCTCCAGCTGTCTATAATATATACAGTTTCTCTCTTTGGCTTTCCATTTGTATGGCACAGAAACCCATGATAAGTAGATCATACGGAGCTACTTCGATACCAGTACAGGCGTTGATGAAGTGCTGGAGCGAGTATATTGCACTTTATGCGTGATATGCACAAGCCGTTCTGGAAAACGTTTGTGGGCAACTTCATGCCGATTCCCTAGCGAAACATATTTACATACCGAGCTAATATCGTACACGCTCGCAACTTATCGCCTTTCGCAGGCCACCGTGGGCTTCTTTCTTACGTCATGATTCGAGCTTGGACGTTTGCTTTGTCGTGGTTAACTTTTGTTCAGTTAATCAGTAGGTACTAATCCCACGACCGTGCAGATGGTTTTTAGCTCAGGTAGAGTGTTTGCAACACATTAACTTTCTGTTTCACTTTCAATGTTTGATCTATAGAATATATGACCCTGGGTCGATCAATTCTCTAGACGCAGTTTGTATAGATTGTTTGTGATAGAACATCGACCAACGTATGCAAACTAAAGATAGCTATAAGGCTATTGAGAGATCCCTTTCCATCTTCAAGAACGTCTCCATCCCTGGTAGTCCATATGCAGACTGGCAAGCTTTCTGCGTGAAGGCAGGTGTGGCTTCCGACAGTAGACGCTAGAAGAATCTTCAGGGAAGTTTTTAAAATGAGATCTTTCTGCTGAAGTTAGTGAAGTAAAGGGAGCCCAACTCCAGCTCACTCTTTCATCATTCGCGGGTTTCTAAATCAAACGGCTCTCTTTTGATGCTCATTTCCACCGTTACCACCCATAAAAGATATTTTTTAAAAAACATCATCTTGCGTAGAGTAGTCCAAGGCTGAGCTCTCACGCGAAGTCACTACATTAGGAATGAAAGTCTCAGAATAGGTCAAAAGTTTTAAAAAGCTGTAGAAAATGCAGGGCCAGATGAGAGGTGGGGAGATGTGATTACAGATGTCATGAAGTCGAACAACATCTCACATCATGCTTTATTCTGATATCGGATGCCACGGTAGATGCCAGAAATTGGTTTCCAACTGTAATTTATTCGGTCTTTGCGTTGTTGATACGTCTGCGCCAAGTTGATCATGACTAGTCTATTCGGGCCGATTGTCGAACGGGGGAGTCATCGTCGGTCAACCGGCGCTGATTAAAAGAAGGTCGTACCAAAGGTGACTGGATGCTCCGACTTGTAGGTTGTTCAAGGCTCACGTGCCCGTATTCGGTTCATGGCTATATTTAGTTTTGCATTAGGGTGATTAGCATCTTGAAATTCTGACATGTAGGCTGTTCAGGATTGTCATTGACAATTCCCTCTCTTCCGAGAAAGTAAAAATCTTGTTTTCAAACAACACCAATTAATCAGATAACGTTTGTCGTTTTGCCGTTTCTCACTTTGTATACTGTACATTCCAAGTCACAGTGTAGTACATATACTTTCTTTATGTTCTATGTAAGGTTGTCTATCGGGTTTTCTTAAAAGCTTCCATCGTTATCCCTCAATACAGCTTCAGTCTCTACCAGGCAATAACGGTTGAGTACAGTCTAGGTATTGAAGTTACCATCCAGACAATGTCCAAATTCAAACCTTCTTACACACTCAAGATGTTACCTTTTTGGTTTGGATTTGGTCTTTATGCTTGATTTTGGCATATCCATAGACAATGGATATCTGGTTCGTCGAGAATTTGGAAAAATAATATCATTGGTGTTTCGTCGACATCGAATGCCAAGCTTCTCGCTGGGTCTTTCACTGATTTGCTGACTATGGAAGTCCATTTTTTAACGAAGACTTCTTCGATGTGTCCTACTTTTCGCTACATTTGTAATGAGTGGCCCCATATTTCTTGTTTATTAGAGCACATCCTTCGCGTTAACATCCTCCAACGGACGTTCTCCTCAGTAAGCTGGATGCACATGTAGGTTACACTTCTGCATCGCAGTTTCTTGGAGACGATGCGTGCAGTCCTTCAGCTCGTGTATCAGATACTTGAAAGTCTTGTAAGCCGATCGCATTATACTCCCCTGTATATCTATTCAACACGAGTAATGTGACCTCCACCGATACGTCAGACTGTTTACGTACTATAATTGCATTGCACTGGCTAACGGAGAAGTCGGTCCTGCGCTCAAATCCTTCAGCAGTGCTCTAGGGCTGCAAGATTATAACTGCAAAAACTTCAACATTCCGGTGTTTTCCCGTATGTGTGGTTAAGCACAGTAAAATTCTACTACTGGTGTGATACATTGAAACAGATGTCTTGCAGACTGAAACAGAAACCTTGATGCACTTTCCTCTAAGAATAGTGAGGCCCATCTTTTAACTGCTTGGGGTGAGAGGCTCAAGCCTTTTAAGGTTGACAACAATAGTTAGTTCGTTCCCAAACAATTGTTGTTGCTAGCATCTTCGAATAATAATCCTAACGTAGAAAGCAGTAGCATGACCAATTTTCCACAGTTATGAAGTGTATATATTCTACTTCTTTAATATCTTGTTCAGTGTTTGGAGTAAAGCGTGATTTTATATCGTCCAGATCTAGCTCCACACATACAACACCATGTCTTCTATTTGTTGGTCCTTCTCATACACTTTGCAATGCGTCGGGGTTAGGATTCTTAGGATTCTGTTGGCAGTCATCTATTCACTCCTTTTCTGTTTTCCCTGACACACGCTTATAAGATACTTTTTGTGGTTTGCTTCTTTTGTCTACAGAGCCGGAGGAGCTTATGGAGGAAGAGGGGGTTATCTGGAAGGAAGTTTTGCTCGAGAGCCTGGCTTCTCTCGAGATTCTTATCAGCGGGAACTTTTGTATGAACGGGAGGCTTTCGGAATGTCACCGGCCGTCCTTGGATTGTGGCCACCTGCGAAAAGGCGAACTCTAGAAGAAGAGCTCGCTTTATTGCGGGAAGTGCAAAGACACGACAAAGTTGGATTTGTCGAGAGCTTTCGAGACTATGGGTTCGATAGGGTTGGGCGCCACAGTCGAGATCGAGATAGTTACGATGGCGATGATTATGAGTACAGGCGGAGGTCTCTGCGGGGGAGTCGTGAAGGAAGTAGAGATGTGGACTTCGAGTTCACGACCACACGTCATCGTGGAGGAGGTTATGACTCCGATAGAGAGAGGTCTCGCAGGGAGAGAGAGTGGCGGAGAAGAAAAGACAGAACACTGGACCGAAGCCGCAGCCGAGAAAAGGAAAGGGATTGGAGTCCTGTAGACAGAGACCGTCGTCGTGAAAGGTCCCGTTCATTCAGCTATGAGGAAAGAATCCGAGGGAGATCACGGTCGCCTCGGAGTCGCAGCCGTGGTTGGCGTGAAGATAGTTATGAAGATGCTCCCCCTCGTAATGAGAGACGAAGAGATCGGGAGGGAAGGAGTAGCCATCATGAGCGGGCTCCCTTGGTAATGAGAAAATTTTATGTCCTGTACTTGCGAGTATTATCTGCCTTTTAAGTGGAACAGAATCATACTCACAAGTATAGGCAGAATCTTGGTTCGTTCGTTCAAGCCAGCTTGGTTTTTGTGAAACTAGATGATGGCCAGACGGGTGAGATGAGAGTCACAGGACTGTCTTGCTTACATTTTGCACTTTTTGGGCGAAACCTCCAATCAACCAAGAAGCTCGTCCGTGCCTTCCTCGCGTATATCCGTAATGAGTTGGGAGGCTGTTATTAGGACAGACAGCGGTTGGTTAGTTGTTACTCGGACGACAAGTACCTACTTCTGGCTCCCCTACCTGGCACAGCAACCTTTATGGACAGTGTTGGATGTGATTTGAGGATGTTGGTTTGCCCGTCCAGGCGTTTGGGCTTCTCTTTGATGAACAGCAATCTCACAATTCTAGTTTTGTGGTGAGCTGCAGGCACCTTCTGCAACCCTTGTGGTGAAAGGGCTTTCGCAGAAAACTGTGGAAGATGATCTGTATCATGCTCTGGTAATTTCACATGACCAGCTTAGCACGTGAAGAACGCCCCTGCCTTCAGCAATTGCATTTTTTCATGAGTACACTTTCTGTGAGAATCCGCCAGCGGAACTCGAACTCTAATCAAACTGTGCCCGAGGCATTCGGATTTTGTACAGGCCAGTTTGAATTGGTGTTGAAGGATATATTTTTCTTCATCCTTGGACGGCAGCTTACGAAGGTTATGATGGCGACCACACCCCATGCTGCCATCTTACTAATTTCGAGGATCTTACGTGCAGGCTGAGTGGGGTCCCCTTAGGCACGTTCGTGTGATCAAAGAAAGAAACTCGGGTGTTTCACGGGGCTTTGCCTTCGTAGATTTTCCTTCTGTGGTATGTGAAATTCCTGCCGTCGATATATCCTTTCATCTAGACCCATTACTGCAGTCAAAAACAAATTTTCATTGCAGATTGCTAGAGTTGTCTGGGAGGTGACCATGATATTATACAACTACCGTGCAGATTCATCGTTATTTATTTAAGTATGTTTTGGATATACTACATTGTTTGAATTACTCTGGAAGTGGCGTGAAGTCGAGTTGAAGAGAAAAAAGATCTAGAAAAAAATACTGAAGCTAATAGAGAAGAGCGCCTTTAAACACAATACCTGCAGGAGGCTGCCCAGAAGATGATGGATGGTGCTGGTTACGATGGACTAGTCGTAGATGGTCGACGCCTTTTCTTTGAGTACAGGTAAGAGAGCCGGATCTTTACAGCCTATGTTGAACTTTCGGTGTCCTTAATCAAAGGAACTTTCTTACACTTACATTTATTTTTCTCAACTGCTTTAGTTACTAGAGTAGACCATTGTGCTCTTCTAGCTCAGAAGGTATATCTGTTGGTTCAGAAGTAGTAAAATTTACTCTTGTTACTGTATACCGCAATCTTCTGTTTGTATCAGAAACTAGCCTGAAGGGTTGAGTTCGCCTATCTCATATTCGATTGTTATTGACTACACCTGTGTTAGTTCTTTTGACAACCTTTAAATGTCTTCCAATCATTCCGTGTGAAAACCAAATTTGGATATACCCTTAGCACAACCATGTATGTAGCCTCTTATTTCTAATCTTGACTAGAAGCGAAGAGGTTTTATTTCCTTAGTGCCATGTCATCTTTTCCAATTGCTCCATTCCAGTTTCTAAGCTTCCTGCGTCATCTCCTTACTTAGTCTTTGGACTAAGCCGGTGGAGGAGGCGGTATTTTCCTTATGACTTTGTGAGCATTAAATACTAGATATAGCCATCCTCCCGTCTCCTTCTCGCATTCAACTTATACAATTTGGAAGTCGCTGTATGTCACAATTCCACAAGATTACCATCTCTCGTATCTCGCATATTTCTGCTCACATATCTGCTATATCTAATTACGTAGTCAAACTAACACCATCCGTTCGAAGGTTCTATCAAAAGTCTCCACTGTTTTTTTCCTTCTCTGACATTCTAAAGGATAACTATTAGTCCCTTCTCTAATCATTAGAATATTTTGGGCAACTTCAGTCTATCAAATTCTACCTGTCCTTCATTCTTCTGGCTTATTCCTCGTCATTTCAAAGTATGTTGGTATTGTGTCAACATAATCCACGAATCAAAATTCTGTCGGGAAAAGTGTAAAGACAATACTCTTCCTTTGCTCTTGGGATAACCCACACTGCTCCATTTCAATCGATGCATCTTTGAGTAGGAGTCATGCTTATGAGGTTTCAGTTCGTATACTCTTCCTCTATTGGTCACCATAGATTTAAGCTAGATACATCTTGTTTCCATCTACTCTTCTCATGTTATCGCTAAACATCTTCGTTGGTGCTTAGTTTCTTAGATGTCACTAGCTCACAAAGTATTGGAGTTTTTTTAACGGAAAGTCAGTTACCTACTTTTCACATATATAGGACTGATGAACTTTTGTCAAGAGGAAGCTACTGATTTGCCTTTGTTCCCTGCATCGATACAGTAGCAAGCCTACAGGCGGAGTGGGGACACCGCAAGGAGGATCCAGTGGCCGGGGTGGCACTTCAAAGTGTAGCAGTGGAACTGGCACAGATTGGATGTGCACAGTTTGTGCTTGTGTTAACTTTGCACGTCGTACTCTTTGCTTTCAAGTAAGTGGGATTTTTCCTATAAAACTTGGAGTAGATTTTCTGCATTTACTGAAGTTCTTAAGGACTCAATTAATTAGTACTTCGTACACTATAAATACTTATCGCGGCGTTCTCAATTCTCCGACTTCAGTGCAACGAGGGGCGGGCCGAAGATGCACCAGCTGCAGATTTACCTGCTTCCACAGCTCCAGTTTCCGGTGGAAGAAGAGCTTCTGAAGCGGGTATAGGAACTTAACACACGATATAAGTACTTTTTATCTGCAAGATTACAATGGGGGTGATGTGAAAACTTGTCCTTACTTCGTTGGGTCAACAAGTCTGCCCGTTAGATTGTATGCCTCTGCCATTGTCGATGTACGGCAATGGTGCCGGTTATGTAGAGTAAAAGAATATGACGACCGTAGCAAAAGGAATATCTTTGCCATTGATCATTAAGTATAAAATGTTTTGCGTTCATCTGTTTTTAGGTTTAACATGTCACTTATTGCAGGTCCCACTCATGTACTGGTTGTACGAGGGTTAGACGAGAATGTTAATGAAGAGAGCTTACACTACGAGTTCTCGAAATATGCACCCATTAAGGTAGTTCGTAAATCCACCCTGCTCTTGCATATTTGGAGTCATTCATGCAGGACGTTGAATGTTAAAGCTCTACCTATTTGACCGGGAGTTTGTTACGCCGAATAAGCAAAATTGAACAATGTTTGAAACAGAGAGGACAGCTGTTTATCTGATGAAATGTTTTTGTATCATACATGCGCTTAATGCGAGGTTTTGATGCTTCAGGATTTGCGTCTTGTTCGAGATAAGTTCACACACGTTTCGAGGGGATTCGCATTCATCCACTACAACTCGGTACGTCGACTTGGGACTATTCACGCTCTGATACAAATTAGCAGCCGCACTTGATCGGTTGTTGTCGTTTCCACAGGAAAAGCACTTCAGTGAACCTCATCTTTAAAGAAGAGAACATGGCTCTTTGGTTTATAGGTTGTATTGAGATCGGTATGAACTATAAATTGGTGTATTATCGTTCTCTAATTTGCAATTTTTCATTCCGAGATTCATTTTTTGGGGTTCTTCGCTCGTTACTAACTCGTACACACTCCAACCACTTGCTGCCCTCCGCTCGTTTTGTTACTTCCCTGGTGCTGACGGGACGTTCTTGCCGATTACCCTGTGTTCTCGTTTTACCTGATTTTTCTTCATTCTAGAACTGAAGGAAGAATAGTAGTGTACCTTCCTTTCTTTTCCGGAGGTTGTAGAAGCGACTTGATACACGCTCACTTTCCTCCTTGACAACATCTCATTCTATCTCGTATCCACAGAATCCAAGCTTGCACATCCCTTCCACGTTACCTTCGTGGTACTTGCTAACACATCTCCAGCTCCACAGTTTTTTCATTCTTAACTTCGTCTTCCTGGATTGTATTTTGCTCCTGTTTAGCGTTTGCAAAAAATTGTTACTAACCTTGAGACTAACTAGAACCTAGTGTACCGGCGTTCGGGTATTTTGAACCTGTAGTTCAGTATCTTGAGTACCCAAAAGCCTTTCCCGCTTGTCTCGACCTTTAAATTCTGTCGTGGACCTGCCTCTGGTATTGAGTACTTGTACTCGGTCCTGCTATTCTGTAGAAAATTCAAGTTTTGATTCTCATCTAGGCCATGACTGGTGAATAGTTGTGAGTACTATTTGACTCTACTTCGAACGAAGTGTCTGACAAATCGAGGGACACACTACGTCTTTTTTGGATGACTACACCTTTTTGTGTTTAGGTTGTACACATGTTTAATATTGGATCGTAAGGGTTGTGTATGTTGACATTGTGCTTTCCTACCTACCTTGTTACTGACGGAAACCCTTCATGTCCAATCTCAGGTGGAAGAGGCCACGAAAGCTTTAGAAGCAAGCAATGGAACAGCCCTTGAAAAAAATGGGCAAGTGTTACGTGTGGCATTTGCCAAAAGTATTTATGGACCAGGCTCATCTGCCCCAGGTGCGACGCCTACTCAAGGTAGCCTGGCTGCCGCAGCCGCTATAGAGGCGGCAACATTTGCTCAACAGTATGATAATGTAGGGTGGGTACCTAAGGAGTATAACCCTGAGGACGATGCGAACCATGGCACCCCATCTGCAGCGTACGGTGGCGGATATCAAAGTCAAGCTTCTCAAGGTACATCCAGCAAAGGCGGAAAGGGAGCCGGAAAAGGGCGCGGAAAAGCTCCACCTCATGAAGCCAGGCAAGGTACCGCTGATGCTGGCGGATCTGCTGTTAACGAAGTGGGTACATCAGATGGAACTGAGGCCCCTCAATCTGGTTTCGTGTGGGACGAGGCATCTGGATATTATTACGATGCAGCATCTGGCTTCTACTATGATGGACACCGAGGACTGTATTATGATGGGAACACTGGTATATGGTATACCTACAATCAGGAGACGCAGCAGTACACACAGTACGTGGATGCTTCTTCAGAGAATACCACTGATGTAGGCACCGACGTGACGAAAGGTTCCAAGGACGAGAAGGCCGGGGATAATCCCACAGAGGGGAACATTACTTCCAAAGCGGTCATATCAGCCCCCCCTGCTGTTTCTCTGGAACTTGTGGAGAAAAAGCCAACTTTGGCCGAAGCTGTCGCAGCAGCTGCTGCAGCTGCTCAGGTCTCCGCAAAGAAGGAGAAAGAGAGGCTGAAAGAGAAGGAGAGAGAGAGTAGGTTAGCGGGGAAAGGTCCTGTTATGGTAAGTAAGAAGAAGATAACGAATGTCATGACAATGTGGAAACAACGCCAGTTCGAGGGGCAAGGAGCGCAGGGGACTTTTGATGGAACTACGTCCGCACCCCCTTCAGCAACTGCTGAAACTGCAAACGATACTACGACTTCCACAACAGCGGCAAGTATTACCATGACTAGTCAGGTGGCAAATGCAAGATTCAGAGCAGATACCACCACTCCTAAGGATAGCATTGTTTCTTCAATGGGACGTTCTGGAATTAGTCCTTATCTTGGCATTATTCATTCTTCAGATGGTATGGGTAGGGCGAAACCAGCCTCTAGTAGTCAAAATAGCGGTATTTTTTCTAGTCAGCAACTCACAACCAGTTCTGGTTTAGGCAACAATAGTTTGTCCAGGCCTTCTGGAGCAGCTGGTAGGGGTGGAGGCAGAGGGATGGGAAGGGGAAGTATTGAAACAACTGTAGGAGCTGTTGTCAATGCAACTCAGTCATCCGATGGAGTATCTGCAACTCCATTCCGGACCGACGCATCGGCTTTAGGCTCTTATGGCCCCATGGCAGGAACAAAACGAAGGTTCACCGAGACCCCTCAGACAGGTTACAGGGATAGAGCTGCCGAACGACGCAGCTTGTACGGTTCTTCACTGCCAGGTGATGTTTCAGGAGATGCTGATGTGAAGGATAGAGGCAGTAAAGGGCGGGGATTGGACATGCCATTTCCTCCTGGTGTCGGTGCCAAATCTTCGGGTGCTAACGCGACATTAGCTGGTCCTGAAGTTCAGTCCTTTGAGGTCATTTCGGCTGAGAAAGCCTTGGATGAAAGAAACGTAGGCAACCGCATGCTACGGAATATGGGCTGGCAAGAGGGATCAGTAAGTAACATCTATTATTCATACAAATGATTTGTGTCATATATTATTTACAAAATAGTGGGAGAGCATAGAGCTTGCTTAGGTTGTAAGAAGAGATGAAAACAGAAGCACAGAAACGTCTAAATCAAATGAAGAGTTGTTTGAAGTTCGCGAAGCCTAGTTGATCTTGAGCACTGCCTGCGGTAGTTTCCGACATGGTTTTTTATTTGTATAGCTCGATCGAGGAGAGAAACGGAATGATAACTTGTGAGCTCAAAGATAGGGTCAGTTAGGATGAAAAAACATAAATGGACATAGGCAGAGGGATTATTGGAGGTGGAAAAGTTGGAAGCCCGTCTGGTGAAGATTTTACCACTTTTGTGGATATTTCTGTGAAATTATGTTCTGAAAAGAAATTCGAATGGTATGTTAGTTTCTGTTGATTGCATGAGTTTACATTATAGCAGAGTTTCACGGCTTGTAGTGTGTATGAATGGGGAGCATCTACTAACGTCTGGCACTCTCTGCAGGGTCTTGGTAAGGAAGGAACAGGAATAGTAGAACCAGTTCAAGCTCACGGAACTGGAGAAAGGGCGGGACTGGGAAGTGCAAGTCAGCGCAGAATAGATTCTCGTTTTGAAACGCAACCCGGTGATACATACCGGGTTGTAATACAAAAGAAGGCTCTTGCAAGGTTTCATGAGATGATATAGTAATAAAGTTTGTGGTTTGCTGTATTTATCGAGTAAATTTGCTAGCAGAATCTGATAATGCTCCAAGCTGGTCTTGTGATTGATATAGTCAGTACATACGAAAAAATTCTGTAGATGTGATTAATCTGTATATTTGCTCTCCAAGTCATGGATAGCACTAATTCAGAACATAATTAAAGCTTCCGTTCCGTGTGACATTTATTGCGTCTGCAGTCCGGTGCCGTACCTTGTTCAAGATCGACGTGTATCGAGGTCAGATTTCCTAGATAGCTTCAGACATTTCTGTGTGACCCTGATGTTGATGATTGGATTCAATTAAGGAAATAAAATTGCTTTTCCAGTCCGCGTCTCTTAAATGACCACACTGTACACCAGTGGTTTTATATTTTGAATGTAGCAGAAATGGCATTGTGAGCAAATTTTTGATTTGAAAATTATTATATTATCGAATTTTATGAACTGCAATTTGTAAAGCTTTAATTCGTCATCAGAGTCACAATGGTACGTATTGAAAATTCTTTGGTTATTTCTGAATGGGAGAGACTAGGGCCACACCCGCCCGCCCGTTAATTACCATGCCTATGCCCGCTTTTGCTATTACCCAAGCGCACTGCCATTGCCCAAGCCCCAGCAACATGGGAGATAGCTACGGCCGCAGTGGCCCCGCGCCCCTCGAAGCCTCTCGACTACGCCCTCCTCTGCCTCGCGGATGAGCTCGGGTTAGCAGTTGGGTTTGAGGGGAGGCGTGCTTTGTCGGGTAAGGCGTGTAGCGGGTGTGACAGTAGCAAAAATGGGTGTGACCCTAGTCTGCACTTTTCTGAATTTGAGCTTAATTGCTTTGTGAAAGATTAGATGAGATTAACATCAACATTATTTATATGTACTAGATTTGGAATGCAGATATTTTATGGTAATTTGTAAAATGAGTTTTTTGGGGGTACTTTCAAATCTTTGAAAGTTCAAACTTCATATGTAGGCAAACTGATTTAAAGATAGTAAAAACTTTCTAAAGCTTCATATTGAAATCTCATACCGGATATAGTTGGTAATCACAGAGGATGTGACATAGAAAATATGTCTTTCCAACACGATAATTTTGAAACGTACTGGTAACATAACCTTCATATGTGTTGGATGTCGTCCAGTAAGCGATTACTTTGAAGCTCATAACTTAACTTATTGAAGCTCATAACTTCTTATCTCCAACTAACTCAAAAGATTTTGACTCTATTATGAATATTGGTTGTGAGATCAATGAATAAATCATGTGTTTGAAAGTAATTAGAAAGTGCTTGCATTTGAAATTTAACGTAACATCGAGAGATAGACAAGATATGTGAAGAGTTAAGTAAAGGAATCATGTCTCCTGTGGATGATACTCTATTACCTTCCATTAACGATCAAATTTCTATGTATGCTTGTGAAATATGTAAAAAAGAAAGTTTCAATCCTTGTATAAAAGATTAATTGAAACTTCGATGAATTTTAGCTAGATTAACCTATATAACTCAATTTATCTATCTTGTGATTATATAAGAGAATTTAACTTTCAATCATACAATTAAAGTTTTGGTAAAATGATATTGTGTAATGTATATATGAATCATGTATCTCTTTTTGTCTGCAATGTGTTCCGTGTTTGCCATATGTGAACCAGTAGAATCTTGCAATTGATATCAAAGTAACATTATGTTTGGCAACGATAACTATTATAGTCATGCATGATTTCATCCAGTAGCGTTTGCCCCGCTTTGGGATCTGATTGTGAAGAGCGAGACATGCTCAAAATTGAAGATAATGATTTGAAATGTGCTCAAGGAATTGAGGAACTTTTTAATCTTCATTGTTTTGTAGCACTCCTTGGATACAATTAGGAAAGTGGAATGAAGCTCCAGTACAGTGCGAGTGAGACCCGTAAATCTGAGAATAAAGTAAGTGATTAATGATCGAATAATCACAAGGAGAAGAAGCTAGGTAAGAATTGCCGAGTAAAAATTGCGTTGCTAGAAATCGAAGTGTGAGTATCTCGTGTGAGCATACTGAGCGAGAAGAGCAACACCATCTTAATTGCATTTGATCAAAAGTGCCTGTATTGGTCGGAATACTCATAGTCTTGGTTGCCGGAACAATCCCTTCCTCTTGACAATACCTTCCAAATTCCTTGGAAGTGGGAGTCATTACGATATGCCGTGAGAATAAGAGGACGTTGAAATCCAATTCATTAAAGTGTAGTCTCCTCCTACAGCTGTGCATATGGCCCCGCACGAGGATACCTCTGATGCAACAATGTCGTCACTCACGTGGAGAACGAATCAACTCTCACTAAAAGCGAATCGTTGTGCAGTACACCCATATCTCATGTACAGTACTGTACTTGGTCACATCAACATTGACATTACATTGTACGGAGTATCTACATTTTCCATACCTCTAGTACGAGCGTTCTCTCACTAGATTACAGAGCATGTGGTTTGAATGTGAAAAACAAAAGCGTCAATATTACCAGGACGTCAAGAGCAGGACAACTTATTCTATTTGTGCAAAGAGCCGTCTACCGAGTGAGAGAGCCTTTGTCAAAAGTCAGACTGGGATCAATTATATCTGCGAAGTCAGAGACTTGAACAATTGACTTTTCCATCGAAACATGAGTTGCCTTGACGTCGATGCTGCAGAGAAACGAAGGTGATTTTAAGAATGGGAAAGAGTTGAGTTGGTTGTACCAATCTCTGCCATCTCCAGGAGAACATATGTGAGAACAAAAGTAGTGGATGTTATCTACAACAGTACAGCTTCATAGAGAGCCAATGTAGATCTTCACTCATTTTCCATCCAGCGAATAGTATATTTTGAAGTATAATCAATTGCAATATGGATCCTTCGTAATCTCGTACACTAAGGATTAACAATTGAGTTTTCATTTCAAAGGGAGAGCTATACCTCGCGGTTAATCAATGTACTTTATTGGATCAAACCAGGCACAGACGAGAATGAAGTTTACGTCCAGTAATGAGCTCTGCGCATTTCCACAAAGACTAGAACGACCGAAGAGTGCTTTTCTCACATTTCTTAACCCATGGAGCGAGCATGATGTTTTCGTAGTTGCGGTGATCCTTGAGGGCGATGTAATGGCGGCACATAATTAGAACAGATTCTTCTTTATAATCCAGTGAAATCGCTCATAGCGTTGAATTAAACTCGTTTCCCAACACCAGTGGATGCATTGACATGGCACTGAAAACTTCGTTAGGACAAGAACCTGTTCGTTCATGAAATCCAATCAGGATATACTCATTCCATCCAAAACAGAAGAGAAATATGAAGAAAACTACAACAGTGGTCAAGACAGCATTCAATTTTGTGTCGGACGCATTTTGGAAGACTAAACTGTCGCGCAGATTCGATACCTCAGATTTATATTTCATACTTGTATTCAACTTACTACATGACATATCTTTTCAAAGTCAGATGTGCATTCTGGCCTGCTTAACGACCTCCACGATGGCCATTGATTACTGAATGAGGCGGAGCTCAGAGCGGTCGTTTCGTCTGAACCTCGTGCGCCTGCACCTGCAGCCACTTCAGAATAAAGTGGCAGAACAGTCCTATGCTACATTTCTCGAGGAGCTACGAACCATTTGCTGCCACCGCCCGACCGTGAGACCGGTGATTGGTGCGTGTGTCTGCAAAGGCCCCCACCACCTTTTATATGAATGCCCTCACATTGTCGACCACTGTATGTGAGGGGAGCTATGGCTACAGTCCACCCTCCCTTCCGACAAATCCAAGATGCAATCTGTGCCTGAATGTGATGATCAGAATCTCGAGAGCCGGATCCTCACGCTGGTGTGTGAGAAGAGGGCACACAACAAGCCAATCTCAAGTAGTCTGCACTCGAAATGGCTCCCTCACAACAGACCTCTGGGCAATGGGACATTCGAAACTCCTGAGCCCACGGTAGAGGACGAAAATCGCGAGGGCGTCCACCAGTGCGTAGGAAAAGCTCATCCTTGTGACTCTGCAGTCTAGTCGAATATTCAAGGGACCGTGAGCTTGATCCGAGCTCAGATCACTGCACAGATTTCTGTGGCAGAACCGGGGGGCTAGTAATCATCCATGGGCAGCAGCGGAAGCGGACGACACGTTTTAGAACAAGGACACAGAAATCACTCGCCGGGACAATTACCCGGCAAAAGAATGTGGTGCTTTATGTAGAGAGTAAAAGGTTCAGCGAACAGTGAGAAATTATTCCTTGTTGATGCAAAGGCTCTATAAATACTCGACATCTGAAGAAAAACACAAGACCTAGGGCGGCGTTCGTGCGAGCTAATTTCTGACCGGCGTCTTCCTGTTGGGCTCGAACACGTTCTTAATTAGAGACTCCTTAATGGAAAGCATCTCCGGGAATTCGGTGCTGAGCTTCGTGGCGTCCAGCTCGTTGTTGCTTCTGGGAGCGACGATAACCTTGGCCTGCTCTTCGAGGTTGAAGTTGGTGTACTTGAAAGACGGATCGATGTACTCCTTGTACATTTCCAGGATCTCGTTATGGCTGACCACTCCGGGATTGGTGAAATTCCAGATGCCCGTCAAGTTCCTCTTGGCCATCTCGATGGAGATGGGCAGCAATTCGTCGAGGATGGTCATACTGTTGGGAATGTTGACCACCTTCTCGTACCGCGTGATCTTCGTGATGAAGTTACGCGGGTTACTCAAATCCGCCGTGATCGGCATGCGTACTCGCAATGTGCACACATTCTCGTAATTCTTCAGCAGCTCCTCGACCTGCACCCCATCCCCACCAACAACAACAATCCCCGTCATCAATCAATCAATCAATCACACCCTCATTTCCCTCTCCCAGCCCCTTCCATCTCGCCAATCCTCCATGAGCTTTGCTAAACGATTAAATTGATACTAGTGCGCAATTACAGTGCTTCCCGAATGCCACAAGATCTCGTTTACAGGATTTGAGAAAATCCATCGACAATACCATCCCAGCGCGCAATTCTCTCTGGCTCTCGAATCAAATCAGCAGCAACATAATTAAGATCTAGTCGGTCAGAGAGAGAGAGAGAGAGAGAGAGATTACAGGATTTGAGGGAATCCATGGAGAGTAGCATCGCAGAGCGCAATTCTGTCTGGCTCTGGAATCAAATCAGCAGCAACAGAATTTGAGAGAGAGAGAGAGGGAGGGAGGGAGGGAGGGAGAGGGTACCATGGCCTTGGTCTTGGAGTAGAAGGAGCCGATGAAGTTGGGGGTGTCGTCCTCCTTGAAGCCGATGCCGCTGCCTTCGGGGTGCGCGGCATCGTACTCGAAGATGCAGCCGGTGGCGTAGTTGATGAGCACGAGGCCGTGCTGGCGCGTGACATCGGCCAGCGTGAGCGTGCCGACGACGTTGGCGCGGATGGTCTCGCACTTGTGCGTCTCGCACCAGTCGACGTTGGGGCGCCCGGTGACGCCCGCGGCGTTGAACACGTGCGTCGGCTTGGCGCCGGCGATGTCGTCCTCGAGCGAGGCGCGGTTCTCCAGGCGCCCCGCGCCGTACACGTACTCGATGCCCTGCGCCTCGCACATCTGCCCCAGCAACCCGCCGATCCACCCCGTCTTGCCGTAGATCAGAAACTTGTACGCCGGCGCCCCGTTCGCCTCCGCCATCGCTCTCGCTCTCGCTCCCTGCGCTCCCTGCGCTCGCTCGGCGATGGCCTGCTTGCCTCCTCCTCCTCCTCCTTCCTAGCGCCCTCGGCCTCCGCAGCTGCACACGCACACATTTGCACACACGGCGTATCATGTCATTCACAGCCTCGACCTCGACCTCGACCTCGGCGCAATTCCTCGTCTGCGGATCTGAGCTCCGCCCGCACTCGGGCGATGGCGAGTGGGATCAGAGCTCTGCTCGCAAGCGCAGGCAGAGAACGGATTTGGAGCGAATTCGGAGGTCTGAACGAGGTGGAGATTAGAGGATTGATGGATGGATGGATGGATGGATAGATAGATAGATGCATCATCGATGCGAGATCAGATCTCGCTCCAGAGTGTGGTCCCCACGAGCAGCGCCTGGCGGAATTGGACGATCCGAGGGAGAGAAACTCGAGCTGGAAAGTGGACACTGAGGACATCGTGGGGAATTTGCTGGAATCAATCGGCCTGATGTGGACATTGCTACCCTGCGTGCCGTGAAGCTCCTGCTCGCTGCTTGCTTCATTGAAAGACATAGCAGGGCAGGGCAGGGCAGGGCAGGGCGGCCGAGAGAATGTGAGGGTGGGTGAACACAGACAGACAGACATTGAATCAGAAACGCAACTCTCTCTCTCTCTCTGCACCGGGAAGAGTCGAGGTGTGTCAGAAGCAATGTGGCCACGCACACATTGCTTCACCCACGCTCAATGTGCTCGACCTGCCTGCTCCCTTCGTAAACCCGAGACACGGAGGTGGATTGAGACGCAACCGACGAGCGTCATGTCATCTCTCTCATCTCTCTGCACGAACTAACGAGAGAGGAACTGCAACCACAGCCCCCAACCAAACCCGAACTCCCAAAAAATCGACTGCAAACAGCTTCGCAAATTGCCCCGTGGCCTCCCTCCGGATCAGATAGAGTACCTCCGAAGGAAGAAGAAGGCAGAAGAGCGAATGAATACAAAAATGGCTGATGGATCGATCGACTCACCAGATTCTCGGCAGTGTCAAAATCGCAGAGACTGGAGCGGCAGATCGGTAGCGAGAAGGAGAGCGAGCGAGAGGCAGAATTGTTCGTTTGAATCGGGGCACGGAGTCAGCTAAAGTAATAGGCCGAGGCCGAGGACGAAAGATCGAGGTCGACGGGGAGTGAGGAGCGGAGGACGTCTCGTCAATAATGCACGCGATTGGGCGAGGGCGAGGGCGAGGGCGAGCTCCACTGACGGATGAGCTCTGTCTGCTCCGGCGACGAGCGAGAAGCAGCCACTGCTGCTGCTGCTCCTGCTGCTCCTCCTGCTGCGCCGAGCCATTTCCGGCGGCCGATCCCGGGGCCGGCTTTCTCAGTGCGTGGTGGACCCCACCCTCCCTCCGGGCCTCCTCACCGGTCCTCTACTGCCTCTCCTGCTCTCCTCCTCCTCCTCCTCCATTAGACCTCCGAGCTTCGTTCCGCCGTTCCTTTCCTTTCCTTTCCGTTCAGCTCGCGTGACGGGAAAGAGCTTTCCTTTCCTTCCTTCCTTCCTTCCTTCCTTCCGTCCGTCCGCTTATCGACAACTTCTCTTTGCTCTCGTCGGAATGTTGCCGATGTTCACAGTGGTATTCTTGTCCGCTTGTTGCTTTCGCACATTACCGTCCAAAGGCTGTGGAAAAGCGCGCAATGTGATTAGCTTCTGCCTAAAAGAGACTAACGGTAAAAGTAAGAGGCGAGATGTAGAGACGAATTTCCGAGCCTACTCCTTTCAGGAAGGAGAGATCCGATGCCCATGCAGCGGGTATTGGATTTGTGGACGCAATTTTTCAAATGACAGCGTGAGGGATGAGGGAAAATAATTCTGACTATCTTATCGAACGCTGACAATTATTTCAAGCAAAGTGTTATGCCCAGAAAATCCACCCCCAAGCGCAGAGAAATTAATTTATCACGCGAAGCCTTTGGCAGGCCATACTGCAATTTGGCTTCAAGGACAAGCAAAATAAAAAAGTTAAAGGTTTTAAATCGTGAGCTTTAATGGGGTCAGGTGTTGATTCATCATTCCCTTCCATTGGTCTCCGAACCGTTCCGAACGTAATGTCGTGACGACTCGAAGGATTTTTGACTCAAAAGCTACGTTGACAATGCTCAATGATCTCCATGAGAGCATCCTCCGTAATGATATCTCAATTCGATAAAATGCACCCTCTCGAGCTAGAGTTCAGTTTATCTAGATGTACAAAACAGATTCCACAAGCATGTATCAAACTTGATAGAAAGAGTAATGTAGCAAAAATGATGATTCTATAGCGAACTACGTTATAAAAAACTGGTGGGTAGATATATTATCAGTTACATTATATCCAAAAATCTCATATTTATATCTCTCATTTATCTAGAGCTACGTGCAACAAAAATTATTATACCCATGATTGATTTTCTATATCAATGATATGAAATTGATTAAAAATATGTTACACTATATCATAAAAAAAAAACTCATATCACTTAGTATCGAAGTATCTCAAGAAATTCATACAGATGGCATCCAACTTTTACTATTACTTGAAACTTGGAAACGGATTATATGGTTTTAATTCTATATTTCAAACTCTAAGTTATTGTCATTCCATTTATTGTTCATTCATATTTAATATCTTCAGACTTTTAGACAATGGTGTATTTTTCATTGTGCCATTTAAAAATTACAATACTTAAGTACATAACAGTACAATAGATTATAATATTTCCAAAAAATGTATATATAGCTTAACACAAAGCAACAACAAATCATCTCATTTTTTTTAATACATTATCGTAATCATTTCATGTCAAATCAAACGTCATATCTCCAATCTTATCATGGATAGATAAATTTGATAAAGATATCAGGATTTAGATCACAAAGCTTGTGCATTTTAGATAGTTAACATTCATGTCAGTTTATTTATTGATATTATCAAGGTGAAATTCTTATTAGCAGGTAACTGGTAAGATTCAAAAGATTTAAATGCATGATTTATATTTGCGTTGCAGGAAAAAAAAAGATTTTAAAAAATGTATAGGTTATTTTAATGAATATGCATTAAAGCATTATTCAAATTTCAATTAAAAAATTTAAATTTATATATAACATATAAACATAATGTTATATAACATAATCAATTCAAAATTTTATCTAATTTTGTTTTACATCTAAATCATACATATTTATATATATGTTAGATTTTTATGTTATATGTATATATAGAAAATTTCTGAAAAAAAAATTCTTAAAACATAATTTCTTTTAATCCATGCAGATAGTTTTTATCACAACTAAAAAAGGTTAAAATTTATGAAATTGCACAATTATTCAACAATGTTTTATATGTTGTTAATTCGTATTTCATTTATCAGAAGCAAAATGTTTGATAAGAAATTGCTAAAAACTATATTTTATAATATTTAATGCATATTTTGAACTTTTATAATAAAATTATCAAATAAAAAAATATTGATGATCATAAAATAAGTGTGAAATAATAGACTAAAAAATTATATAATCAAGTATATATCTGAACAAATGAACAAGTAGAATCGAAATATTATATTATATATGTCACATATCAATATTTTTTAACATATTTACATCTAAATAATCTTGATGAAAACTATGTGAAACTATTATCTGTATCAAGAAGCATTTTAAGTTTGGATGAATCATTTGATTAGTTATTGTGATGTATAAGGAATTTTTGTTTCAAGGCGTGACAAAATCAATATAATATTTACAAAAATCAATACTGCATTTTTAATAATTTTGAAATCCAAAATTTGATAAATTAATTGTAAAATATTAATATGTAATATTGCTATAGATAGGTGAAACTTGAATGCATAACATTTGTCATAGAGATAGTGGACTTGAATGAGTGACTTCATTGCTAGAACATTCAAAGTCATAAATGCTTGAATACTCAGTAAAAGAATTTCTTCTATTGCAATTAATCTATCTTGTCAAGAAATTTTAAAATAAAGCTTCATATTTGATTTTTATTTTTTTTTTGAAAACAGAATAAATTTTCTTGATAATACTTCAGAAATTCTAATAGTACCTGCATGAACAAATTGGATGCCAAAGATTTGAAAATCACCAGCCCAAAAATGTTTTTGATATTTCACATTTTTTTAAAATCATGATCAAGATCATTGATCTTCAAATGAAAAGTGAAAAATTATGAATTATATTTTATTAGATCGATTGTATGTTTTGTGTTGATGATACAAAAATTATTGTGCAATGTAAAAACATACATAAATTATTGTTCAAAATCTTACAATCATGTTTTAATGTGGAATATAATCTTACTCATTATGAAAATAAGATAAAAAAATTACCAAAAGATCAAAAAATTATGATTGATGTGATTACACTAATGATACAACCAAAAAATCCTTAATTTTTGAAAAAATAGATTTGGATCATTAAGTCATAAATAGTCAAAGTAAGAAGTAAACATAGTTTTCACCTGATACTCCGGAAAAAGTCACAAATTGTATATAAAAAAGAAAGCTAACATAATAGCGTGATGAAATACATTATCCAATAATTGCTCTCACATGAAAAATATTATTTATCACTAATATCTTAAAAGGGTTAATTTTTTGAATTTATTTTAAAAATATATTTAAATATAAAACTATTTTTTAAAATTTTTTAATATAATTATCGAAAAATACGTCCAATGAAATCAATTGATAATCAAAACGCCAAAAAAATTTATTGAGTATTTTAAAATAGTAATCCACAATACTCGAGAAACTACAATTTGGACTAGAGAAACTACTTTCCATTTCACTCCCACCAATCACTCAAGCGTTGGCGCGACGGTTGAGGGTAAAGCAAGCCCAAAATACAAAACAAGTAAGATAACAAATGGTCATCGTTCATGAATTGTGAAAAATTACGAGGCCTGGGCGTTGGACATAGGTTTGGGCCACGAACTATCACGACCGTCCAGCCAGGGACTATCTGGCAGTCTACCATTCGCGGGTTCCGAGGAAGCGTCAGAGTGACCGGGAACGGGATGGTGGTCGCCGACAGGCAGGACCGCTATTCTGACGTGACCGGCGACACCGGGCACAGGGCCTTGGTCGTGAGTTGGCATGGGCCCCACCCTTCCTTCAATGTCCTCTTCCAGAGTGCATGATCGGAGAATATGCACCGTTGCAGGATAATAAAATACTCACCCAACGGGGCTCTGATGTGGACGATGCGGTAGGACACGAGGATTCGGCACCTCTGGAATCATCGGATCGACCTCCTCCAAGTTTAGATCTACAGCGAAGAATTCATTCCTCAATATCTTCCGAGTCCCGACTTGTCGTGAGAGCGAGACCTAGATTTCCTCCTGCTGTCTGTCGAGATTTTTTTTCTCCGGATGCTCGAATTTTGGCCCGAGTTGTGCGGGGGGCATAAAAAATTAAAAAACGTTAGTGGAAAGAGTGGCATTCTATCTCTGAGAGAAAAGGGGGCGATTCATTTGCAACGGAGGGGCCACGAGCTTTTCTATGGATTAAAAAATATCAGAAAGGACTCGCACCTTTCGGTCGCCGTTATCGGAAGGCCCTATGTTCTAACGCCGGCGAAGATGCTCTGAGATGCTGCTGGGGGACCCGTGATTGGCCTTTTGTTTCGATCCCTCACTCTGCTATGGAAGCGATGCCGGTTGGGTTCCTCGGGCCATCATCCAATGGGGAAAATATAACATACTCTGTAATGGTTTCCCCAAATATGTTCACCCTCACTCACCATGAGGCTCTTTGGTTGAGAGTTATCCGCGCTATCCATCCAGTCCACTTCTGGTGATCGCGGATTATACGGGACGAAATCACTCTGAACGATGGGAGCACTTTATCAAAGAAAGAGCCTACCTACGAGACAGTCGAGGCCATTCATGCTCCTCTTCTTCTCCTCTGCCGTGCTTCTACACAGCAGAAGACAACGGGAGACATCTCAACGCAAAGCCTGCCGAGACGACCTTCGAAGAGAACTACTGTCAGCATGAGGAGAAGGTTTTTGCTCGTTGACTTCAGCATAATCGAGACATTTTAGTAGACTTGTGGTAGCTCGAAGCCTCGAACTCCAGTTCCTGCCACACCGTATTCACAGTCTCCTGTCGCTACTACACGCGCTACTCGAACTTCGTTGAAGGAAGAATCCGATTCTATGACTCCGTTGCATGCTAAAGAAGTGTCCTTGCTTTCACTTCGTTTCTAAGAAACCACCACTCGACTTCCTGGAAGAAAGCTAATTTACTACGACGTCGATGTAGTCCGTGAACATATAATAGAAAAGCAGGAAACTGATAAACTCGAGAGGCTGAGTTCAAGTTTGGGAAGGAATTCAGAGCACAGGATGAGGACCAAGGCAGATAACAAAAACGAGATGGCAAGTCAGGTACTGTCCCACACCTTACAGATTCTATCAGCTTGCTGAAAAACGTGCGAACATATAAAAAATTAGCGAAACTTCCACAGGATTCCTGACTGGAGAAGTTTTCATCTACAGGGCTCATACTACAAGCCCTTCGAAATAACAAATCTAAAACTAAAAGTAGATGCAGAAGTCCGGAATAGTGTAAGACCCATGTTACCCGATCGATCGGACAAGCTCAGTCCAGAGGCGAACCGAGGCAAGGTAGAGCTTTAATGTACAAGCTAAAGCGCAGTCACACTAACCTCGGACGATACTGGACACGACGAAAATGATGATGAGATCTAGCAAATGAATTCTTACTAAGTACACTCGATGGGTGTGACTTACAAAAGGGTACCGCCTTCCCTAAATTTCAATTGTGCAACAGCAGAGAACCAGAACATATGCTCTACCACTGTGCGTTATGCACAATCTCTAATCCCTCTAAACACCAGGTACGTCGTCTTTTACGCTGTCAAGACAGCGTATGATAATAGGCACCTGAAGCAAGAATCAGCAGACGCTTGCATAATACTGAATGTACAATTTGGATGAGTTGTTCACTGTTCACTTCATGGCGATATCCCTTTACTTCCATATAAGGTCCCATATGATGGTTTACCTCTATAGTTTGATCCGGAGAATAATTATGTCGAGAAGAATATTTGATTCAGGTTTAAGGTGCACGAGGTTGTCGTGCACGAGTTGAGGAGCTCTAGAGTGCATGGAAATTGGTGGTAAAAACCCACTAACTTTAAGAGGAATCTTTCGTTTACTTTGGTTGCAATTAAAAAGTAGGTCCTCTATGAGCAAGGCAGTCAAGGATCATCGGTAGCCCAGAACACAGGTACTTGAGCCTCTACTCAGACCTATCTGTAGAGTGTCAACATTTTAAAGGGAATCCGAGTAATACAGCCGACAGGATGGGAAGACCCCATAAGTCGTTCACGGATCGAACCAAAGGGCGTAGGGCTAGGCCCCAATAGAAGCACACTCTGAATATACAATATCACCTCAGATCTATCTCACACAATCTACATGATATGTCATCTCACTAACTAGGTCAAATGATCCAATAAACCCAGTAAAAAGTAAGAAATGTCGAATTACTTGATTATATTCCAATGAAGTGCATTTCCTAAGGTTTTCTGACAATATCTATAATATATTACACACTATCCTAAAGAAATGTGTATCCATGTTGCATAACATTGTAGGCTCTCGAGCACTTTCACGAAAATTTGCAAGTGTACGTCCATAGATCATATAACTTGAATGCAAGATGAAATTACATCTCTGCACACCAACATACTCGGAAACCTTTGCTGATGCCGCCCCGCTTGCCACCAATCCAAGACAATGTGTAGTTAACTTCTACTAAACTGGCGCCGTATCGCATCTGCGATCATAGAGTCCACAACATGAATAAGAGACTGAGAAATAAGAAATTAATTAATGAGTTTGCTCGATCTTGCTTATGCCTGCCCATGCATGCCCGTTCTTTGCTAAGCCATTCCAAATCTCGTTTTACTCTACGATTCCTCTTCTCCTAATGCGAATTCCTGTGGTCAGTAATAAGGTGTAGAATTCATACTTTACTTTGGAACGAAATAGAGCCCAGGCATGATGGTCAACAATGTGAATGAGAAAAAACGGTGAATTTTACGAGTAGCAGCGTATGTGACGTCCGACTCTCCCACGTTTTTCTCTCCGATGTGCAACCGATGGCTACTTTATCTGTAGGGCAGCTTTGAGACTTTGCCTACAGAGCTGATATTAATACTGCGAATTAAAATTGACTTGCAAAACCTTTCTTCTTTACCCTCATTTGATGTGGAGGTCGTCGTTTCCACATCTTTCCGGAATGGACTTCACTCGCTTCACGCTTCCTCGTTTCCACCAGACTCAAAATGCTCTCAATTCAGCGGTCGTAAATTTCCCCAGTTCGATCATATATCCCCGAACCACAATCGAATACATTTCCTCTTTTCTTCCTTCCCGGGATGTCCATAAATGAACTGTATACACTCACTGAGTTCGGATAAGTTACTCACAATCGAAGCTTTGATCGGGTGCTCCAATAAGCGGCCCGAAATCTCATGACTTAAAGATTCCTCGGTGGCATTGGCGCAATTAGTGTATTCTCAATACGATAAAACTTTCTCAGCAGCGTGTCCTTATCTTCCACATTGGTCCCCTCGATCGAGAGTTTCAAATCTCTCAATCCGTTACTACAATTCAAGCCGGTCTCACCGTTAGCGACAAATTCTTTTCAGAGTGAAACCGACTCCACCGTCACCAAGGAGTCAACAGGTAGGTCAGTCAGATTTCCTTCCTTCTACTTTTCACCACATGTTTGAGTTTTCGAATTATTACACCAGCTTTCCGCCTTGTTCCAAATCGTTCACGAAGGTATAAAGCTCTTCGTTCGAGTGCATTAGTGGCTGCAGCCCTTGATAGTTCATAAGTGTAGATTCCGACCCATTCAACTGAGTCCAGTTTTCACTGCCAACATCTTTGGAGTTCAGCTTCATGGCCATCTTGATGAGTATGATGTGACCTCGACTGAAAGAAAGAGACAGCAACTTCTCCAAACCCTTCCTTAAAAAGCGATGGTATGCACGCTTCGGAGATGTGCAGTCAGAACTTAAGAAAAACTGCAGACAAAACTCGGTGATCGGTAGTCAACATCGACACCAGGAAATTCCTTAGCTAAGTCTTAAGTGCCAGTGAAAAGTTCAAGGAAAATTGTTTGGTCTTGAGCCGGTTCACTACCTAGAAATGCAGAAATCCAGAACGCAACGTGATTTATGGCACTTCCAGTTTTGATTAGATTACGCAATTTGACCTCCTATGTGAGACAAGTCGACAAGACACTCTCTTCGTGTACTATTATCATCAGAGCTGCTCCTGAATGTTTGCGCTGCGTAGTTTTCATTTGTGATATCATCTGAACTAAACGCCTGTTGCTCGATAAATTTCGTTAGACATTTTCATATATGCCCCATCATTCCACCTTTTGAAAGTTATGATAGGACGCCCGACATTAACAGCTGTTATATGCTCGCGAAGTATTGAGTTCCACCAAAATAGAGAAAAAATCTACACCATTATCGTGCACGATGTCGCAAGACGTGAATCATAATCTCTTTCAGTGAAATACGTTATCACCAAAAACGGCAAAGACGGGCAACCTCAAACTTCTGATAAAAATTAGCTTTCAATAGAGCTAAAAGGACCTCTGCTTTCGAAGAGCTGAGGTGGAAACATTCTATGTAAACAAAGCTCCTAGTGAGAACGGTACACACACCTGCAAGTTTGCTTCGATGTCAAACTTGCAAATGAAAAGAATGGCTAATGAATCGAACTATACAGTTAACCAGTGACAATCTCATGACACCAGTACCTGAGTGACGGCCAACTTCTCCTTCTACAGATTCAATCTACTACATTATATATAGAGCGGCACACTGTCTCAGAAGTCTGCTGGGGTTCAGGCGAAGGCTCAGAAAACTTACTATTGGTCAAGCATTTTCTGAAGCCGGACTAGTGTCGCAACGGCCAGCCTATTACTCGGATCTAGCTTCGTCACCATCTTCAAATCTGCTACTCCAAGCTTGTACTTCTCCATGCTTTCGTACAAACTGGCCCGCTGCATAATTAAGGTCGTGTCGTTGGGCTTCAACGCGATTGCCTGACAAAGTATTTAAACAGCAATTGTTGGTTAAAATTCTAACTCTCCATGATTCAGTTACGGATGAAAAGTACTTGAGTTTCCTTCCACGTTCAGGATGTGCGCATCTTGACGACAAACACCTCAGTGGGATTTAAGAAGGACAAATAAATTTCCCAGTAGAAAACTATCAATCCAGATCTTCAGTGAGCAAATCATCATTGCAATACAAAAGCATTCCCGCACCCTCGTCAATCTACACGACATAAAAATGGTTGTGGTACAGACTAGGCGTGCTAAGAAACTACTCCATGAGAAGGATGATAAAACTCCGCGTACCCCAGTAACAAACGAGAGCCTAGTACGACACACCAGCAAGCATAACAATCAATCATATCTTGTGGTTGCTGAGCTGGCTAGGCATCTTCGTATGCAGCGTAAACCTCATAAATAGAGATAGCTACGTAGAATCTGAGAAAACACTCCGCCAAGACGGGCAGCTGAAAGGGAGAGACCAATCAACGTGCTGGAATGATACAGTAGGAAAAATGAGTAAGCACAGAGGAAGAGTTTGAAATACTGCAAACAGAGAATTCACAAACCTTGGAACAATCTTCAACCGCCTTCTTCATTTCTCCAATCTCCTTGAAGCACGAGCCTCTGCATGTGAGAACCTTCACACTCAGTCCCTTATCGCCAGCAGCTAACTCCATGGACCAAGTGAGCCACTTGATCGCGTCCGGAAATTGACCATTCTTGTAAAAGTCTGATCCTTTCTCACAGGCTGATTCCGCAGTGACACCTCCAGGAGGTGGAGGTAATCCCTCTAGTTCCGTTGTGCTAGGCTCGCTACCGCCACCGCCTCGGGACGCAGCCGTAGAGCCACCGCCAAACATTCCCCAACTGTCATCTGCAGCTGCTGCTGGAGCTGAGGGAGGGGATTTCGAAGTGGGGGCCGTAGACTTGGTGAAAAAGGCATCCATAGGGTCAGCTATCTTCCTGTGAGTAGAAGGCGTTTGCTTCTGAGCAAAAACATCGAAGGGGTCTGCCATGGGAGCAGAAGACGCTTTTGCTTGAGGAGTTGCAATGGCATTCTTGCCCCGAGACCCAAAAGCGAAAGGATCTCCTCCAGATGATGCAGTACTACTTGAAGAACCACCAAAACCAAATGCAGCATCTGCAGACCCCACACTCGCCGCAGGAGGAGGGGCAGATGAAGATCTACCGAAACCGAAGACATCATCCGAGAAGGAAGAGCTTGGCTTACCACTGATGTCGGGGAACGGACTACCCCCGGCAGAGGGAGAAACATTGTTCCTCAAGAACGATTCCGTGGATTTACTGCTGGATAGAGGAGGCGTGGCCTGTCGTACAAACTCCTCCGGATTCTTGGGCAGAGCAGCACCTAAATTTCCCATGGAATACGAGGTTTTAGGAGCAACTTTATTCAGAGGAGTATTAGACCGATTAAGCGCGGCCCCCAACAAATCCCCAAACACATCAGCACTCTTGGATTCGGTGACACCAGCAATTCCCGCAGCGGCAAACTTAGAGACATTGTCTGATCGGTAGGAAGGGTTAGCGGCTGCATTCATGGAGTTCATGCCTCCTAAGGGCTGCGAGGACATGGGAGAGGGACGGCCCACGGGCTGAGTCATAGGCTTGTACCCGGCCCAGGTCTGGGGTGTCGTCGAAGATCCACCTCCGCCCCAAGAGCTGCCGCCCGAGGGTCCTCCCGCGGGCTTCGACTGGCTCGCCCATCCCGAACTAGAAGTGGTGGTGGTAGACGACTGATACGGCGACCAACCTGTCGACGTGTGCGACGGTGCAGCTTTAGGTGCTACGGGTGTACTCCAAGGTTGCGAGTATGAACCTGAAGGCTTCTGATCTTTGAGCGGTGCGTTCGACGAGCTCTTGCTTCCTCCCAGCCCAAAATCGAACTGATAATTATTGAACGATCCTCCTGCGCTCTGACTCGCATTGTCCACTTTCCTCATCGTGATCCTCTTCTCTTCTCACTCCTTCCCTCCCTCCTCTAATCTCCCAATCTCTCTCAATCTCTCTCAATCTCTCTCTCCCTCTCCCTCTCTCCTTCCTTCGATCCAAATCTTCTTGATCTCTGCACGATCCACCCCGCCCGCCCCGCCTCGCCTCGACGAACCGCTCGATCAAATCAGACTCTCCCCCAACAAGAAGCGATATCCTCGCTGCCGACGGTGAAATCACTGGCAGGACCACAACCACAACGACGACGACGACGATGACGCCGCCGAGGCCGAGGAGGAGCAGCAGCAGCAGCAATAGACGCGACGATTGATCGAGACGAGACGAGGACGAGGACGAAACGAAGGCCTCTCCGCAGGAAGACAGCACCACCGACTACATCGATCGGTGCGGCTATAAGAGTAACCGAAGGCAGTCCCGTCCGACGGACGGACGGACAGACGCAAGAATCACCCACGGACTGTCGTCCCGCGGGTCCGCCACGACTGAGCTCCGTCGTCGGGCCAGGTGGATGCCGGCTGGCACTAACGGGCCGGGCCCTTCGCCTGCGACACCAGCCCTGTACGTATGTGTGGTTCAGTACTGTCAACGCAGGGTCAAACTGCGTCCCGATTCTCCCGGTCACCCCGTGGCAATCAATCGATATTCCGGTTCCGGTTTGGCTTCAATCATTCGTTCGAGCCTTGTGGCAAGAACTCGTGGCATGTGCCGGCGGGCGGCCAGTAAGTCCGTTGGGAAGGGAGCGCGCCGAACCGTCGGTCAAAGTTACCATGGTCAGGTTCCGGGATAACATGCCGAGGTAGGTCTTGCCGGCCGTTTGTTCTTGGAGTTTACTCGTTGGCATTTGGCTTCGGTTTGACTCTCGGTTATTTTGATGGAGTCGTTCGTGTGCAATAGTTCTGCTTCTCGAATTATGGTTGAGCATGAGCCGGTTTGAGTGGGAATTCGATTATCGTTGCCATGTTGTGTTGTCAAACTTTGGACACATTTATTCTTACACACTGAATGACGGACTGTGGAAATCGTCAGGAGAAAGTACGAAAGTCAAATGGTTTGGGATAACAAAAATTGTCTGTCCATACGGTACCAAATCCAAATAATAATAATAATGTACATAGAACCAAATCCAAGTATTTTTTTCAATCTAACTATAAACAGCTCAAATCCAAAATAGTTTCATTATTCTGAGCTTTTATCGAAAGACTTCAACTCGATTAAGAAAATGCCGTATGAAATAGAGATAGTCATGGAGAAAATTTGTCTACAATACGTCATCTTTATTCCTATCGAAGTTCAATAATAGTCCATAATTCAATCATTTAGGTGAGCAACTGACTTTGGGCCAGTGTAGGGTTTTCGTCACATGTTTCAAAAGAATGAGCTAGTGCTCACACAGAAGCCCATACTTAGAAACTTCGACTATCGCGGATGCAAACTATCTTTGAACAATTGTAAAAACCTTGTAACCAGCTAGAAATCTTGTTGGTGGGATATGCGTGCCTCCCTCTAGCACAGATGGAAGAGAATTGTAATAAACACTCAGTCTCGATGCTCCAACTCATTCTTCATACTTCTTATAGGATTTATACAAGTGAAGGTTTCAATGATACAAATATAATGGTGATGTATCACAGTGTACAGAAACTATGGTCGAATGTAATTAAAGTCGACTCGTCGAGAGGAGTGCAATAATATTAACACCGCATCTCAGAGAAACAGTGATACATGAAACGTCGTCAGGCGACACTTGACTGTAGCTCCGAAATTGTTTTCTACACTTTCTATCGTTTAGTCTAGTATGCTCCTTTTGTGTTTCCACTGAATGATTATTAAGAGAAGCTTATATCAGAAACATTGAGATATGGGCTTCATATCCATTGCTCTTTCCTCACCTTTTTTTCTTTAGAGGTGGTGACGGTTACCACTTACATCAATCAATATAGTAAGTCATCGTTTTGGTTTCTTCTGTTTTTCTATGCAAATAAGATTCTACTATACCCACTTCTGACTTTGCTGCAATAGGAAGCAAGAGTGTGTGTTCAGTTCATGAACTCGTACCGCGACATATACCGTCGTTTATCAATTAACACGTCCATTAAAATCCAAAAAATTAAAAGAGGACAAAAGTAAAGAAATGGAAAAGGGGCTAGGCCCCGAGGGTTCAGTTGTAACAGAGCAAAAGGGATGGGAATCTATTGACAGTGACGGTCGTCTGGTCATATGCACGAGGGAAAAGTCAGATGCATTTCGATCGCATGCACGAGAAACTGGTGAATCGAACGTCGATGATGAGCCTCGATGCCATCTCCGAGGCAGTGGGAGGAGGAGCAGGATGTAGAAAGCAAATTCTCACGATCAGTTGTCGTGATCCACATCGCTTTGTACTCTGCCCCAATAAAGCTGTCGTCGATTGCCAGGAAACCGTAAGATGCAGCATACGGTATGAAACAGACGCACGGCCTCTGGCTGCCTGGGGCTCGGCGGGTGCAGAGAGGACTCGGACGATCTAGCTACGAAGAAAATTGGCTTCTTGATCGAACACGCGGAAAGCTCCCTCTACAGCGACGAAGATGTGATTTGAAGCAAAGTCCGCAAGGGCTAGGACCACCTTCGAATTCTAGCTGCGAGCTGGTGTGTTGAGACCAGAAATCCCCCAGCCGCATCATGGGCGGGCCAAGATACTCCCTGCGGAACCAGCATTTGCGGCATCAAAGGCAAGGTGGTGTCTTTCGATCTTTGGCTTTACAACGGGGTATACGCTTTATTTGTCATTATGTCCTCCATCCGTCTTCGTTTACAGGCCTTGGAAGGACTCTCTTTTACGACGTGATTTTATCTCTACATGTATTGTTGTCGTTTTCATATCTTTTAGAAGTACTACTTCATACTGGCTCATATAGAGATTTGAGTTCACATTTTTGTCTGTTTGATAACCATCTCTACATCTCCAGCGGTCGTGCTGTCAACTTTGAGTCTTTATTACATTGTTGAGATAGGTCCCTACTCGTTTTAAACTGTGAGTTCAATAATTTGTGAGGGTTCTGCCGCAAAGCGTTCTCATTCACTCGACACCGAGAAAATTTTCTTTCATTCTGACCCATTTCCCGAACATGCTTAGTCGAAAGAAGTAAAAAGTATTTCAGTTTTCTTGCGCTTTTCCCAGCCTGTTTATAACTTTAGTTCACCACCTCCAACTTATTGGAGACACAAGCCCGATCTCTTTGGAATGGGGTCATCTCTCTAACCGAGAAGAAGAGCATCGAACGAGGACATCTCCACTTTGGTTGATCTCGAACTCCTCACTGGTTTTTCTAGCAGCATTGACCTTTGTGAAACCTTTCAAGTGGATAATTACTGCAGTGACATTCAACTTATACTTCGTCCATTTGTCTCATGAATTCTGCGCTTACGTATGCCCTCATATTTGACATACAGGCTTCCGCTCTATACAGGCTTCTTCTTCATTTGTGATCTCATCGCTCATCATATAATTTCGTACTTTATGAACACGAAATGTGAGTCATATCTTCTTTGCTTTTGATGGGCGTAGAAGTCTGTCCACAGTGCATTGGCAGACAGCTTTTGTACATTATTAAAGTGACTTGGACAATGCAGTGGCAAATGCTTGCCGGACAAGGCCATCGATTTAATGGACGAGGTAGGATCAAGAGATCGTCTGGGACACGCCGAGGTATTATTTATCTCCTTATTGCACCGATCAACTTCATCGACTTCGCATCCACCTTGTTCAAACAAATGCCCTTTTTTTCAAATTCCAAGTATGAATATCTACTGATTATCTTATGTGCTCAATAATAAATATGTGTGTATATATATATTGTTCATATTGTCTTCATAATGTATAAGATGATGAAAATCCTCAACGATTGATTGTAAAAGTATTGTATTGGGACTCCTTATTCTCATATGTTGTCATCAATTCTGTTTCTCTTCATTACACAATGGTTATCAAAGAAGTCCATGATTTAACCAGAAATGGACGAGCAATACTCCTCGACCATGGTGATATATAGAAATGAAGGATATGGGGACTAAACGTTAAATTCTTAGACATATTTGATAGATGAACCAAGTTCATCTATTAAATTTGATAGATCAAATACATCAGAGTGTACTTACGTATTAACTTTTGGCCATGGATAAAAAGTCTTCAACGATACTTTTTTACATTGAATCTCTCGTCTTTGTCCATGTTGTTTCTCTGATTATGAGTTATCTCATGAAGTTTAAAAGAATTGTTCAGAACTTTGTTCTGTACGATCCATGTCTTATGAAAAACCATAACTATATGAAATCATATATTTCAAATACGGACGTGCTTGTCACACAGTGCAAACTCAAGTTTCATATGAACAGAAATTTTCAGAATATGTATGGGTTTTACATATTATGATTCCATGTCTTAGAATTGATAAATATTTTAAAGTCTTCAAATGTTACATACGTAGATATAGTTTTAATCGTTGGATCACGTTTACAGTTTCTACAGAGGATAGACACCGTTTCTGTCATCTATATCAATAAACTGCTACTAGGACGATGTATGGGTCAGGTACTGCGTTCATTTGGTGATCAGAACTTTGTCCACAAAATTTCTTCCGGGCGTTTAGCTACAGGCTAGATCACGTCAAGTGTGGAGGAAGGAGAACTGCTCTCGAGTATGACTAGTGCAATCTTCATGGTCGCTTTGGATATCAGATGCATACATGGTGATCCACGTAGAAAAGCTTCTCCGCAAAGAAAGGCTGCTATGATTCATGAACGATGTAAAAGAATGGAATGCAATCAGTGGCTTAATAATCTATTATGATTTGAGTAGGCAATTAGTGGCGTATCGCCAAATGTCATTATTATTATTACGTCTATTCACTTCCCAGTAGATGTGTTCTATTTCCATTCTCGTTTATTAGAATATCGTGATTGGCAGTAACCAATATCTGCACATGTTGCGAAGTCCTTCTCAAGACTTGTCCACAATTAGGTAGTGTAGATAAAATGCCTCAGCCGATTTAATAGAGTATGCCAATTCTTGCTGTTGAAGAAGAGTAGCCTAATGATTTTCTTCACATAACTTTGTGATCAGTGCAAACTCGTTTCGTTCACAAATTGCACTCACCTACGGAGATGAGGCTTCTCTCACCATGGCTAAATTGCAAGAGCAGATATGACTTGCGAGCATCAGGCACTGAAATAGGTGGAGACCCTCAGAGATCAACATACGAAGAGGCGTATGGTGGAAATCTCACTTTCAGGACCCGTTGACTCAAGCCAATCACCGGCAGCATGTCCACTAGAATTTCATAAGCCAAAGCACGATCAATTAACTAAATTGATCACGAAGGTGTACTTCGAGTCTGCCTTTTACTCAACATTCTGTACAATTCTCGAACCTCAGGGTTACAGAGGCGAGAAAAGGGAGATTTCCCGTAGATTCCGAACCTATTCTACCTCTGCGAATTTAGTGGAAGCGAATGAGTTTGGGCTCTCTCATACTATGAAAAGATCACCCAAAGCCTGGGGATTGCAGGGCAAAATCCTCCCAGCTGCGTGACAGACCTCAAGCCTCGGCCATGCGCACTTCGAATATACATTTCTAAACACGGTGCAATCTAAAGTTGCTCTGTACAATTGTTTTCCATATTCCAAACTCTCGTGACAGGTTTAAGTGCAGCTTGTCATGATAACTGCCATGCATCTCCTGCCTTGACATTCGCAACATACAGGGAGTCAAAATCTCCGCTCAAACCAACAAGCCCTGTACTTGCTCGCAGTGCTTGCAAACAATGTTGACTGCGTTCGAACTTGCTCGTGAGTACGGTGAAAAAATGTGTCACCAACCTGATCAATTCCACGTGATAGTTAGTCACAGGAAGAAATTGATGCACGAATGACGAGTTAAGAAAATGCTTCTGCTGGCATCTACGGTATATCCAATAAGCGACATTGTTGTATTCTAAATTCAAACGATGTATTGTACGTCCAGGGAGGATGAATATTTCAGTGCTACGTGAACTTACATTCCAACTCAAGTCCAAAACAGCTGCAGAAGATCAACCACACTCCTCATTTCTGATTCAGTAGAGCAATCGAATTCAACAGAGGTTGAATTTGATACCTCGCCGTCTGCAAGACGAGTCTGCTCACCTCCAGCAAACAACTTCCAGCTCGGGCCTCGTAGAGGGCTTGCTTTGGTACAATTTGCTCTGTCATGCTTTTCCTCCTTGATCCGATTCTCGTTCACCGGCCTCTCAACAGAACGCTGCGAGTGAGAAGACGCGGAACAAGAAGTAACTGCTGCTGTTGCTGCTGCTGCTGCTGCTGTTGAAGAATTCTTTGCGCCTGCGCAGGGTCTCGGAGGTTTGCCCAGAACCTGGACCACCACCAATCCGGTCGAATACGTCCGGCGCAGTTTCGGCGGTGCGCAACTTTGACACATGGTCACTCGATCTCTCGTGCAAATGTTGGAGACTCGACAGCGAGCGAGACACTACAGAAACCCTCTGCTCTCGCGGACACTACCGAAACATTTGGAGACGGGATCTCATTTATACGAGTCGAGGGACAACTCGATTCTCGTCGATCGATCGATGATCTCTCGCGGCACGACGGTGGATCGGACAGGCCGTGCTCCCGATCGATCGACTCTCTCACGGGAACCTCCCGCTGGACGATAAATCATTACTCGTCGATCGCGGAGCGGAATGCCATGCTCGTCCCATGCTTCGTCAGCGACAAACGCTCCCCCGGTGACGAGGCAGGGAAGAAGAACCTGCGCCTCTGTCCTCCAAGATTATGTCCCCATGCTACGTACGGATGTGTCTCACTCTACCGGTTCTCCGGTGGCATGTGTCTCGTTCTACCAGTTGCAGTGGAACATTGGACCTCGATCATGTAAATATCATCCGCTTTCCGGTCACTGCGAAGACTTTCGCGAAAACCATTCCCTGCTGCCGACGGATAGAGGAGCACCGTAACTCAGACAAAGTTCCCTGTCACTGTTTTCCTTTTTCTTTAACTTTTCTTTTTTTCTTTAAATAAAATGGACATAATTACACTCTTTTTGAACTTATTCACAAAGGTCTCTGTTTGTTGGAATGTTGCCACGGGTGAAAATAGGTTTATTTTGGAGAATTCGGACACGGGAAACAACAAATTTCCACTACTCAGACCTAGAATATCTAGCTTTATGATACGTTCGGTCCGCCATGATGACACTAAAACCTCGAAATGCTTTTCAAAATGCTTAGTGTAAATTCCGTGAGTATATGGTATGCTAAATCTAAGACTCCGTAGATTCTGCGGCTATGGCTGCTCGCAGGCATTCGCAATGACAACATTTTAGCTGCACCATCAACAAGTCAGGCTTTTTCTTCAAGTTTAGAGGCATAGGTGACACCGCACATTCTCTCATGATGCTGATGTCAAATTTATTTGTACTCAACAATGTATGTCTACACTTGAGCACGCCTTTTTATGAATGTGGAAATGCAAAGAAATACCACTTCTTTAACCCAGATACTCCGAAGGATTCATGAACATGACAATGTGCATGATTTAAGTTTGCTTTAATCTAAGCTCTCGGGTACAAAATTTCTATTTTTGACATGTTTTAACACTTATCATCAGTTCATCACCACTGTTAGTCTAAAGCATGATATGATGTTATGATTGTTGGGAATTTTCACACAGAATGATATCATTTGATTATAAATTGTGAAGTATTTTTCAAATTATGTTTATACTTGCTCTAAATCAGAATTGTGGTCCTTATACTTTATTCAATTCAGTTTACATTGTTCATATGATTGCTAAGTGCTGTTTTATAATAAATATAAGAATCTAGGTTGAGTTGAAGTTGATTCAACACATGGCGAAAAACTCTAAAATCTATGCTTTAGATCCATGAAAGCACTTAGAGTTTAAAACTTCTTCTTTTTTAAATCAAGGCTGACAAATTGATGCCATAAACTACACATCAGCTCAAAATTTGATACATTTGAATCATTTACATTTGTGGGGAATGTTTCAAGGTTTACACCTTTGAGTGATGTTTTAAATTATTTCAGTAGTTTTGTGAGTATTTTGAACGATTGTATTTGATCTTAAAACATACAAGCTTGAAACTTTTGACACAATTAAATTAATTTTTTTAAATTCATAGAGATAGCTTGAATTTTATGTAGACAAACATAATTGCAAATGTGTATCAATTGTCATGTTTTTATACAACAATTTCATTTAAAAAAAAATTTGATAAAATTTAGTTGAAATGTATACTATATGCTAAAACTTTTTTGTGTGACATTTAATGTCAATGATAACAATTAAGTTGTTATGAATTTTATACAATTTTATACAACTTGAAAAACACACTCAAACCAAGCAGAGTTAAATCCGAGACACGATGTAATGTGGTTCACCTTCACGAGGAAGTCTACTTCCACCGGGAAACCCGCGTTAGAGTTTTACTGAGTAAAACGTGTGTTAATAATACACAAATCCTGGGGTATAAATACCCATCACCCAGAACCCTCATAGCTTTTATTAGCTGAGGCCAGAGTTAGCTTCAACAACACCAAAAATTTCATTTTTATTCAAAGTACATCTAGGAATTAATTTTGAATAGTCGAATAATTAATGAATGAAATAGTTGCAAAATTTCCATATTAAAAAATTAAAAAGCTAACAAGGAGTATAATTGAAGATGTTGATTGACACAAAGGATCAAATATAATATTTCAGGACTAAATATATAATTTTATCTTTGGCAATTTGATCTATGTTACATTAATCTTAAAGCTTTTGATTAATTATACAAATAATATGTAATTAATATGTATACATTTTCTTCAAATGAGCATTTACAAAATGAAAGCAAAAAATTTATTTATAAATCAATAAATCATAACTCAATTGGAATACTGAATTGAATATACAAGATCAATTATATTTAGCCAACTAATCCATTGTTGAATTAAAATAATTGAATATAATATTTTAAATTATTTTTCTATCAAAATGAAAATAAAATGTAAAAGAATTTACTTTTTAACAGCATGATGATACCAAATTTTAATTCTAAACTACAATGTTTTACTTCCACAACTCACTAAATGATGTAATATTGTTTTAGTAATGTTCTGTTTTCATTAAGATTCACATGATTCAATCATAATTTATTAACTTAAATAAATGCATACAAATATGATTATTAAAATTTCACATATTATTAATTTTTAAAAATTTACCAAATTTGAACCTTAATTATTGATGAAATTTACTATGATGACTCACATACTACAATTATGATATAACAATGCATCATGATCATAACTGAATAGAAGTAAAGAAATCAAAGATAGTTTGAAATAAATCATTTTTGCAGCAATTTTTAGCATTTTAACTTGCATTCAGTATACATTTAATCAAATTTGCATGAGCATGAAAACAATATCTTGTAACGTTTCGATGATTTTTCTTTATTATAAAATTTTTTACAAATATAAAGAACTTTGAAAAAAAAAATATTCGAAAATCGAATTTTATTTATAGATTAACTTGAATGACTCACAAAAAAATTACATATAAGCGCAACATAAGTGATTATTTTAAAAAAATGTATCATACAAAAAACTCACAAATCAATAATTTAGTTTTTATAAGTGTAAAAATATTAGAAACAATGCTCTTAATATTTTAAAGTTGGAATTACAGTGTCTTTGAGATATTATTCAAGTTTCAACATTTCAAAATAATAATCAAAATATAATGTTGATACCAGAAAATCGAATTTATAAAAGTAAATGCAATGATCAATACAAATATAAGATTTCCATTATTAGCACTAAATATAAGTAATCGGTTCATATACAAAACTCTTATGATTGTATAAAAATTTAATAATAAGGACAAAATTTTATCATGTTACTTTATTTCTTGTGATAAATATTCACATAACTTAGTATATGTCTTAGAAACATATGATCAATGTCAATCACATTATTTTAAAGTTTCCATGTGTGATGACATTTGAAAATCTATAACTTATTTAATGAAACATATATATGTATTGAAATAATTAAATCATATTATAATAGATAATTAAAATTTGCAAATTTTTGAAGAAGATTTTGCACATGTATGTGATATGCAAATTTTATATTACACATAACTTACATGCCCACAAAAATGATTCATTCCTCAACTTGGAAATAAAAATAAAATATAACATCAATAACATTATATCTTAGTTAATACAGAGACCAAGTGCAATGAAAACATCAATACACACAACATCAACAACAACATTCTACCATGTCGAAAATATTTCAAATAATCTAGATATAATTGTGTGACTTTTGATCCAAAATGTTCCTATTATATCGACGAGATTAATATACACAATAATAATCATATTATAAATGTCAAAATATATATTTATTGATTAGTTTATTTTTAATAATTTTATTACATTCTGTTTTTCCAATTATTATTTTTCAATATGTTTCTATCACAGCTCAAAATTTCTGTTTTCTTTTTAAATATTAAAAAAACAATGTGATGTTTGAAATGTATTTTAAAATTTAAAATATACTTTATTATTATGAGTTGACTCAGATATTTTGGTTACTTAAGTTAGCTATAAAATAATATAAGTATGTTGAAATCCTATAATTATGTAAAAGAGTCGTCAAAAGCCACCGACAACATTTCTTAGGTTTTTACACTTTATGACTGAGATGTTCGCGTGAACATAACGCGTATGAATAAACAATGCACATCTGGTGTGTGTTGTGCTTGTATGTGCTTGTGAGTTTAACACAAAGCTTATATTAATTTGATATAGATATATCATAGATATAGATATATAACAAGTGGACTAATCTAATTAAAATTTAGGTAAATTTTTAAATTACTCCCCATACAAGATAAATTGAACATAGCAACATAAATTCAATCAAATTACACAAAATCTGACTAAGAACTGTACATTTTAATTTTCTATATATAATATATAAATTCACATACTTGTTTACAAATTTTTATACTATTACTTTTTTATTTCTCTTAATTTTTTGATTTTTGACTTAATAAATCAAAATCATGTTATATTTAATCAATATGAATTTTAGTATTACTATGATTATAATTAAAATTTAAAGTAACTCGTCAAAAATTTCGAACATGGATAAAATCGTGAAATTAATAAAATACCTTTATTTTCTTATGTATTTTGTTGCAAAAATTATCGAATATTAATAAAAATAATGAAATAATGTTGAAAATAGTACATATACATATATCTTAATTGAAATGTAGTTAGTTCATAACATTTATCTTTGTTGTGAAATAAAAAAATCATGTAAAATTTATTCAATATCAATAAATATATTATGTTTTATAACATCATTTTTTATTTTTTAAAATCAATCTTCAAAAGATTGATAGTTCTAATACAAGTTAAAAAATCATGTTGTTAGTGGGTACATAAGAGCTTAAAGCTGAAATATATTTCAAAAAGTAAAATCACAAATTTTGAAATCTGAGATATAAATCAAACAACATTTTCTATCTATAAACAAACTTTTAATTCTAAATGAAATCAATTTAAGTTTTAATTTTAGTTTTGATTCCAAATTTGTCAATATATTATTTTTTAATAATGTACTTAAATTTTCTTTGAAAAAAAAAAGTTGTGATAAGACCAAATATAATTTTTCTTTCATATGTGTTATATATATAATTGCAACTTTGATTATTGATAAATATGCAAATTATCATGTATTACTATCTGTGATGATTCAATTCAAAACAATGTATTAGAGACAAAAAAATAATTTATACAGATACAGGGATTACGTATTCATATACTTATATATATATACATTCCAATTGATACCGTAAAGAGTAGAATAAATAGTGTACAATCTGATTTCCGAACGGACTTAAAATGCAACTTGATTAGTTTATGGGAGTTCAGTAATTTATAGTAAAAGACAACTCAAGCTCAGTTTGAAACACATATTGTTTTGTTTCTTTGAGGTTCATGTTTGGATATTAAGTCATGTACTTCATGGTACTTATGCCTACTCGTTTGAAGTGATGGCATTTTTAGCTTTCCTGATGTTTTACATAGTCTTTTATAACAAAAAATTGCAACAATTTTTGATATATTGATGTTAAAGTTCCCCAAATTATTTGTTGAAAATAGAATTATTTTATAAATGCTATTTAAAATGTGTATAAAAGCATCATGTTCATTATTTGGATGAAATCTATAATTGATGAAAAAGAGAAATAAAACACATTTCACTAAGTGTCCGGTTTATCATTTGTAACGTAAACCCTAGTAATAATATTAGTGAAACATGTAAAACTTAATTGTTTGTTTTAATTTGTTTAATGTAATCATCCTTGAACAATGTGAACGATGAAACCTACGTCAATGTTTACAACTGAACATACAAATATCTGATTAATAACATGTTTTCCGGTACAAAAGCTTATGCTTGAGAGCTACAGATATGTTTAGACAGTTTTCTTTCCTACTACAGTTTTCATTTCTATCCATTGATGAACTCAATGCCTTTACGATTGAAGGGACCTGCTTAATCGTATTTTCTTTACGGGCAGAAAGCTCAATTCATATCAGATTTTTGTAAAGATTATACGTATTCCTTTAATTTGTTCTCTCAAGTTAGAGGCAACGAAAGTATAACACAAGGATATCTGTATTAAATCATACGAAATATTCTCTTGTATATCATCTTGCGGTTATCATAAAATGTTGGGTTGTATTGGTTCCAAATTTTGTAATATCTTCATCCCAAGACTAGAAAGTGCTTGTCAAAATATTTTCCCAATATATCGAATAAAGCAGGAAACGAAGATGTTATAACTGAAGTTAATAACAGTCTTGGAGTGTGCACGAGGTTTCGCAATCCACACCCAGACTTAGAGGTGCTATAGTTATGGATAAAGGTGGTGCTACTTTGGCAGGGGCCGAGGTGAATGGGACGGACTTGGATTCCGAGTCTCGAGTTGAGGGGTCTCGTCGAGTATTTGGACCGATTAGGGTTTACGCAGGTCTTCCTCTTCGCCTTCGTTCTTCTCGTTCGAACTCTTTCGAGAGCTGTGGGCTGCGTGAAACGCTCGAGTTTTGATCCACTGCAGCGATGGTGAAACACAATAATGTTATTCCCAATGGACATTTCAAGAAGGATTGGCAGAACTATGTCAAGACATGGTTCAACCAGCCCGCACGCAAGAAGAGAAGAAGAACCGGTATGTCAAATTCTCCCTGTTTTCTTGTAGTCGTCTCTGCTGGGTTGTGCTTTCTTACTGTGTCGGATTGCGCTGTCGGGATGGGCTCCGTTCTACTTCATCACCTCGCACCTAGATTCTAGCGTTTTTAAGCCATCTTGACGGTGACTCTTGGAGAACATGGATAATCAAGATCGTCGTCGCATTTCACTAGCATTGCTGCCCATGCCTTCAGTCAGTGCAAGTGAACTTGGCCAGTCGTTTCAAAACTCTCTTCATTTTTCAGGGTTAATGTCTTATCTCTTACACTCCTCTCTGAACTCCCTTTCGCCTCCCTCACATTATCCTCTGCGATGTACCGCGGAATGTCTCATCCATATTTTAGGGTAGAATTTACGACTAGGCAGTACCGTTTTACGTTAGATATCCAATAGTTCATCTCGATTGCATATCTGTTAGATCCTTCGAGTTTGTTGTATGTCTGTTCTAAATATTTTGTATATGGAACTGCTAATTTGTTTGGAAGATCAGTTGAGTAGCACAGACATCCTCGGACATTTCTTTCCCACACTTTTGATTCAGTTTATGCTCAACATTCGTCTGTGAAATACTTCCTATCTAAATCCTACTCAATTTGGTTCTGGGTGGCGCTTAATCTTAAATTGTCGAATGATTGTCTTTGCAGTCCGTCAGAAGAAGGCCGTTACTATCTTCCCTCGTCCTACCGCTGGTGCTTTGCGTCCTGTAGTTCGTTCGCAAACCCAGAGGTATAACATGAAAGTTCGCGCCGGACGCGGATTCACTTTCGAGGAGTTGAAGGTACGATTCACCCAGGGACCGATGTTTTGCCCTCTTGTTCTACTGTAGTTTTGTGAGTAGCGAAATGAAGATCAGAGAGTTTCCGAATGCTGGGCTACTTTCATCTGCCCTAGCAGGGGAGACGCAGCTATAATTGCGCACATATTAGCTTTCATGACTTGTACTGGTTTAGTGAATAGTCATCACATGACTGATTAGCAAAGTTGAAGATGTGTGGGTATTAAACCCTGCCCATTGAATAAGTCTATCACAAGTCATCTACTGTCTAGTATACTGGGTCTGCCAGTGAGTAAATTTTAGTTCAATCAAGCCAGGTTCACAAACACATACTCTACACTCAATGCTAGGGTTGGTCTTAATTGTGAGGTGAAGCATGGTTACACGATTATTAAGAAGTAAGCTGGAGCAGAGTTGGAAATCTTGGGTATATTCTAACAGGTTCACCGATGCGTCTTTCCAGGCTGCTGGAATCTCTAAGAAACTCGCAGGCACCATCGGGATCGCTGTGGATCATCGTAGGAAGAACAAATGCTTGGAGAGTCTCCAAGCTAACGTGCAAAGATTGAACACATACAAGGCCAAGCTCGTCGTCTTCCCGAGAAGATCGCGCAAGGTCAAGGTAAGAATACATTTTAGCCTTTCGTACTGCAAGATACTCTTAAGCGTATATGCTACTTTGTTTTACTGAACTGTGTGGTTTTGTGTGCGCAGGCGGGTGATTCTACTGCCGAGGAGTTGGCTTCCGTCACCCAACTGCAAGGACCTGTACTGCCTATCATCAGTGAGAGGCCTGCGGTGGAGCTTGTTCCTATTACCGCAGAGATGAAGAATGCTAAGGCTTACGCCAAAATCCGTCTGGAGAGGATGAACGCAAGGTTGGTTGGTGTTCGCAAGAAGAAAGCAGCAGAGGCCGAGAAAGAGGAGAAGAAGCCCTAGATGCGAAATTAGGAAGATGAGTACCGAAAACTCATGTAGTACTTCGGTACGTATTCACCTGAGAGTAGAAGCGGCCAGCCTTTTGAAGGCTCAATTTTTTTCTCAAATTGCGCGAGTATTCTGTATGTCACTCACGATATCTTTTAAGAGCTATTTTTCCCCCACGGAGATATTGATATGCGATCTTTCTCCTTACCTTGTTCAGGTACGTCACTGTCGTTTGACGTACCTGGGATGTTATCGTGTTATTTTTTTCAACAACAGTGCGATGAAACTGAATGACAGTAGCTTCACCAGGACTTGTTTTGTATCGCTATGACCGCGACCGAAGCTGGGAGGAAATACGCAAACACGGGATCTTTTTTGAAACAAAATATAGTTTATAATCTTGAGTCTGTTAAAGGCCAAAGTGAAAAGATTTGTAGTGCATTGGAGAAATGGGGCCCTCAATGGATGAAAAAACCGTGGGAAGCTACTATGGGTTCAGGAGAGAACCAAAGTGGATGGTGAACGTTTTGCACACGGTTTCAAAGGAGGTCATATTGAGTCCACATGCATACAGATGAAGAACGAAATTAGTATCTTCCTGCCGTCTATATCTCACGTGAGTACATATCGAGATATACCTGCGTTCAAAACATGTAACTTGTTCTTGTAAACGTTACAAGTAGGAGTATTATCTTTCACTCTAAAGGCTAAAATTGGAGTACAACAAATATTTTATTGTATCTAATTCCAGTAATCATCAGCCATGAACTACAAACACCGAGACGCAAGCGGCGATAACAACACTTTGCATCCGATGCTGCATTTAGATCGAGCTTCGGATGTCTTCCTCCACCTTATAGCGGCTTTTCAGGTCCGAAAACCTTTACACACAGTCCGCTCCTGACTGTTAGTGATCCATGGAATGAGCAAAGGCAAGAGAAGTAAGTGACAATGCTTACACTACACCGACTTACGCTGTACTCTGAGTGTCTGACGAATTTAGCCCATCACCTACACATGAAGAAATTCTCAAAGCTAAACCAGACTTCTAAATGGTGGTGATTTAAGCACGAAAACTGCAAGCAAACAACCAACACAAGATAGCACACACAAATGAGTATGTATTATATGTATATCCAGGTCGCCGATTGTGCAGGAATGGAACCCTCAACCCCCTCTCACACGCGACGGCCCCTTCTTCTGCTCAGACTCGGTGCACATCCAAAATCCACCTCCGGGGACGCTTTTGACGAACAAGCATCCCTGGAGCGACCACGACGATGGGGAAGGCCGATATCAAGAAGTCGCTACGTGTTGTACTCAGCCGAAGCGCGGCTCGGGCGTATCTCCTTACCCGATAACATCTCGCAATCTGGACATCAGCGCAAACCGCGAAAACCTTCGAAAGCACTTATCTGCCGTTTGCTGGACAAAGCCAAATTCAAACTCTGAGGTTGTTTTGATTTTGATTTGATTTTGAACTGTCGCTGTATGGTTACAGGCTCGGTGCACGGCGTTAGATCTCATATTTATATCCCGTTGAAAAACGTTCGAAATCATCCAAATGTTTGAAAAGTTTTCATCGAATTTGAATCGCATTATGTAAGCGTAGGGACTCTCTTTCAGCACGTCCTCCCATCCAACTATCCCGCCCAAATTTGTATTATGAATCGTTTGTTCTTGGATTTTCTCGGCCAAACTCCAAGAAAATCTGTGCTTTATTATTTATTAATGTGATATTTAGTTGGTGTCAAATTGTAATAAACAGTTGCTTTCATTCGATGCAGTGTGGCGGATTCAAATGATGGACGAAGTACAAATTGAGATTCGCATCTGAGATATGAATTTGGCTACTCAATTGTTTGGATACAAAATAACGATCACAGTTACGTGACTGTGAACCTGGAGAACTGCAAACTGAACGCTTTGACTGTGCTGACAGATGGTGATAAAATAAGTAGGTCCTCGCAGAAGTGATAAATTGCTAATTCCCTGAGGCATCCATCCATCCATTCAATCAATCAATCAATCGGAGAGTTTGTCCCTCGCCCACGATCGTAGTGGTCGAATTCGACATTGCGAGATGCCCCTCAGAGCACGGTTCTGTCCAATCGACCGATGCAAGCAGCGCGATGAGATGAATTAGAATTCATCTCATCGCGCTTCGTTCTTGACACGAACGTCCTAAGAAACCGAAGTTTCTCAAAACCCAGTCAGTCCGTCGTGAGACTCGATGAGCTCTTCGGTAAAACGTCGTCTTTCTTCGCTCGGTCCGAGTCTTCAAGGGACGTAGATTCCAAACTTCTGGAATCCGCAATGTGGTGGATTTCGGCCTCAACCGGAGTGAAAGTGGAGGTAGTTCGATTCAATTTCATAGAGTGATTCAGATTTGCTTTCGGCTTCGTCCATAGCTGAAGGAGCAAAGCGTCATTCCGACCTTCGAGCGTTTCGGCGAGGTTGCGGTGCGCTACAGACCATCCCAGCGCCAACCAGAAGCGATAGCGAGACTCGACTTTAGACTCTAGCCGCTCTAGATTCAGCTCTCGTCGATCCTTCGTCCATCATCTTCCTTCCTTCACACACTCCAAAAAGCCACTCTCCCCGGGGCCGGGTCCCAAGCCGAGGGGAGTGTGAAACGACGAAATTGCAGAACCTTCTCAAAAACCTTCTCGGATCGTAAACGTCAAATGGATGGAGGACAAACTCGATCGAGAGAGAGAGCCTGTATATTCTCAGAGATGCTTCCTCGATGATAGCGGCGGCGTCGTTGTTCCGCGTGCTGACAGGTCGAAGGCTTACGTACTCATTCCGGAGACAGAGATTCGACGTGAGCTGTAACGTGGCTAGCAAGCGACTCACGGTCGACATCTGGCTCGCAATTCGGAAGCCGACTGCAACGTGCGGGCCAATCGGAGTAGCGATTCCCACCCGCAACAACAGCGACATCGACAGCGACGTCCGCCAGTCGCCTCGTTGATGGACTGTACTTGATTTGATAGCGAGGGTCATCACCAACCCACATCCGATTCGACCGAGAACCTCTGAACGGAGTACTCCCTCGCTCCATCACTTTCTGGAAAGTGTTTCTCGGAAGATGCTCCAGTACACAGCTGTGAACACCTGCAGCAGAGACGGATGAAGGTTGTTGCGGGCCCATGCCCACCAAGATGCAGCTCTCAGAGTAATCGTCTGCCAGAACTCCGACGAGGTACTTCGATTTTGACTCTAGATCCCGGACTGTGATTCTCTCTCCATTGCGCTCCCCCGACGATTGCTTTGCTCTGCTGAGATCGTCCGTTTGTCCTCGTCATGTCAAACGATGGCGATCTTCTGTGGATTTGGCAGATTCAAGCGCAGGGTGAGCGATGACGACCGGATGTGAGTTCTAGTTTCCTGATCCCTCGTGGTCGGCAAGCCCTTGGCTAGCTGTCCGACGTCGTCATAGCTTTTCGTTTTCTTAAAGGTTGGAGTTGCTTTTGGAGCACGATTCTCTCTACGAACGCGATTATTTAAAGAGTCCTCGATCGGGATCGGCTTGTCTTAGTGCAATCCAGCAGAAATCAAGTCATCTGCATGTGGAGGAAAACTCCGATCGGGCTCGATCTGCATGTGGAAGAAAACTCCGATCGGGCTCGATTTTGATTGTCTCATGAATTATTCCCACCATCCACTTCTGATTAAAATTCTTCATAGATTACAGATGCAGCGCAACAAAGCTACCCAGCTGCAGTCACGTATCTAAGAAGTCATTCGAATGTTGACATCTTTACCCTCTTTTTTACAGACTCCGCAACATCCACAACGTAAAACTACGTTCACATGCAAATCATTTTACCCATGAGGTTTGCAAAGCAGTATTGGTCTCTTCAAAAGCCTGCCGCTTGAAGAGTGCACATCGAGTGTTACTAAAGCACATCTTGAACACTGCATGTGGTCGGAACATGCAGTTCCGACCACATGCAGTGTTCCAAATTGCACTCGTGTTTAAACAAGGCCACCAACTGTGTAAAAATAACATAATCTGATCTTTATTCCGTGTCCATTCTACAGTTGTTGTACCCTCATCATTCATAACAATCATTCTGGTATATGTATCCAAATTCAAGGCTGACAACCCAACGTTTAAGTGGAGTGATTTCATCATGGCGAGACTTGCAACAAGCCGCAATTAAAACTTTGTACTCAAAAATGTAATTTTGATAGATTAGCCAGAGACAATTTTTCAGAAACATACTCAAAAACATGACTGCGCGATTGACATGATTGCAAACATTACGAAAGACTTTTACGATTCAAAACTCTAAGACAGATTTTGCAGAGGTTCATATTGCATGAGGGTCTAAACATATCCTTGTCAATTGCATAATGGCATTCTTACCTCCTTCAAATCCTAATCTGTCAAAATTCCACTACTAAGACCTTCATGCATGCACTCTTCGCACACCCATGCATGACCATCTAATTCTAGACTCACGTATTTCACCTGATACAACTTGAAGATTACCGAATAGCTATCTCGAAGCTGAGACGCAAGAGTTTGCTGAATCCTCAGCCATGCTTCTTTGAGCTCCATGCTTTTCCCACCTTTTAGAACTGCCCTACGATCACGAGAGCTGATGTCATCTAGTTTAACTATATCAGATTTTAAATCCTCCCAGTCCGGAACCGTTTGGCCCAAATTGAGAGTTTTATCTAGTCCAGCCTTCACAGCATAATAGATGATTTTGTATGAAATTTCAATAGTTTTTCGAATCCACGTGCAATTCTCCCGATCCAAGCGTATTTTCAAACCTTCTTGATCTTGGACTTTGTGAAACCCAGTCACCGACTTACACATCAAGTGTAATCGAACGGTTGTCCCAGCATGCAGAAGCGCACTTATCCTATAGAAAACGCCAACATCGTCCGTCACATAAGGTCTCTTAGGAGTTCTCGCCTGCTGAAGCGATTGAGTATACTCAATCTGCCTGTCTACTTTAAACATGAAGTCCATCAACCTTGTCTGGAATTCTTGATGGAAAGTTAGTATCTGTCCCAGCTTCATCTCCACTCTCTCTACCACACTCTCCACTGATCTCAACCTCTCATCCACTTCAACGAAGTTGGACCTATCATGTCGATCTGAATAACTCGAGTTGCCAATACTGTTCTCACTTTTAGTGTAAGGTTGATCCAAATCATTGCTCCCACTTATGAAGGCTTGCCGAAATGATTCCAATTGTTGGACGCACTTCTGTCGGATCTCATTCACAACCGCTTCCACATCGCTCTCCGGCAGCAAATCCCTAGCTCTTTCGGATTTTACCGATGTGTACCCTTTAATTGAGGGCCAAGAGTGCTCATAGTTGAACAACTCTTCCTCTTTCACCAACTGCAACTTCTCCCGCGAAATATTCTTAAGTTTGTCCTCGATGCTACGAATGAAGTTTGATTTGAGCTCCTCAATCAGAATAGCTTCTCTGATATGACTCGGAATCAGCATCTTTACACAATGTGTTTGAATCACACCGAGCACTAACGTCACCCCGGGACAACCTTTTGGTGATGCGCAAAATGATTTCAACTCCTCGACGATATGCTCAATCACGTATTGCAGAGCCTCCGACCTTGATTTCCGCTTCGAGCGTAACATCAAAACGTCCAAGTAATTGTGGGACGCTCCTTGCTCGACGTAGATTTCGTACCCATCAAGGAAAAGTTGCAGATAATGTCGAGAGCAGATCACATTCTTCTCAGAAACATGCAACTCTGAACATGCAACTCTGAACTCTTGCGTCTCATGAACATCTGCAATAATACAAAATTTAACAAAATTGAGCTGCGCATTCCAGAAATTGAATTCATCTTATGAAAAGGGAATACTCTATTCATCAATCACAAGTTACAATTAGAACTTGACGAATTCAATCTTCTCACAAAATATATAAAATCACCTGGAAGCATGGAAAAAAAGCAGCGGTCAATGACATCGTTCTTCCATCTTGGCATTTAATCCGTATGCCGATAAACTGTGAAGTCTCATCCCTAGTTTCCCAAGCTAATTCTTGAGGCTTCGGTTCTTCCGTGCTTGCATGCTCAGGTATGAAGGAAGGAATGAAATACTGACAAGGATCTTCCACCTTGAAACACAAATCTAAATTGATAAGGATGTCTTCAAGCACTTTTTCGTCCACATCTCCCTGTCCATGTGGATGCTTTGCTAGAAACTCTTCTATCAATCTAGCAAAGACACCCTCACTCACAAATCCGTCCTTGCTTGTGTATGACTGTGGTAACTCACTTTTTGTTTTTTGTCGGAACTAAAACATTTTTGAATAGTAAGTACCGCGGCAGCAGCTGTAAATAGTTATCGGTACGCGAAACCAGAGTAAAAAGAGTATCGAGGACAGTCAAGGGGTTTTGGGCTTAGGCCACAGTGGGACGCTTAGGACGGAACGGGCGGTTCATGCTGCAGGATCCGCTTCAAGCACCTTCGGCGGTAGATCACTCATAACTTTCTCAATTCGTAACGTCTTGAGTTGCTTCGGATCTTGTTGGAAAGAGCTCGCGACGCTCGTTCTAACGAGCCCAAGAACTTGTGAAACGGATGAGAGGTCACTGAGTTATGAGTGTCGGAAGTTACTGATGGGGGGGCCTTCGGCGGTAGAGCGACTTTGGCGGTACTCCTGCGGCGGAAGAACCGCCGGAAGATGCGCCTTGGGCGGTAGACGCCTTCGGTCAACGCCTTTGGCGATGCGGGAGAGTGCATTCGGCGGAAGAGTGAATCCCTCATAACTTTCTCAATTCGCAACGCCTTGACTTGATTAGGGTCTCGTTCGAAAGAGCTCGACGCGCTGATTCTAACGAGCCCAAGAACGCCACGAACGGAGGAGAATTCCGGGAGTTATGAAGGTCGCAAGATACTCAGCTTTCCACCTACGCACAGGCGAAGAAAGTTTTGTCCTATGCGCGGACGAAGGAAGTTCGCCTGCGCACAGGCGTTCGCCTGTGCACAGGCGCTTCGGCGTCGGCGGGAAATCCGCCTTGGGCCCTAGAAATTGTACGGCGCCTTCTGCGCCAACGCAGCGCCGCGGACGGCCAGGTCAGCGCCGCGGACGGACTGTGGATAGATGAACGCCTTTGGCGGAAGAGTAAAACCGACATAACTTTCTCAATTCTTAGCGGTTTGACTTGATTCGGGTCTCGTTGGAAAGAACTCGACGAGTTGGTTCGAACGAGCCCAAGATCTCTTGAAACAGATAAGGCGTCAATGAGTTATAAGCGTCGAAAGCGGCTGTCATGGTTAGGCGTGAGGCCTTCGGCGTTAATAGTTAGAGGGGCCTTAGGCCCAAGGCGGCCTGCGAGTAGGCGGCTTGCGTGTAGGACGCGTGGAACCCACAGTCCTCGGATTTTGGAGAAGGAATTTTGGCCTAGGTTCAGAGATCTTGCGGGGCCCATATCTTTGCGATGGACGGTCGGATGGATCTGAAGTTTTGTGGGGCCGTTGATCTCGGCCGGCCACGCATGCGTGCAAATTTTCAGCCTCAGATCTTGGATGGAGAGGCGCTGGCGGCTTTGTACAGTAGGCTTAGGATTAAGATTTAGGGTTAGGGTTAGATTTAGGTTGTAAGTTAGAGGGGAAGGAAGCCGCCGACTCCTCAGGTGTAGGATCTGTTGCGGCTCGCACCATGGCATTGCAGTGTAGTGTTAGGTAGGACTTAGAAGGTATAAAATAGTTCAAGGCGTTTTGCCTTGGGTTCTTTCCCAATTTCGGAAGTGCAGATCAGGAACCCATTTTCTCTGCGTGTTTGTGTACTTAAGTTCTGTCACCACGCACGAGGAGTTACAACTTAGCGTTCCGCATTTTGTAGCTGAAGGCCTTCGGCCGAATGTTCAGAGCTAGTACATTGGTTAGAGACTTGAGTAGTTCGGATCTACACTTGCGGGTGATTGTCGATGCTCAGAGCCAGTGACTAGTTAGATACTTGAACAGTTTCGCCCCTACACCTTCGAGTGTTCCTTTCTGATTGTACTCCCTTGGGATTTTTCCCCTGAATGCCAAAGTGAAGTTTTGCTACTTCGTGTAAGCCTTGGTTGTAAATTCAGGTTACGCTGCAGCAGGTGCCTTGAGGGTAATCCCTGTAGTATTTCTGGGAATGACAAGTGCCTGAGAATTCAAACTCTTCAATAGACTGTTGTTGTGTTACTGGAATGTTTCTCAGTGAGTCATTCAGTGCGGACCTGTGTTCTCTGCGCGTTTTGTGAGTTGAGAGTGTTGTTCACCGCGTATGAGTGACTTCGATCCGAAGTAGGCAGTCCAAACCGGGTTTCCTACGCTAGCAGCAAGCTAGCGGAAGTGTTGTAAAAGCCGGAGTTGGGAGTCACTACCCGCAGCTTCGCTGAGTGTACTCTCGAGAGACTTTTCCCCCCTGAAATCTTGAGTAGAGGTCCTAACGGATCTCTGGGTTGTGTTTCTGTAGTTTCAGCTGTGTGTGTGTGTGTGTTACGCTGCACTGTGCGACCTCCGAGTGCGCTCTGAGTGGACACTTGCAGTATTTCTGGGAGTGACAGTTGCCTGAGAATTCAAACTCCTCAATAATCTGTTAAAACGTGACACTTTGTACCCTGTGTGTTCCTCTGTCCCTGTGGGTTCGACCTTTCTACCACTATATTGCAGTTTTAGCCTTTAGTGGGTTATTACAATGACTCACTTGACATCGTGTTCTCAAAAGACTTGGAGTCATCAGCTTGAAAGTGTTGACCCAGAGCTATCAACTCACCCAAGAAAGTATTGGTTAGCCAATTAGGATCCACAATGATGAAATCAAGGTTGGGGATGTGTATGATGGATCCAACGTCATTCAAGTAAGATATGACCGAGCTCATTATCCTTGAATGATCAACAGAGTGTGCAGAAGATGAAGGAATGAATTGATTCAAACTAAGAGCACAGAATTCATGAAACTTTTTGGATGGCCACAGAGGGCAACTTCTGTTTTTTTTGGTGTTTTTAACCAAGAGGGAGGTGAGTTGAAAACACAAATGGGGAACCTTTGGGGATCTTTCACTCAACAACTCCTCAAAATTTTTAAAAATATGACTTTTGAGAGGGATAACTTGCTTGTTATTTCGAGCATCTACATGAAAAAACTCTTGGCAGAGATCCACAAAATTTGCGAATCTTTTGGTCAGTTCTTCAACTATGGAGCGAGCCCAAGTCAAAGAGCGGGTTCTTGCTTTATCTTTGTGTGAAATCACAACAATAACTTGAGGAAGATTATGTCCTATGACCTTGGTGCTGGATGTAATGAAATTCAACCACTCCTCCAATTCAGATCTAAAACAAGAGTCTGGTTTGTTCGAAGATGTTTTTGTACAAAAGAGGCTATATACAAAAAGAAAAACACAGAAATTGTTGGTTTGAGGAAACAAAACATTTTGAAGAGTACGAAAAATCCATTGTCCTGCAAGATCCCAAACTGAAATTTGCATTTCTTCATTATTTTGCAAAAACTCCACTTCAATGCCTTTGGTTCTGAGTTTGTTCCATTTGCTCGCAAGCCGACTGTTGCCTTGGATTACACTCATTAGCGTTCGACGCAACTGAGTTTTGCCTACAGATGAAAAAAAATAACGACAACAAATACAACTTGTTACTTTAGATGTTTTTTACGAATTATATAATAAGATATTCTGAGTTCCACCTTTAGAATTTCAAATTTAAATAGGAATTTATCTCTCGATTGATTTAATCTGTACTTCTAATTTATTTTATTGAGTTTTGCACACAATTATGAAAACATCTAGATCAAAAAATAAACTTCGTAAATTCAAAATTAATCATTGAAAACTAACAAGTTAGATTACTGCTTTGCAAACCTTGAGAAAAAAACTGAGAATTTACAGAGCACGTTACCTGCTCTAGGAGAGCCGCATAAGAAGAGTCGACCAGCTTTTGCAGCTCCAAATGTTAATTTGGCTTCTCGGAACACGGACATGTAGACGGCCCGCTTCCGGTTCTGCTTTAGGGCCTCTTGAATTTTCGCCGCCTTTCCGTCTGTTTGCCACAAGGTTCCTGAGATATCGATTTCCTCCAGAGTCAAGTTGACTTGCAGTAGCCCCATGAGATCCCTGAACGCCTCTTCGTCAAAAACGAGTTCGCTTTGTAACACCGAGCGAGACAAATCCAAGTGAGTGAGACTTGTGTCCTCTCGCAAGCACCGAAGCAAGTCTTTCCATACTCCCTTCAAATCATCTTTGTTATTAACAGATAATCTCAGTCTTTTCAGGACTGAAGTTTCTCCGGGTTTCCGATTCATCGACAGGATTCTTCCCATTCTATCTTGGTTGGTACCTGAAGTGCGAGGATCACTCGCCAGTATACTCAAAGATTTTAGAGATTTGATTTCACCGCGCAGAACCCTACCTAATAGATTCAATGATAACATCCATTCATCATGGTCATCCGAAACTACGAGTTGAAGCTCCATTTTGGGATCCTTGACATCGGAGCTAGCAGCCTGCGCAAGAGCTTCTATTGACTTCCAGTCAATAGAAGCTCTAAAAGATAAAGAAACTTTTTTTATAGCACTGTCACGTATGACCTCGTCGAGCTGGTGCCATTTCTCAGGGCGCATTCGCAAGTCAGACAACCTCATTTTCTTCAATGGGTTGGAAATTCGCAACTCAGACATCCTCACTTCCTTCAATGATGGGTTGGAAGTAAGGAGTTCCCTTATACAGTCTCCGAGTCTTTCCATACCGAGTGTATCCATTCCAAGAAGAAGACGTTCAATGGAACGGTTGCGATCATCTCCGGCCAAAGCCTTCAGCAACAAGGCCGCTCCCCAAGTCCCATCATCTAATGTGATTTTCTTCAAAGACGAACTGTGGATCAAAGCCTGGGACACGATTCTAACGGTCTCTTCATCCATGTCGTACCTTGAGTGGCGTAAACTCAACGTTTCTAAAAGAGGAGCACTGTTGATCATGTCAGCCACACGCTTCACTGCACTCAAGTCCCCCCACGCGTTTTTGAGTCCTAAATACTTTAGATTAGAATCAGAGTTTCCTCGCAGTCCTGAGGAAAGATTCAGGAAACATCTCGCAGTCAAAGGGCAATCGTCTATTTCCAAACGCTTTACGGTAGAGGTACTCAGAATTCTCCCCAGCTGTAAACACAAGCTCTCCACTTCCGTATCTGAACTCCAACTCAAACCTCCAAAGCGTATCTCTCGTAGAATGGTGCTAGATCTGAATCCTCTCATGACTACATCCCATTCGCTATCCGTCAAACTCCATGCCTCTCCGCCACATATAACTCCTACATCCAAATGATCAAGGGTGTTGCAGTTGCCGATTGCCTCCAGCAGTCGAAGGCGCAATTGGCTTCGCCACCCTATTTTCGCCGAGAGAGATGCATCCCCCGGAGAGAAACTCCCAAACCTATACAGACCTAAATCTCGGAGTCTCGTTATAGTTTCGCCTTTTCCTTCCAGACGCTGTATAAGGTCCTCGACCTTGCGGAGAAGCTTTGGATCCTCGTCTGAGTCCATTCCCCGTGTCGCAACTTCAGCGTCGACCTCGCGGGGAAGCTCCGGTTCCTCGTCTGCGGAGTCCATTCCTCGTCTGCGTGTGTCAAGTTCAGCAGCGATAGTGACGATGGACGCACCTGCAACTTCCATTCTCTCCTCCAAATGTAATATAGCATACAAGAAACACCAATCCCAATTCAGAGTAATTTGTGAACTTCACATTGCAGTGTCACAACTCGTGCACATGCACACGAGACTTGCTGGGCTTGTGCATGCTGGGCATGAGACTTCTTGCGCGGTGCAAGAGCAGCGACGCACAGATTACTCCAATCTCTGCAAATAAGCAAGCGGATCATGATCATGGTCAATCACCACTAACGCAGAGAGATTGTGCAAAGTGAAATCAGAATGCTGCTCTAACTCAGGTACAAGAAGCAATGTGAATCAAAATGAACGCAAAACACGATTCTGGTTCCAAGCAAATTCTTACATGGAAAGAGGAATTTCACAGAGAGGCGTTTTATGTTCGCTGTTAACCGAACTGGATGGACAAGCTCTCTGCAGGTGAATTTGAAATGAATCGAGGCAAGGAGGATGCGATGTGAATGCACAATGTCCTGGATAGCATGATAGGGAAGTACCCGAGTTGTGTAAGAACTCGATGTACAGTTGTAATGGGATACTGCGAATCTAGCTGCATCAAGACCCACAGGATGACAGCCCCTAAAATCATACAGCATCTTCAATCAGATCTTGTCATTGACACGTGCGAGCGATCCGAGTAGATGTTGACTTTGTTGTGCAAGCGAACAGGATAAGTGGTGAGTCACACAATGTGACTCACACTGATGCATTCAGTGTGTTGATACACTCAATGTAGTCACGCTGACAACAAACATATAAAATGTATCTTCATTGAATCATTTTCCTGGAATCTTTGACCTATTCAAGCGAGTGGAGCAAGTGGAAGTATTATAACCACTGAGTGGCACATGCGCTGTTAGCCTGGTTGACAAAGCCTATTGTGATTTTTTCTTTGCTTTGAATATAGGAACAGTAGTCTACCTCACTCTGCATAACTTGTAGGTTCAGAACAAACTTATAAGCTATTCGGGAGTTTACAAGACATAATGTATCAATGTCTTGTAAACTCGCGAATCCATACCTCCATCTGAATCTGACCTCCATACTCTGGAACAAGAACTGTGCATGTGCTCACATGCTTGACACCTGAGCTATAAGAAAAATCATATCAGCAATCAAGACCCTAGAGTACTCTTCTACTCTAATCAAAGTTGTATGGACTCATAGAGTATGGAGGTCTCTACGCCTCAAACATGAAATAGAAATCGAATTTTGTCCGTGCTACGTGCACTCTAGCTTGTTTATCTCGTCGTATAGAAGTGGATAGAACCAGCATGATACTTGACGTCAACGTCAAACTTCTCAAGAAGTTACATTTTTTGAACTTGCTTGCAAGTGAAGAGAAACTGTGATGCATACATTTCTTAAAAGATACTTCTGATGCTAAATGCTAGATAATCGTGATTCGTGACTTCACATGAAGATCTGATGTAACTGTACAAGTAAACTCAAATATCTGATATATTTACTGAAATTAATCAAGCCATACCATATCATCCAAGTCATGCCACTTTTGCATTCGTATGCTCATAACATAAATCCAAACATGTCTAATGAAAAAAATAAAGCACATGGCCTAATTGATAAACTTCCAGTTTCCGTTTCAAATGGAAACTTGTTATTTCAAGCCTGTGTCTCTCGTTTGTTTAAAGCATATTCAAATGTACAGAATTTGAAATTGTGATCAAACACCTTGTGGATGTGAAGTCTGATTTGCATCTTTATTTGATGATACGTCCGATCTCAATATGTTAAGTTTTAAACAAGCTAAAATGAATTGTTTCGAAGAAAAAACGATTCAATAAAAGGTACGGCATTACATGTCTCTTGGGTTTTCTTAACTGTTTTAAAAATTTTTTCTCTACACTTCTTCAGCTTTTCAATTGCTTTTCAATTGATTTTCACGTTTTATAAAAACTGTTTACATTTTTTGAGGAGTAAATTTAAATTTTCATTATAAAATTAGTTCTTTCATAAATATATTCAAAATCGGCCCAAAAAAATTCACACTTAAACTTTTATATAAAATATTGAAACAAGCCTTTAATAATAAAATAATAATGATGAATGTGCGAATTTCTTTTCAATATAATATCAACAAGATTGATTTTTGGATGCAATAATTTTTTATATAATTTTTAGTTTCTAATCGACATGATTTATGAAAATATGATTTATAAATTATAATCCTATACTTATCACATGTATAAAATCAAATATTCTAAATTTTTGAGAAATGATAATAAATTATAAAGTAACAGCTTAGAAATAAATATAGATTTTATAGAAATTCTGTATTTAGTGAAGAAGAAATAAATTCTATCAAATAAATCATGAATTTGTAAAAATTTATTATTGCATAAATTAAATCTTTGGATACATAGTTCTTTGTAAAAAAAATTTCTTCTGAATATCAAAATCTTGTTCCACATTGGTTTAAAAAGTATCGGTATATTTACTATTATCATAACAGTGTTTTCTAAAGTTGACAATGTGCACATAATTCTAACATATCTCTTCCATATTTGTCTTTCAATTTATCCATTATTAGACTTGAACTTTAATCTCAGATTCAAACTATATATATTTTTTTGTGATCCATGATAAACCATTCACATATCATTATTATTATTGTAGCGAATAAAAAATATAGGAAATACGTCTTCTTCTTTTGCTTTTAGTCATAAGTCAACAAGACTTTATAAGTTTATTCTAAAGAATAATTTTTTATCAAAATATTGTAATTAAAATGACCAATTAATAAATGAAGTAAATTCAATACGGCAAACAAACTCTTTATAATATATGGATATTTCAGAGGGTTCAACATTATTTATCCAAACATCATATACATCAATCTGATCTGCCAACTTTCAAACATAATTTTATTTAAAAAATCATCCACTTCCAGTATAAATACTACAGTTTTGACATTTTTTGTGATGAAAGAGATAGCTCAAAAGCATCGAACAACCATAGATATTGTTATATATATCAACTCGCTTCAAACTAAAGTTTGCAATTATGATATGATTATATTCACAACTTGTTTTGGGAATTTTTCTAGTGTTAATTGTTGAAAATTATAATTTCGGATTCGCAATCTTGTCCAAACTCAAAGCTTTCACCTTGTCTTTGACTTGATAATCTTGTAACAATAGTCATCACATTTTGTGTATTTTGTTATGTCAAACCTAGCTCTCCCACTCCCATTTTTCATGAAAACCATGTTGTTTAAGTTCATAATTAAGGTTGTACTGTTGTCGGAAAATTTGTTTCTTCTTACTCTTGTAAAATAGTAACTTGAAATTATCAAATTACATAAATAATGTTAATCATCATCAAACCACCTAATGCAACCACATTGCTAATGTACTTGAAAATACTTCACCTATTAGGTCTTAAATCCTACGGATGATTTGTTAATGTCTTTTTGTAATTCCTACTATGCTATTAATATAGCATATTAGAAGTGAAATCTGTAAACTAAACATATTACAAGGAGGTTGGAACGTAAATGACTCAATCTCTTATCTCTATTTATGCCACGATTTCGAGGATCCTATTGACTTTTCAAAACCAGATCTTCTTTGACTCTGCTTGTCTCAGACTCGCACGCTGTGCAAATTATTATTCGATGCGAATCCTTCAGTCGTAGAAAGACTCTGCAAATTTCACTATTCTATGTAATAGAGAAAGCAACGTCCTCGTCAATTATTCTTTACTGTTATTCCAGTCAATTTCGCGGTGGGAGAGAACAATATCAATCTCTTTATTATTCTTTGTCAAATTCCAATGTAATATGTATGTACGAACCTAGAAACAGAAACATGCACAATGTGGAGACGTGTGTCAGAAGAGTCTGCTGTAACAGTTGTTGATCAAGCTGTCTTCTGGCCAAGAGATTGGGAAGACGGGCTACTTCTGTTTCTACTGTATCTCAGATTAGTTTTCCTGGCTTTGGATAACCCCTTGATGAGTGTCAAACCATACCCATCACATTTCAGGGCTTTTTCTGTCGAGGATGTGACAAGACCTTTTTCTTAGTTAGAGGAGATTGCTGTTAAGGAGTCATACTTGGCAGAACCTGAGTGAGATTATTTGTTCATCTTGCAATTGGTTATGGACCCGATATTCCAGCCATCAACTGTGGTTATAACAAAACTTTTGGTGTCCATTTGCCAGAAGGCAAATTTTGAGCAGATTCTGGTGACAGAGAACTGAACCTCTGGCGACGAAGGAATGTTGAATATTTGGAGTCCTTTACAGAGCTGCACAAATCTTGGATCTTTTGTCGATGTATATGAGAGGTGAGGCTTCACATTGTTTGAAGGTGATATAATGCTTATCTACAACCATAAATTGGAGCCCACTCAGCTTTGAGCTACATATAGAGGCAAAATGACGTAAATTTCGAATTCTGACAGAGCGAATTTTGAAGGAATCTCGCATAGAGTTTTAGCCTTTGGTAGTAGTTGTTTTACACCTCATATGGTAAGGATTAGAGGGTTTCACGTCCTTGGTATCCATTGAAGCGCCTGTGCTCATCCACTTTGAAGGACAATTACAAGCTGTCCATATCCTGGATTTTGTAGCTATGAAGGCGACAACGAAGCTGGCCACTGAAGCCATGAGTTCCAGTCTACTTCCAGAACTCCTGAGTTCCTGAAGGCCATGAGGGCATGTACCTCATTCTTCTGCTGCTCGCGCTTATCGAGGTCGGAGATGTTGGCCATTTCGACAAAAACCTCATGCTCCTGAGACTCAGATTCCTTAGCCAGCGATGACTCCTATCCTTGAAAATATTGAATTTCTTCATGGAGTATTGCTGTGCCATTTTGCTGTCGAAACGGACATTGCAGCTCGTAACCTTGGTCACTTCAGGTAGTACAGACAATGAGAGCGATTAGGGTCGTAAGTCTAATTCTATAATAGACAAGAGCAGCAAGCGATTAGGGTCGTGATTTGTGGCGCTGGCCACTCCCCCCTGGCAGTCTTGGCAGTCAAGAGCTCACTGTTGCAATTACTGATCTCGAGGAGCAGTTTCACCACTTTGTTGTGCTGCGGTGTGAGACCCTCGGGGAATGGATCGGGGAACACCCACGTCCATGGAGGCCAGATGGAGGGCTATGAATCCTTCGTGCGTCTTGGCGGTCTCGATCACAGCTAGCCTCAGAAAATCTCGCACGCTGGTGATGATTTTACGCCCGAGATCTCTGTGTCGGATGTAAGATCGAAGAAGAATGGCGCACTGAAGCTCTCGCCATCTCGAGGTTCATCCAGAAGGTAGCTCTCCGCCTCTTTCAGCAGGCGAGTCACCTTGAGCCTGTCACCGATCAAAGGAGTCGAGTACATGGATAGCCCAGTCCTGAAGATAGTCCTCAGATACTACGACGGCCACTGAACCGCAGTTTCCATTATGGCGAACTTGCACGATGGGGTCAGGCGCACTTCCGTCCTGATGCATGGAGCTTGTGAGGGGCTGTGGATTGGGCCAGAATAAGCACATGATTAGCAGGACACAATACGAAAATTCGAGAATTCGCTGAAAGGTCGGTCGTTAGCTTCCGAATTCTTCTCGATTTCAATATTCAGATACGAAATTCAGTCGTGCGTCAAAACTCGTAGCACAACACACACACTCGTCAGCACGCTCCCTTAAGGTCCACAGAGTCTCCGATTTTGCTTTCGAAGCGAGGACTACGTTGCGGGATGAGGCGGACTGCGACGTGGGTGGGAATAACAGTAGATCCAGTCATTCCGTCTTGAAAAATCTGGCAATCCCAATATGAACCTTTTACTTCATACTCTTGTTCATGATTTTGATGCAAGGCATCTAATCAGGCAGGCTCCTTGCAGCCAGAGCTGCCACACGAGGTCCAGCCCACTCTGAAGAGTCGGCACCGGAGTGAATGCTGGCGTCTGTGCGCACAAACTGTAGAAAATTGGACGCTCGTTACAAACCGATCTCCAGCGCACAATTGCTCAGGGATGCCGAGCAGATCTTTGGGCTCTGGTACTCGGATTTGAACTGGTGAGCTGTTCGATTCGACCGCTAGCTCACCAGCTCGGGAAACTTATGTCTCTACCGTGGCATCCACATGAGCTTCGGGTCCATTCCATGGCAGCGAAATTCTGAACGAATCTCAGAATCTGGTTTCTCGTTCAGCGGCAACGGAGCGTGAGACAGTGAGACAACCCAGTGAGCGGAATGAAGAAAGTTGTCAGTCCCCGAGCCCATTTGGGTGGTGCATTCTGCAACACCATTCATATACCTTCAATCCTGAGGGCCATGTAATGTGATCGCGGAAAACGCTGTCTCACACGCTTCAGCTGAAAAGCTTTTTAAGTCCTACGAGCAAGATCCTCGGAGGATTTCGCAGATTTGATCTTTGGATGGTAACGGACTAGAACTGGTTGTCGAGGAAGGAGGGATGGAGGCAACTATGGAATCGGACAGCGATGAGAAGGCGCTTTCGTCCAAGCCAGCAGAACTGACATCAGATTCCTTGCGGAAGTCGTTACCGGCCGACGTTCTGTTGCATGTGCTGCACAATCTCCCGCTCCAAGAGCCTGAGGAGGTTCCGTTGCGTGTGCAGAGAGTGGAACGATCTGTTCGTGTCATGGGGATCCCCAATCTCGGTTTTGCTCAAACCTGGGGAGCTGGTTCCACTGTACATAGGGCATGGAGCTCTCAGTCTCTACGACACCGGCACTCGTTGCTGGTTGCCGTCTCGAATTTGGAGAAGATGATGATATGAGCTGGCCGCATCAGGTGGGGCCTGCTGGTCGTCTTGCCAATCGCCCACTGAACGACTACTGGCAAATGGAAATCCCAACATTCATCGTCTACAACCCTTGGACACGACAGTTCCACAGATTGCCGAGTTCGTTAGCCAGTGGCACACGTTCCCTCTACATTCCTGAGGTTGGACATATGTGATGTGGAATTGATGTTCATCTCAAAACAGGGTCCTACACTTTCTTATTTCTCTATCCTCGTTGCTCGAATGACGAGGGGAAACTTACATCTACCACTCTCAATTTCGCTCATGGCGGATCAGTAGAAAATTGCCCTTCACCAACGCTTTCGGTCCACGCCTAGAAAGAAATGGGAATACCAATCCATCCACCTACAAGACTCAATGCGTGACGAAGGAGGGGAAGTCTTTCTGGATAATGAGTAATCTTGGATCTGATCAGGTGAACATTCTGTGTATTTACAACGTGAAGCTCGACGCTTGGATTCAGTTGAGGCAACCCGCTAGCGAGGATATCATTTGGAGATGTATGGAGCACAAAGGCGAAGTCCTGCTGCTTGGACTAGATAATCAAAATGGATCATCAGGTAATGAGCTTTGCTTCTACGAGACTGTGGAATACATGCCTGAAAATGTGCGTCCATGGCATTTCGACGGTGACTCGTACTTCCGAGAGAAGAAGGCGGTGCCCATGCCCTCGGTGGTTGATGTACTCGCTCCCTTGTACGAAGACTCTACAAGTCGTACAACAAATGTACGCCTCAAGTCGTGCGTGGGAGCGGGGGACGAAGTAATCAAATAGACAAATAGATTTTCCCAGACATTATTATGCGTTCAGATCGAGTTCCACCGATGCAGATCAGACATGTCTCGTCCGTTGAGAGATATGTCTCGTCATTAATATGAGTTCAGATCCAGTTCAGACCGATGCAGATCAGACACGTCTCGTTCCGTTGAGAGATATGTCTCGTCCATTGTTGCGCTACGATGCTGTCGAACATTCTTGGACGTGGGTGGGCAACTGGGCAACTGGGCGATTGTACAAGACGTTGATGACAGATTGAACCCTTGTCATATACGTCCAGTCTGGACTTTCCAACCCTCACTCGTCAGCCCTGGGTCGATCGAGAGCTAGATCAAGCATCCACACATCCACTGACGAGGAGCTTGGGTTCTCGAAATCATAGAATGCATCAGAAGTAGTTTGCTCTTGAGAAAATTAACGTATACTTCACTAGGTGATAAGGAGTCCATACCTAACTTTTCAGAATTCATCTGTGGCCATGGTAGCTCAGTTCAGTCTTCAGACGGAACGCACACTCTGAATCTACAGGCTAACTTTGGGAAAAGAACACACTGCTTACTACAGTCAAACAGTATCTTCTTCAGCTGGAAAGGATAGATGAAGCATGAAACTGTCTCATTCGTAGTGTTTCAAAAGTGGTGTAGCATTGCTTTGGAATGCTTTGATGGTTTGCTTTGGCTGAAGAAACCTTGAAAGGAGATCCTAAAGCCGAATCTTCAGTGCTGGTGTGAGAAGCAGTGCTTCCCACAGCTATGACGATGGCCCCCGAATGGTGACGATGAATGTATCCACCAGCTGAGAGTGAACCACACTCGTTACCATATGCCTCAACTGAGAACGCGACCCATATGGCAGGCTCGATTCTTCATTCTCAACATATCAGCCAAGTGGTGGTACACTGGTGTCATATCGAGTATGGAAATATCACCCTCAGCCGCTAATCAAGATCAGTCAAGATCGAAAATCTAGATATAAGCATTAAAGTTTCCACTGAGATACCAATGCTGATTTCACATTTGCAACTCGCTGGCAAGATTCGCTACTTGTATCCTGGAATCGGCCTCTCGTTTCCGAACAGCACACTGACATTTTTGGATCCGAGTTATACTTCTTCCGGAATGAACACCATGAAGCTGTTGCATCATATTCAGCCAGAGCCACAACATCTCCATCTAGAATGTAGGTCCCACATGCTCCTGATCGAGTCTAATGTGGAGAAGATAAAGAAAATCAACAAAAATTCTACTCCACAGGCTTGTGGCTTGATGGCATTGATTCTCGACCATATCATTCTAGGCAAAAGATACAGGTCTCGAAATTAGCGAATTTATAGCATCAAGTGCAGTGCAGAGTAGCCAACACTTGTGGATGAACTGGAAAAGTTGTGAAATTGGGTAGATCACATCGCTCTGAATAGCATAGATGCTTGCAGCTAATACTTAATGGGATCGCCGATTGTGCAGGAATGGATCCCTCGACCCGCTCTCACACACGACGGCCCCTTCTTCTGCTCACACTCGGTGCAAATAAGAATCCACCTCCGGGAACGCTTTGGACGAACAAGCATCCCCGGAGCGACCACGACGATGGGGAAGGCGGAGCGCTTATGGACGCGGCATCCCCGACCTACAACGGGCCGATATCAAGAAGTCGCTACGTGCTGTACTCAGCCGAAGCGCGGCTCGGGCGTATCTCCGTACTCGATAACATCTCGCAATCTGGACATCAGAGCAAACCGTGAAAACCTTCGCAAGCACTTGTCTGCCGTTTGCTGGACAAAGCCAAATTCAAACTTTGAGGTTGTTTTGATTTTGATTTGATTTTGAACGGTCGCTGTATGGTTACAGGCTCGGTGCACGGCGTTAGATCTCATATATATATCCCGTTGAAAAACGTTCGAAATCATCCAAATATTTGAAAACTTTTCATCGAATTTGAATCGCATTATGTAAGCGTAGGGACTCTCTTTCAGCACGTCCTCCCATCCAACTATCCCGCCCAAATTTGTATTATGAATCGTTTGTTCTTGGATTTTCTCGGCCAAACTCCAAGAAAATCTGTGCTTTATTATTTATTAATGTGATATTTAGTTGGTGTCAAATTGTAATAAACAGTTGCTTTCATTCGATGCAGTGTGGCGGGTTCAAATGATGGACGAGGTACGAATAGAGATTCACATCTGAGATATGAATTTGGCTAATCAATTGTTTGGATACAAAATAACGATCACAGTTACGTGACTGTGAACCTGGAGAACTTTAAACTGAACGCTTTGACTGTGCTGACAGATGGTGATAAAATAAGTAGGTCCTTGCAGAAGTGATCTACCGATGGATCAATGAAGGACCATCTGATCTCTTTGATTTTATCGAGTACGACGTGATGGGTTCTTCCCGTGGTTTCTACTATTTTCCTTTCTTCTGTTTAGCTCAATGGGAACCTCAAGAAAACCAGCTCAAGGAATGTACCTGCATATCTTAAAGATACAACGATAAATTTCAATACTCTCCAGAGGTCTCAATGCTAACATAATCAAAGATTTATGGTTCCACTATATATCCCCAGCAGACCCGAGAGAAAAGGTTTATTATCTCAAATTCTATTCCAATACCTACTTATAGTGCGAACTCAATTCATGGTCAGCTGGTGAAAATTTAAGTATTATTTAGAAATGACAGAATTTCGTGGAAAAAGATTCAGGCAGCTGAATTCAAGGGAATTTTTTGAAAAAATGTTCAACGCGGGTAGCTCTGTCTTTCATGACTACAAAATGTGGGACGTAAAGTACTAGGCCAGACTAGTAGCGTGGTAAACTAGTACCACCATCGACCATCTACTGTACATTTTGGATACAGCTGAGCTTATCTCTTCTGGATGTAGAACTGGTTCTTGGATCTACTTTTAGCATTGACCTTATTCTTAGAGTTTATAGCATGTATTCCAAACTCCCCCCTTCAGGTCTTTCATTGAAGAACCAAGCACTGGGATGGGAAGACCTCGTCAAATCTAACATGTATGAAACTAATTGTTTACATGGGGCTCGTCCCCAATAGCATCACACCGGAAATATACATTAGACCATTCCATGTTCCAACCTATGTATGGATTGCGTTGTGTGATCAATAGTAAATTAACACAGCAGTCATGTTTTAAATTGTTATTATGCAAACATTTTCAGATTAGTCATTATGCTATTATTATTAGATAATCAATATTTTAGGTTAATATGATTAATGGAAAATGAGAAAATGTTGTATGGTCTAAGTTTTATCAACTGGAAGTCTAAAGATGATGATAAGGCTTTAAAAAATAGTATCTACTAGCTTATGAAATATAAAGTTTGCATGGTAAGCAAAGAAAAAGAGTTGACTTTCAATTCGACTTGTTGACCAATAAGCTAATTTAATCGAAGTAGAGGTGAAGTGATACATATATACACGATGTAATGATTCTACAAGATTGTCGCTAGTTAGCCCACTGCTGTATGAATTATAGACACCTTTGCCCATAGTGCCTACAACTGTTTGAAAATTATCTTTTTACACCAAACGATTATATTTTCACACACAACTATACTTCTAATTAATTCCACACCTGATTGTATGTAGTCTTATTTATTGCAAATAATCTAAATATGAACTTGCCAATTGTGTAAATTTTTAGCATTTTGATTTGAAGCATCAGTCTAGCTTTTGTACATTAAGCTATAAAGATTTGCTGATCATAAACAATAGCATGATAAGTTCAGAAGTACTTGAGAAGGTTTCACTCAACATAAATTTTATTAATTATCATGTGATTTCATATACAAGTTAATTTTATCCTTGCTTCTCTTATTTTCACTCTGCAATGTCAAATTAAATAAATAGTACGAGATTGTAGAGAAATTGATCTGAAATTACATTTAAAAACTTCTGAGCAAAGATTGAACTGATTGAAATGAGGAATAGTTTGATCATTTGGATTGTAAAGATGCATGCAAGAACACTCAGTCCATGTTGCCGTACCAAGGCTTACCAAAGGCTTACTTGCCAAAGCTTACCAAAAAACTATGTACATTTACAGCAATTTCCACTAGGGTGTTCCCAACAATCGAGGGCCGGAGTCCATATCCAGCGTCTGACTTTCTCAGCTGCTCCTACTTTTACCCAAGGACGGACACTAAAGAATCTGTGTATCTAAAGTCTCATCCCAATACCGGCCCACTGCAGAGGCGCTTCTATGAGCACGATTACGTAAATGTGATCTACAATCCCTCCCAACTATCTGTTCAAACGAGGGTTGCAAGTGTATACTTCTCGACTACCGCACGGTATATAAAATCTGTACAAGGGAAGCTGCTCATGGCATGACATTACAATGCCTTTCCTTCTTTGAGAATCAGGATTTTGGCGTGGGAGACATCTCTACTCCTCGATGATCTGGCCGAAGCTTCAAAGTCACTCGAAATTTCCACACGTGGACGACGCGTGACGAAAAAAGCGACCAGACTCGACAACTGCAAGTCTGAAGGCAAGCACTCTAGCTGGGACACCAGATCGGCTGGAAATCTATTGCGCCGATCTCGGTAAGAGGACCTCTCGCTCGCTCAATCGATCGACAGCGAGTAATACGCACGAGAAGCGATCGAGAGTGCGAGCGAGAGAGAGAGCAATGGCGTCTGAGGCTGGAGAAGAGTGGTCTACTCGCCGCCCATGTCGCCCATGTCGCCGCCGTCGCCGCCCCCGTAGTCGCCGCAGTCGTTGTCCCCGAAGTCATTGAGCATATCGCCGACGAGGAGACCCCCGAGAGCGCCTCCCATCAAGCCCGTGCCGAAGCCCATGCCGCCGCTGCGCCGTTGCCTCTGTTGGGGGTAGCCCCCGTATCCCCCACCGTAGCCGCCCATGCCCATGCCCATGTTCGAAGCGCCACCGTACATCATCTGGGGCTGCTGCATCATCGGGGGGTAGCCCATAGCGCCATACTGCTGGGGCTGGGGCGTGAACGGGGGCCGGTAGCTGGGGCCGGCGGCGGAGAAGCCCGCGGCGGGGTACTGGCCCTGCTGCAAGCCCATGCCTCCGAAGGGCATCTGCTGCTGGCTCTGGTAGCGCTGCACGGTGCGCACCTCGCCCAGGCGCACGGCCATGTTCAGCGTGCCCTTGGGCTTGCCCGACGGGCGCAGCACCTGGAACGCCATGACCTGGTCGCTGGCCTTCTGGCCGTCGCGCGCCAGCAGCTCGTGCAGCGGCACGGTCACGCTGCCCACCAGCTTGTTGCGCAGCGTGCCGTGGCTGTGGATCTCCACCGTCAGGAACGAGTCGCGCGAGCGCAGCAGCTGCTCGTCGCAGGTCAGCGCCAGCGTCGCGTTCCACACCGGATTCAGTCCGCCCGTCTGGTCCGCCTTCGTCGCCTTCTGCTGGTTGCGGTACACGAACGCCACCACGTAGCAATGCTGCTCGCCCAGCGTCTTCACCTTCTTCAGATCCACCGCCGACACGATGTTCAGCTCCACCGTCCTCTCCTCGAAGGTCGATGACATTCTCTCTCTCTCTCTCTCTCTCTCTCTCTCTGTGCCTGTTACACTTCGATCCTTTCTATTCCTTCCCTCGATCTCTCGAAGCCTTTCGACAACGCAAGGTCGATTCGATTCGATCGACCCACTACGCTCGTCTCGTCCTCCTCGTAAAACCCTGCACTGCAATTTGATACCGGGAGCAAGATGTTGTACGATCGATGTCTGAAAGGCGGCTTTGGCCTCGAGCTACACTTCGATCCTTAGTGTTCCTTCCCTCGACCTTTCAAAGCTTTTCGACACGGTAAGGTCGATTCGATCGATCGATTGTCCTCCTCGTAAACCCTGCGTTATAATCTGACAGTGAGAGCAAAATGTGCGACGATCGATGTCTGAAAGAAGGCTTTGGTCTCGGCCCGAAGCGCTGGTGCGTGATATTCATGAACCGAGAATCACTGCTCGACTGCTGCGGATGCCGAGGCTCCGCCGCCACGTCATCGGAACTGCCACTTGTCAACTCCCTTCCGTAGGAACGTCCACGTGCACTAAGCTCATCGAGGCCTTTCCACGCAACCGCTCCTTGGGGCGTGTCGCCAAAAGGAGAGGTGGCTCCAGCAGCCCCTACGAACCTGCGCTCCGCCGCCATTCTGGCTGTGCCCCGTCTCTCCGCGATAACGCGCTCTTGCCGCATTCTGCAACGAAATGCGGCACCGCATCTGCAGATCGATCCGATCGGGAGGCGCCAGCGCACGCATGCTCTGGACAGGTCGACACTGCCCAATCATAGAATGCATATGGCAGGACAAGACAGGTTTTCATTTCAGAGTTAAAACTCGCAACAGTGTGAGCAGACACATCTCATAAGAGGTGACACTCCGTACTCTCGTTAGTGACCTAAAATTCCAAAACCATTTATTTTTTACTTGTAAATATGTTCAATAATATCGGTTCGTTACTATTATCAATAATGATATGATATTATCCAATAATGATAATTTCAAATGTAATTTAGGAGTAAAAATTTTTCTCATGATCACAATACATAGCTATGACATTTGAAAAATATAACATAAATTTATTGAAGGAAGCGGCTAGTTATACCTCATACTAATCTTATCTTTCCATTTTTAGCATTATTTCTCCCGTTTCACTAGTCCTCATAAACTATATTCGCCGGTTTGGTTTGTACTTGCATGGTATCGAGCAATCAAATTTATCTTCTTTGAGTGTGAGTGATAATTATTGTTAAATGAGGGATAACTAGCCCCTCCCTTATTTGAGCGTATATCTCAACAATTTACTCTATGTGGACGTAGTTAAAAAATATGCTGCTCATATTATTATCAAATGTTTCATTCGGAGTTTTTGTGTATCGATCTGAGATCAAACTTAATTATAATTTAAATTTTATTTATCGTGAACAATACAAACCTGCAAATGAAGGCGATTTTGAAACCAAACAACACATTTATAGAATGTACTAGATGTGATGTAATGCACAATAAGAAATCTATGAGTTTTTTTTATATATAATTGACACCTCCCAATAATGACATCCAATTCTAACAACAATGTATGTTATTATTAGGAGGTAATATTAAAATTAATCACCTTCAAATAGTGACATCCAATTCTAACAACAATGTATGTTATTATTAGGAGGTTATATTAAAATTAATCACCTCCGATTAATGACATCCAATTCTAACACTAATGTATGTTACTATTAGGAGGTTATACCCATTTTACTCTTGTGAGTGACACCTCACAATAATGACGTAAAACCCTAGTACCAATATATGCCACTATTGGGAGGTTTAACTCTGTAGTCATCATATTTTGCCTCGAAAAATGAGCTTACCTTTTTACTCTTCAGTGTCAAAATGATCGCTAAACTTGGTCGAGAACTTGGCATATCCAAGATATGAGTGTCCTGTAAGTGATTAATTTTGCCATCTATCTCCCGACGTTTGTTTTGATTTGATCTATGTGATAACGTTCCAGTTTTTATCACACTAACATGAATCAATTTTAAAAGAAAATTCGAATTATTATATTACATGACCATAACGCTACCATATTATGTATGCAAATTCAGTCTTTCAATTCATATTCACATCCGGTATGTGTAATAAAAAGTTGGAGGATTCTGGCTATTAAATGATGGTGATTGTAGTGATTTAGTATTGACATTGTAGTGACATTCATAAATGATGTATGAATGTAGTGCTTAACAATACTTTAATTTGACTCCTTAAAAAATTGCACATAGATGGCATACAATGTATTACTTTTGGGTTTTAACTTACCTCTATTGTTTGGCCTCTAATTCAAGCTTGCATGTATCAAACATGAAAACCGATATCACTTCACATGTTTGTTAAAGATATACATCCAGATTTTACTCTTGTGTCAGAAATTTGAAATTGAGAAGTGATTGAGAAAGTAAAAATGATTTTTAAAATATATTTTACTTTACTATATATCACAAGTTAATAATTTTCCTTATAATTATATATGGTCTATTCACAATACTTTTACAGCAGGTCACATAGGTTAAAATTAATATTTTTTAATATATTACATAAAATTTATTTACATCATTTTTTATGAATAAATATATATAGTTCAAAAATTCAGATGATTTTTCAGTAATTTCATGCATGATGTTTCTAACAATTTGTAATTTTTGGTACAACGTATGATCAAATAAAATTTTTAAAAGGCTCGGTTAATTTTTTAAAGAATAAATATCTCTTTCTCTACTTCTAAAATATATTTATTCACATAGTATTTTAACACTTTATATGTATAGGTTTTAAGGATTTATTAGATGAAATGTCATAAATTCATAAGTATAAATTTTATTATGAAGATAAGTTTAATGTTCACAAATTCATTGAGATATTACGTGAATTTTTATTCAAATACAGAAAAATAAATAATACTTTTCAAATAATATTCTTATAATATGTATACAATGAACTTTTCTTGAATTGAACAATAGTTTTATACTCAATTTTTTATATTTTTGTACTTATAATGGCATTTTGCTACACACATATTAAATGACACTTTATTTATATTGATGATCTCTTGTGATAATGATCATTATTTTAGTTATACCCCATCATATATTTTTGTAGTTTTATTCAAAAGATTAACTTTGATATCCCTTGTAATATTTTGAAACAAATTGGATACTTTCAAATAATTTTCTATAATTACTGAAATATGTATACATAGTACATGAAGTTATGATATTTTTAATGTAAGATTATTAAGTATAATAATTTTATGATAAAATAAAAAATCTAAAATTAAATATCATTTAGACTAAGGTCTTGCATCTGCAATTTCAAAACTCTTTTGACATTTTAGTAATGGATTTGGTCATATGTTACTGTATTCTTTGAGCATACTCTTATGCAAGAAATGATGCATTCTTTTCATTCTTGTTTTAATAAAACATCATAATATTCAAATTTGCATCATCTATTACTTTTTTTGTCAATATATTTATGTATTGACATTCACTTATATGCAGGCCTTTCTAAATACGGCACATACGGAACTTGAAGGCCAAAGTGCCGTATTTCGTTTTCAGAAAGTTCCGTATTTACAACAAAAAATATTTGTTGTCTAGGTGTCTTTACTAGAGAAACTAAGGGAGTCACTTAATTAAAACTTTGGATGACAATTTTTGCCAAATCTTTGTTGATATAGGTGATTTTACTAGAGAAACTTACGTAAATATTCAGCTAAATCTTTGCCGTGATCGTTTGTGACAATTTCTTGGTTCATTACCGTTACTTTACTAGGATAATTAACTGAGTACTTGACTAAAACTTTGAGTCAACACCTGATGAGTTCAACCAAGTTCTAGTATTTTGTTTCCTTGGTTACTCATTCACTTGTAGCTCTGAAAACACAAAAAATTATTCAATTAGTTCTAAAATATCAAGATAGTTTCAAACTTTCTTGGAAACAAAAGTACATAGATAAAATAGTGAACCCAGAACATTACGAAGTCTATGTTCTAGGTGCACAAAAATCTGTTGACTGTAAAGGTCTGATTCCAGGTTTTAAGAATAGATTTCTTCAACTCATGGTCGGCTTGAGACAAATGACCAACGGATGACTAGGGTTTAGGCAAGCAAATAATAGTGATTCCTCCTAAGTTGACCAAAGACTTCAATCGTCACAAGAGTGTCTGGAGAATTTGCACAGACAAAGAAGTTTAGAAAAGTCAGAAACAGGAAATTCTCTGGATCTTTTATTGTTTGGACATCACCCTGAAACAATACACGCAGTTGTCCTTGATACCACTCGTCGCATACTATAATAGGGAGCAGCAGTGTGGAATGCCAGTACGATCGAACATGTCAAAATGGAAGCATTACAGCTGACAGTCACTCGTACAATGCTTTCAGCATAGTTCTAATAGGAGTAAGATCAGCATTAGACGGGAGTTTCTAATGTTTTCTCTTAAAGTACCTGGAATCTCCGAGCCTCTCTTAGCATGGGTAATATCAGAGAGACCTTCATTCTCTTGTAGTCGTCTTTCATTTACCATCTACGTCTATCCGTATTCTCTCTTCACTCAATTTTCATATAGAGCCAGGGCCCGAGTTCTCTTGTTTTCATAGTGAGAAACGGTTATTGCTTCTGGCACTCATACCAAATCAAGATGTAGAGGGCAGTCATGTAAAGTTTTCTTCTATATGTTTTTTGATCACGTTCGAACTTCGCCTTTTGGGGTCGTAGCTTTCACCATCACTGGGCATTTAAAAGCATTTTAGGACAGATATAAGAAGAAGACGCATCTCGGACATCTCACTAAATGTGCTTTATAGCCTTCATTTAAACACATCTCATCGTTAAATGTTAGGAGATGAATGCCGGTTTCCTCCAATAGAAGATGATGTGTTGCCTGCCTCACTAACTATACCCCTTGTTAACTGATATACGATCGCAATTTTCTTCTTGTAGACCTGATATTTTGGTTCCAATTGGCGAAGAATCCATCGATGGAGTAATGACATCTGTCAGCGAAGTGCGATATTTAATGGTGTGCATTATGTCTTGAAAAATACCCTTAGAGAGGTCGAAGCTTTGTTTCTCGGCATCAAAGGCCTTACCACGATGCTGACTGGATGAGAAATCTTGAGTTATTGAAAGCTAACCGCTTTCCCATGTACGTGGATAATGAGAGCGACGAGGGATGTTCCAAGCAGCAAAACATGATGCAGTCTAAAGTATCAACAGCAGAAAGGCTCAGCACTCCGAACATGCAAGTTCCAAGAGTAGCTGAGGTTCGCTCCTTTGCCTTTATTCATTCAACAACAGTTATGTGGTTGCCTACATGTTTCAGTAGTATGACTATGAATCAGCCAAGGTGTAGACGAAGTTTAAGTTTCCTGAATTTTTTGCTAATCTTTTTTCTTCATTCTTGTCTGCAAACTTACATCCTCTCACAGGTCTTTTGTAAGTTTTCCTTTTATTACCCGATCTAGTTTAAGGCATGAACATCATAGTCGAGAGAGAATTGTTGAAGGTTCTTGATCCTGTGGTATAACCATGTGCCTTTCCCAACATGGTGTCAATTTTAGTTGCTTATGAGGGAGTGAATTATCGGTCTTACTGGTATTCAAGAGTAACCCCTTCTTTGCGTTTGGTCTCTTGGACGCATGAACAGATTGGTGTATCTGAAGGCCTCGTTTTGTTGTTATAGGAACTGAAGGTGCCATTGATTCGGAGTTTGCTCACCAAAGCACTTAAAGCTCAGCATGTCGAACGGTTCAAGGTAATTGCACCAGTCTCGTACTTGTCTAGGTTACTTGAAGTAGTTGGGAAAAATTTCCTTGTTAAATGAAAGATCAAGCTAACGGACACGCATCAGAAGAACGCTTGATGCTAGCTGGCTTTACCAAGGGCAGCCATCACTTTCTCGCGTATAATAGTTCTCATGTTTTCGTTTATTCAGCTTGCAGGAACCATTTTTCGGGAGGTGTTACAGGTGTTACCAAAGCAAAGAATTTGTCTTCGCGCTTTAGGTAGATTCTTCTTCTTGAAAATTTCCCCGTGTTTCTCCATTAGGTGTGATTCATATACATGCTCTTCCTAAAATCGCGTCACATATGCTGCAGAGGTTCTTAAATTTTGTTTCTGTCCACATCAGGGGCCATGGCTTTGGAAATCAATCATTATCCAGAAGCTGTCAATTGGTTACAGGAAGGAGTTCGAGAATATCCAAATGACGCACTATTCCACACACGGTAGTGTTTACGTTGAACTCATGACTTTGCCTTGAAGTTCTTGGTTCAGCTACCTGTGACGTTGAAGTGTCATATGAAAGAAAATAATATTCGAAATCAACACTTCGCTGTACATTATATACTGCGTCAATGCATAGCAACGAGAACCGAAGACTGACAAAAGTACAGACTGGGTGATGCTTATTCTGGTCTTGGCAAGTATGAGGAGGCACTCGAGAAATATGATCGTGCACTTGGCCTAGTAGTGGACAACCAGTCCCTAATTGCCATCAGCGACTTGGACAAAATGACCTTAGCAGATGAGACGATTTCGAATGTAGAAAAGAATCACACTGATGTGAAGTCAACTTTCAAGAGGGATCAAATTAAAGAACCAGACATCGATGATTTAAATGCTGGAGATCTACAGGGTGCCGTAACCTTGGACGGACTCAAGGTATGTCTCTATTACTTCAAATACTTGCAACAAAGTTGGTAAAGTTGACTGCTTGCTGAATATTTTCACCTCCGATAAATAAACATTTTGTTTTAACGTTAATAGATGAATCAACAGCATTTTATAAGTAATCTCACAGTACATTAATTTAGAGTATAAACATTAAATTGTAAATTGGATTAACTTTGAGATACAGAAAGTAAATAATTATTTGTTTGAGGTTTAGGGTTATATGGTTAATGTTGTCTTGGAAAGACTCTCTTGTTCCTTCTCTAAGTAGCTACCACTCTCACTTACCCTCAAGTATGCATCGAGAAGTAATATTTTGAGATTAGAGCACAGAGAAACTATTTAACTGTCAGACTTGATATAAACTCGAAAATCTGCGATAGCTTTAATTTCACTTTCATTCCACATCAATTCAACACTGAAGAAAATATTTATCTTATTATATATTCTGAACTGTTAAATAAAGTAACGGTTCAGAATATATACAGGTTTCAGTTTGAGATCTGAGTTTGATACAAATTTGAAACGCTAAACTACTGAGGTTGACATCAATTTGAAACCCTAATCTGTTGTAGCTAATGACTCATCAGTCACCAAGGAAACTCTTAACCTAAACTTAATCTTATTTACTGTGAGTTACTGTTACGCTTTATTTTGAGATTATATCACAACACATTGTTAAAGTTAACTATGTGGCTAAAGAATCATCAGCCACTATGGTTAGGTATTTGTGTGTATAATCTCAAAATACAGTTGTATATATCGTTCGTTTGTAAGTCAAGTCGTCATCTTTGAAAGTTCATTTTGCTCGTGATAATTTCTTCAATTATCGGTCACATTTTTGAGATTTGGAACGTTGAGAACTGGAAGTGAAATTCTGAGTTGGTTTAAACATAGTAACGTTGAATAATATCTAGAATCTGATATTATTGTTATTCTTACTATAAATACATAGTGAGAATCAAGTATGTGGACTCTTTGATCAAATAGTTTAGATTTCGTAGTTACAGTACATATTTTTGAATGTGATGATACTTGTACTTAGCTAATCATCTGGTTCAACAATAGTTTTCTTATAGTGTTTTCTATGTTATCTGCTATGTTATTTCACATGGAATACATGAAAGTAGACTATAGTTTAATTTGTAGCTTGATGACAACAATCAGGATATAGTGTGATAAGTGACATGGTTAAACTTCATTCACATTATATCGAAATAGGTTAATGAGGTCTGATAATTACTTCACATTTCAGGGTTGTATCAGTGGTAGAAATTTAAAGGGAGTTCATATGACCAGCTATGGTCGGAACATTATTACGTTGATTTCCAATAGGATATGCACCGAGATTTGGGTAAAAAAAATGATAGAATTCTTGTGACAGATGGGCAACCTGAAAGATGGAGAAATAATCAGACCTTACTCACCTATATTAGTAAGACATAAATGAACTGCAAATGATCAAAAAAACCTATCACATGGTCATCATCACCATCAAGCGTCAAGATAAACTCCGCTTTACGTTTAGGTGGGCTACAAAGTACAACACTCAAGTCATACTCTAGATAGCACTCCTAATTCTTAAAAAAACTCAACTGAAACTTCAACTAGAGTTAACTCCACATTTACTTGTACATTATGAGGTACTAATAGCAACTAGTAACTAATGATATGATAAACCTGATTCCTTTACTAATAAAATAGCTAGTAAGAAAGTTCACCTTTCCAGTGATCATATAGTTCTTACACCTTTCAGTGCTGAACTGCCGAAAAGTGGAAATGGAATTGGCATTTAAAGTTTTGCAAAAACTTAGTGAGCTTGATTGCGTGCTTAATTTCAAGTGACATTTCGTATTGAGGTTTATGGACAAACTAGCGGTATACATTGCAACGGAGTGAAGAAATTGTCCTTGATATTGGCAGATTGCTTGTGCAAAAGTTCTCAGCAAGATGGGTAATGGAAGTCTCGCCAACGCTATTCTCATGGTATAGAGAAACACCTTCTGCATTTGGAAATTGCGTAGGCAGAATACCATGTGAACGATATGACTTGTTCAGAATATCAAATTTCTTATCTTGGAGTTGATATAGCAGGTCGAAGCTATCACATCAGATAGCCTGAAAGTTTATATGTTTAACTCAAAGCATCAGTGCATTGCAGGAAGTATTGAAGGACAGCCCTGGCAATATAGATGCTCTTTACGAGTATGGTGGTCTCTTGCTTAGTCATGGTATTAGACAACTCATTCGCAAGCTCCCTCTAAACTCATTATTGTAACCTCTATAGCAGCATTTTTCTCAGCATTGTCAAATTAGTCCTTACAAAATCAACTTCGAGATCTTGCTTATCGAAAGTCAGTCGGCGACATTACTGACGGATTTACATTGATGGTTCGTGTACTCTCACCAGCTCTTGCGTGAATCCATGTTATCTCCAGGCCTTATCAAAGATGCAGTATCCGTCTTTCTCAAGCTTATGATAGCCAGACCCGGTAGGTGATCAGCATCACATTTTCCAATGTCATCTTTTCAGTGTCTCGTTTCCTGGTATGAGTTATGAGACTCCTTTGGTAACTCAAAAATTTTCACTCCAAATGAAATAGAATATCTAACTAAGGTTATATCTAACCAAAATCAAAATATAATAATTCTGTCTTTTGTTTTTCTTAATACATAAGTCGTAGTATTTTCAATTAGATCAGTTCACAAACTTTGCTAAAAATGTTGAGGAAATTGTGTACACGTGATTTTGTCTGGACACAGGTAGTAAGAAAATTCGGAGGAGCCTTTCAAAAGCTTTGAAGCGCCAGCAAGGTAATAATTCTATAATCTAAGATTAGATGTCATCAGTAGAAGACCTTTGCTCTCAAGACTTAAGCAGACGCCGTGCTTATAGTATCATGAAGAAACTTTCTTGTTTCTTTGCCACAATCATGGATCCTACACTGTTCAAGGAAGCCGCTTCTTCTACTCTTTGGATGTCACTTTTGCAACTCATTAAAGCACTTGCCACATTGCAATGTAGGTTACGCAAGATAGTGCCAACTTGAATGCTGTGCATACACTTCACTCAATTCTGACTGGTCGTGGAGTTCTTATGTGGTCTCGTTCGTGTTTATCTTACCAAGTTGAGATACCTTGTGGGTGTAGGTTTGGAATCACTGAAGAACGAACTTGCTCCTGAGGCTATGGCAGCTCCTGCCCTTGCGTTTATTGCTTCTTGCGTCAAAGAGTACGGAGGTAAAGAACATGGTGTCAAGAAATAGCACATATTTGCATAGGTAACTATTCAGTTCGAATCTCCAACTAATATTTCTAACGAATAAGTCATTCACATTATACATGACAAAATCACTATGAGAGATTATCACCGTGCAGCTTTTCAGCTTGTCATATAGAAGTGTTTAAGCCTCATTGCGAAAACGTCAAAAACTTTCTGACTCTGATGTTCGCAGCTGGTTCTAACAGCAATCAGTGAGGCAGTAGAACTGTACGAAATGGCAAGCACAATGTCACCCTCAACTCCTGGCTATTTTCTCAGTCTGATTCATTTGTATGAGGTTTTTTCGAACCTCCCAACTATTGTGTTCTTCATTTGTGGCCATCACCCGAAATTTTGCCAAGATATATATTCTTAGTCTTTCTTTAGTTTAAGTTTGAGTTGAAGATATGATAGAGTTGTCGCTGTGTCTGTTAAACATATTATCTATATTTAAACATCTGACATATTGGTTTGATTATCACTTAACCCTGCAAAATCGTCTATTTCGTAGGACAGATGAACATATCAACCAAAGTCGTATCTGATGTCAAATCAACTGATTAGGAATCAAGACTGTAATCTGGGAATTTCTGTCACTAACGAGCTGCAAGCTGCAAAACTTTCATGACACACAGAATCCCTCTTGTTTCTTAAATGTGTAGGTGACGTATGAATATCACAAAGGTCTTGAGAAGGCAGTCACTTCCTTCCGCAATGCAAAATCTTCTATCAGAAATCTGTCGTACAGGTGTCTAGCTCAACTTCTTCCCCGTTTGATTCTACAATCTAAGAAGTTTTGTTCAAGTGCAATAATTTGCTCACGTTGGACATTTGGATATATAAATTACTGTCTTATGTATTCGCAGAAGTGCCATTCAATGCATTGATAACAACAAAGGGATCAGTCAAGACCAAGAATCAAATCCCTCAGAATCTCATGTAGGAGTAGAATATCCAAGATGGTGTATTTTGCCATCTAGGGACGTTGAGGTATTTTTCCCACTCTGGTAAATCTCCAAATGTAGTATATCAAGGAGCATGCAGTTTATTGTCAAACCATTTAGAAATACTTTTAAGTACTTGTTTCTTTTGTCTTGGTCACGATCTTTCTCGACATTGGAGCTACTTCATGCCCAAATTTGCAAATCTCTGCAGTGAAGATTATATCGATATAGGTCGCGATGACATCTAGATCCAGCTAACTTGTTGCAAGGTGGAAATGTGGTTGACAGGCAGAACAAGAGAGACATGTTTTGGTAAATAATAATCAAGAGAACGATGGCAGTGATAGAGGAACCTCGTGTAACTACGACGAAAACAACCTTGATAGTCTTGCGGTGGTCTTTACTGCGACCAAAATCTTGGTTATTAGTGGATTTCTTGAACGTGCCAGTCGATGAGCAAGGATTGTAGAACCAGCTCGAGCAGCATCCGCCAAACCTCTACATCAAACCCTCGTACGCAACGAAGCTGCCTACTTCACTTGTTTGCATCAGGTTGGTCTTCGTTTACTGCAATTCGATTTTTAAATTTATGTTAGATGTCAGCCATTCATTTGTGAACGCTGTTTATGTGTCTCTGCCATGGTTGGACATGCCTGGCCCATTTATTCTCAGTATGTTTTAGGCTAGTTTAGTCCATTTTTGTTCAGTCCAGTTCAGTTTATTTACAATTTCTAGATTGACCAGAGAAAACTTGGGAAGCTGGAACAGGCTGCTGCTCATGACCTCGAGATGCTGTCCTCATGATTGCTTAAGCAAATAATGAGAACATGGAAGTGTTTCATATCATCATGATTTTCTGTCATGTTTTGCAGATTCTTGAGGATTATCCAATACCTCTACCACTCGGACCGATTGAAAAGTCCAATGCTCTCTTTTTGGCTGGGGATAGTCACTGCCTTTCAGCGGCATGGAGAAGGGTTTGTCCAAGGGGTAAAGATTGTGTACTTATACCTAAGTTAGTCACAGGTTTGAAAATCTGGCACCTGAGACCTGAAAGTGATTTTTATCCGAAAATTGCTTTCGAAAATACCATGAAAAGCATTCCAGATGTGTCCAAAGTGGTCATGCTATACGGAGAAATTGACTGTCGAGATGGGATAATAGGAGCAGTTGAGAAGGGCAAATATCAGGTACGAACACTTGCTATCACCAAGTCATGATCTTTGTTGAGTAAATCCTCTTGTGGAATCATTTTCGGGTGCATCCTTGTTACCATCAGGAGGATGCACGAAACACATTGAAACATCCACCCATCCAAATATGTAAAGATATATCCATGAATCATGGTGCATCGAATTCTTATATTTTCCTACAACTTCTCAATATCTTCTGATCTTACTTCTGAATTGTCCTTCGAAGAAACTAAGAGCTGTTTAAACGCCTTTCCAGGATATCGAGGAAGGAGTACAAGCCACTGTGGACTTGTATATAGATATTCTTCAAAAGCTTGTCACAGAGAGGAGGTTTGAGCTATTTGTGCATCCTATACCGCCAGTGCTTAATGAAACGAGGCCGTTAGTACAAACTTTTAATCGTATCCTTGAGCAAAGATTGCTCTTTTACAAGAAAGCTCATCCTGCAATTGGAGGCCGACTCCACTGGTTGGACTTCGTCGCGGATCTGCTTACTGTAGAAGGTTTACCCGTACCCTTTCCCTTGTTTTGTTAAAATGGGATTGATTCCGGAGAGGAAATGTGAATCGATAGTGATATTCATCCATACATCTTGTCGTCCCTGCTGGTAGTATGAAGGAAGAGTTTCAATTGGATGGTACACATTTGAGCCCAAACTACTATCATCTGCTACGTCGTGAAATTGCGAAGGTCTGTTAAGTTCACTTTAATGTAAGTGGTAACATGGAAGTGGAAGTTAATAGTTAGTCCAAGTTATCGATCCAAGTACCCTTGACGCCACGATAAATATGATGTGGTCATTTTCTCCTTCAACCGGGGACTGCCCAACTTTCAAGAAATGTACATTTCACAGAGCTTAGACACCAGACTTTGGTGACGGCCTCACAAATTGCCATGAAACTGCCAGTCGATTATTCCATAATTATTACAGTATATATAGTTTTTGGGATGGACATACACTGACAGCTCTCCCTTTCCGTCCTCAATGTATAGTGGATGGTACCGAAATACATTTCGTTTGCTGGACTTGCTAGTTCTTGTTAGCATCTACATGAAACAACTCATGGACCTCGGCCACTGTGAGGATGTTTTTGCACTACCATCAGCCTTGAAGTTGAGCATTTACACAGAGCAAGATCCTCGAGTTAGTGGATGGATCACGAGAGCGGATCGAAGGGTATTAGTTGGCAGCTACTGACGTTGTTCATCGGTTGTCAACAAGGTTGAACTTGAAGCTCTCTACAGTTCATGATTTAGATCTCTGTGAATGTTCGTCCGCGAGAGTCGTGGATAACGTTGTAACAGCTCGCTTGGCCCAGCATGTCTTGATGCTTAGATGAAGACATGGCTAAAAACCCTCACTTTGACATAGTAATAGCTCTTTTCTGTAAATGACTCTTGATTGATTGTATCGATATCATATTTTCAATTCGATTTTTCCATGGTCATGGTATGAAACACGTTACACCATAAATACGTAACACCAATCAATTGTTGACTATCCTTCGATCTTGTCTTTCGAATGCATTAGCATTGGATTTGATGATGTGCATGATAATGATGGAAGACAACGAATGCATGTGACGATGGTGTATGGCGATCTTCGTTAACTTTTTATGTGAGATTCAAATGAAACATTATATAGCAGTTCTGAGGAAAAAAAATGGACACGAACATATCAATTGTTTGTGAAGAATAAATCAAGCATGAAGTTTTTTAGCCTAAACATTGAGAACTGTGCATACGAAAACATCAATAATGGAAATGGGACAAAATGAAGCACTCAATTTATTGAAATGTTTTTTTAATACTTTACAAGTAGGAGTTCAAGTTTTATCAGAAGGATACGATGTTCATGTTTTTAGTTTTATATATATTTAAAAATATGTAGTCTCATTTATTGTAACTTTAAATGAAAGTAAATGCAATATTTTTTACATATTTTTTATTTTTTACCTTTTTTCGTTTGGGAATATTTTTTCACATTTGTTTATATATATATGATGATAAATTATAATGTTTTTGTATATTTGATTACACGAATGATTGAAAAGCATACTATTTGCAATTATAAATTCTAATATCACACATAGCTTCACAGTTCTAACGATCTCAAGATATACCAATGTTTTTCATTTGCAATATTTTGACAATCAAACATGATTGCCAACATTAAATTTTTCTTATTCATCGTCTCATAAAAAACGTCTTCTATATATAACAAGCCAGGTTGGATCTAGAATAAAATCTCACACTTCAAAACTTGTTGAAAAAATCCATGCAAAATTTTATTGCTGCAAAATATTTCACAAGTACAAGTCAGATTAGTCTTATATAAAAATCTATGGCTTCTTAGAAAAATACTTTAAAGATATTCTTCTAGTACAATAATTTTGAACATGCATATGAGCTTGGTAAAATGATTAATCTATTAAAAAAATTAATGAAACTCTTACTCAATTTGAAGTTGAATTAAAAAAATTATAATTTACTCACTGGTTCCTGTTTGGCAAGTTTCACTTTGACGAGTCTATCAAGCCATCTTCCAAGGACCGTATAATAGGCGCTCGAAAGAGAAGGAATGTTTTGTTAAATTTGGATATTAAATTGAATCTAGTATTATAAGATTCACATCTAAAATATAAAATCATATATCCAAATGCAATGCTTGCATGTCAAGGATACACTTTATGAAATTATAACATCGATAGATAAAAATTTAAAAAAACGTCAAGACGGGTAACATTGTTGCCCGTCGATATATAATTTACCGAAAAGATCAACATAAATGTATTTATTTGTCACACTTTCAATCTTACACTTTAAGATTTCTACTTGAATCATGTAAATACAAAACACTTAAATGACTGAAAACACTAAAGGCAAGATGTAAAGTGATTCACCCCCTTCGAATGGGCTACTTCCATCGAAAACATGCTGCACTTTACTTCTAGAAAATGTCCAGAAAAGACTCAATGAACAGTATGAAGGCCAATGTATTTATCCCTAGTCTAGACGATGATACTAGCTATAAATAGTTAGGATCTGATGTTACTCCTTAATTTGAGTTAACTTCAACAATCTTACTCTTAACTCATGTTAAGGAACAGTTACCTCTATAACATACATTATTATTCCGTGAGAAATTATGGACAGAAACCTAACACAAGTAACTTTCTTTACACAAGAGTTAACTAAAACCAAGTCGTACAATAACATGATAGAGTAATAACATAAAGAGTTAACTAAAATTTTTCTAACATAGAGGCAACATAAATCTCATAATCTATAAAATTATTCCTCGGGAAATTCTAGAATGTTACCTAGAATAAATATATAAAGAGACGATTGAAAATACTATGTTAGCAAATTTTACCTTTTCTTCCTATTCAGAATTTGCATAATAGCATAATGTCGTCCGAATTTTTTGAAAGTATCAACTTTGGTCAACGCATTAGTGGGATTGATTTTATTATCAATCTTGACTACCGCAGAACTTACCTAAATTAATACTGCCTAAATTAATAACTTGTGATAATTAATATGTGACGTCTAGTTTCAAGTCGGACTCCATACATTTATTAATAAACCTCCAAAAATTAATAATTAATGAACTAGTAATAATTTGCCAAAGTGATTATCAATATAAAAAATATTCGAGACCGTCTCTAAAGTAGAAACAATAGAAATCGTTCCTTGACTTACAGAAACGTTATGCGTTTTTTAAATCCCTTGATCAAGTCTGCTTGACTGAGCGATGAATTCTTCTTGTGGTTACAAAGAGGTATTAGAACCTCGTTGGTCATGTTCGTATTGGTGGATATCTTTGAAACTATTGTGTTGTGGTTTTGTTTGTGACTATAGTTGTGGTTGTGAATTGATCTTATCCCAGGTGAATGCCACGGGGTAAATATTACAAATGACAAAAAAAACGGAGAAATTTTTATTGATACTCTCTTCATTAATATGCTGTTTAATTAGGTGGCAGTCCAGGCTGTCCCTCTGGCTGATGGACTCGACGACGTTCAGGTGTGTGAGCACCACGCCCTTGCTCGCGCCCGAGGAGTAGAGCAGCAGCGCGGTGTCAGACTCGCGGATGAAGGGCGGCGACGCGCGGTCGGGGTCGGCCCGCAAAAGCTCAGACAGGCGGGCGACGGGGGCGGGGGCGCCCGCGACTTCGACTTGCGACGCGACGCCTAGAGCATCGAGGTCGTTCAGAATGGTCGGCAGGCCGAGCGGCGCGAGCTTGGCCGAGTGCTCGGGCACGGTGATGAGGAACGCGGCGCGACAGTCTTGCGCCTGGCGGCGCAGCTCGGGGATGCTGTTGACGGGGTTGGCCGTGGTGACCACGGCGCCGAGGAAGGACGAGGCGAAGAGCAGCACGGGCCAGTGGATGGAGTTGGGCATGCACAGCATGACCACGTCGCCCTGCTTCACGCCCTTGCGCGCCAGGCCCGACGCCACCGCCCGAACCCTGCGCTGCAGCTGCGCGTAGCTCACGCTGGCGCCCGTGGGGCTGTCGACCAGCGCCGTCCGCTGCGGATGCGGCTGCTGGAACAGGATGTACGTCACCATGTCGACGTTGCGCGGCGTCGGAATCGGGCGCAATAGGCTGTGGAAGATCCCGTCCCGGTACCCGCTCTTCTCGAACCCCATGGCGCCGACTCCTCTCGACTCCTTGCGCCCCCACCTGCCGACTTCGCTCTCCTCGACTTCACCCTCGCGCTGCGCTCATGGTCTCTCCGGCCGCTCGTCCTTCCTCGAGCGCATTCGATCCGGTCCAGGCGCCGGCCTTGCGCTGCGCTGCGCTTCCGTGCCCCTCGAGCTGAGGCGGTTCTCGAGGGCGGCGCTAAGGTCTGTTGGTGCTCGCGCCCCCGGTGGGGAGGGAGAGAATGCGGCGAGGAGGGAGGGAGTGAGGAGCGCGAGGTAGACGGGAGAAGTTTGGCTCTCTCTCTCTCTCTCGACGTGCGCCAGGGATCGAGAAATGAGGAGGGAGGTCTTTCATAGGGGCATGGAGCTGGGACCCCATGGGGCCAGACAAACGAGAGCTGGGCCCAACCAGGAGAGATCGACGTTGCGGCATGAGCAAATTCCCATGAGCATGGGCCGTGAAGTTGTTGACAGGCTTTCTTCGCTGCGGCATGAGCAAATTCGCCCACCATTCTCATTTCCACACGTTCCTCACGTTTGCTGCGATTTCCCATTCGCTAATGTGTTGTTGGCTACCTCGCGATACTGGCCTGAGACTGGGCCGTTCCCGCCCGCCGACGTCCAATCGAATCTGCTGTGAACATCCTCTACCCGTAGCTGCCAGCGCTGAAGGCCCTGTTTCAACGAGTGCATAGTTTTCTTCTCCTGCCGAGACAGAAGATACTGCAACAAAAGTCTTCCACATCTTATCGCTCACAGCTTCCTGTACAACTTGTAGAAGGGACTAGAATCCTGATGCGTTTGGGAATGGTGAGGGTTCTGCTTGCACACGATTTCTCGTGGGTGAATTCCACGTTAGAATGTGTCTGAAGTGACGCCAACTGTGCATGTTCACAATTGCACATACTTCAGTAGCACCGGTCAGACTGGCTCAAAAGTTGAGTTGTGCTCAGCCAGAAAGCTTTGGAGCATTTGAGTAGCTCGCTAGCTATCTACGTCCCTTCTCCTTCCTCAAAACTGGCAGGCGAGAAGCACCTTGGATTATCTTACGGCGACTTATTCTTATTTCCGAATCAGTGAGAAGAGCGGTGTTTGCATAAACTGTTTGCGGTGGAAAGTAGTTAGGATATGGCCATTTAGAGATGCCGCTGATGGCAAACACGTGCAGAGTACCTTGGCTCACAGACAATCATCCTGTTGATGACGTACTGAAGTGTCACGATAATTGCAGGCCCTCCCCGGGCTTGGGGCCCGGGCGGGCAGAAAGCCCTCCCGGGCAGACATCGCGTTCCCCCGAAAGTGGGGAGCCCTTAGTGACGAGGGTGGGCAAGCTGGAGGACAGTAGTGTAGTGGGTCGAGACAATCGATCGTCCTTTTCGCCATTAACTTCGCCCCCATATCCGCTGATGTTCGTCCACTAGCTTTACTTGGAATCTCCAGGACTCGATAAATGCCTGACCGATGGACCAGTTCTTGAGTGACTTTCATAAAATATATATAGATTTAGATATAGATGTTCACGGTAATGAATATCTTTCGCATGTGTTGTGTTTTTAGCCAATGTGGAATGGCGATTTGTATTCCATGCGTCTCCATTTCCACTTTGAGTCAGCCAGACTTATGAAAAGACATAAATTCACGAGACTGAAATTGAAGTACTTTGGAATTTGATTAAAAGTACAGTATTTGTAAAGTACACTTCGATCGCATGCATCCGTTCTAGATTCGGGTGATTGCGAAAGTACGTGGGAGGGTGAGAACAGAGTGATCGAAGTCATCTAGCAGAGTCATCAGGTAGCTTTTTCCACTACTATCGTCCAGATCCCGAATTTCTCTGAGTCGTCCGATGAATAAATAGCTCGCAAGCTGATTCGCGCAGAAAGAATGTACAGGTCCTACTGACGACAGCCGAGGGCGGCTCGAGCACCCCTCAGATGAAAAGAAGTATCAAAGCAAAACAAAACCCAAGGTGCAAAACTTTGTCCCACTGCGTGATCTAACTCATGGCTCTCGGTGGTCACCGAGGTTTCATGTCGCTGAGCTGGGTAGTCCGTAGTGCACCGCCGGACGACGACGAGGAGTAAAGCAGAGAACGATCTTCCCTTTCTCGCAGATCGCTGAGGCTGCTGAGCGTGGACTCATCATCGACATCCTGCAGCCACATGCGCTGTTCCTTCAGCTCCTTGACGATGTCGAACGCCACCCCCGAGTTGCCCGTCAGCATGTTCACGACTTGTGACATGCTGGGCCGCTTGTTCGGATCCTCCTGAACGCAAGCCAACGCCGTCTTCAGCACGGAAGTGATTTCGTCTCCCGGACTCTGTGCGAGCAATCCGCTCTCCGCCACATTCAGAAGCTTGTCCTCCATGTACAACCTCAAAGCCTGCAGCAGTTTGCAATGACGCCAGGAATGTAAAGGCGGTCGTCGAGCGCATCGAATCAAACTACGGAACGCAATGTGCGCTATTCCTAACCCCCAACCCCCCATCTGAAAAAGCTGCACGGACGAGAAAAGGTGATAGTGTTGCACAGATTCAAGGGCCTACCACGGTTCGTAGAGAGACGTCGTGCTCAGGCAGAGAGAAATTGATGCATCTCCTTCCGGACACGATCTCGAGAAGCAAAACGCCATAGCTGTACACGTCGAGCTTTTCGGTGAACATGCCGAGAGTCGCGTACTCCGGGGAGAAGTAACCCCTGCGTCATCACGCAGACGACAACCTGTTAGGCGCACTGGTGATGGAGACGAGTGCTTCACATCATGGTGACGAAGGCCCTGCACAACGATGGCTGCACATCAGCAGCTCCGGAGGAGGAAGGAAACTTACAGCGTGCCTCCGATGTGAGTGGCCATCTGCGTGGCGTCTTCGTTCACAGGCCGAGCGAGTCCGAAATCGGCAATCTTCGCATTCCAGTCCTTGTCGAGAAGAATGTTCTGCGGTTTGATGTCTCTGTCGAGCCCATCCAGCGTCACATGTGTCAGAGAAACTCTTTCTCGGAGAAACTTTGGACGGCACTCGAAGGTGCGCCTCCTGATCAGGAAAACCATGAACATGCGTGCGTGTACCAGAAGCAGGAGGAAGGAGTTTCTGACCTGTGTATGATCTTCGGCTGCAGTTCTTCGTGTAGATAAGAAAGACCACGAGCAATGCCCACGGCGATGTTCAACCGCTGCGTCCAAGTCAGGACGAAGGCTTTGTCCTTGCCTGCATTCGGAGATGTCGAGCGTTGGTTAGAAGGTGAGACTCGAACTTCAGACCTAGAAGTAGATGAGTGTCAAGACAATTCGAGATGGATTTGCAAAAAGAACAAGGTGCGGAGACTTTGGACATGATTTGTCCGAGGACCTTGAGGTGGACCTAGTTTCTCCATATCCAAGCGACTCATGACTGTAGATTAGAACAATCTCCTCGGCAGCTTTCGGAACCTGTTGAGGAACATGAGAAACGCTCAATGGCCGGAGAAGAACGTACCCCACAAGGCCTCGGCCAGGTTATTGTTTTCTGCGTACTCGTATACCAACATCCGCTGCTTGTCTCTCACACAACATCCTTTGAGCTGAACGAGATGTCGGTGTTTGATTCCTGTGATGAGAACCATTTCCTTGAGAAAATCGGCCACGTTCTGCTCGGTTGCAAAAAGTCTCTTCACAGCAACGATGCTCCCGTCCGCTAGCTTAGCCTGCATGCTCCCAAAATGGTGCGTCGAGTGCGAGATATGCCATCAGCAACGACCAATTAGTGCAGGGAAGCTGAGGGCGATCCCGTAGTAGTTGTTGCATCTCTTCATCATGATAAACAAGCTCCAGGCTGTGCCAGTAGAAGATCAACTGACATATTAGAAGATTCTGATCAACATGAACAATCTTTCAAGGCCATGCATACCTTGTACACAGCACCGAATGCACCTTTGCCCAGCTCATTGCGTTTTGAAAAATCTCCTGTAGCCGCTTTGAGCTCCTCGTACTTGAAAAATGGTGGCCTCACGTCGTCTTTAGCTAGTGCTGCCAGGATGCGAACAGTTCCACATGTTAGATCCTAGGCAGGAAAAGCCCCAAACATAAGCTACATGTATTCGATCTTCCAAAGCCCAATTGAGACAGTTGCTTGTCAAACTGCTGGAATGCTGCCCTGCACCAACCTTCTTGTATCTGGCGGAGATCGAGCATCCGTTTCCACACTCTCCACATAAATACGAAAACTATGAAACCCATCAAGAGGACCAGAAGTCCACAGGCCACTCCGATAATTACAAGCGTTCTTGTACTCACACCATTCTTATCTGCAGCTGCACCAAACCATAACGCAATGCTGTGAATACAAATCGTATATCAGTTAGACCTCCATGAGTGCACTAAACGGCTCTCAAACATAATCAAAGATGTTACTTTTGGAAATCCTCTCAGATAATGTTCAAGCTTAAGGTTTACTTCGTGCTCTTACTGTCAGGCATCCAGAAGTCTTCTCGTTCATCTTCTCGACAGAGATATCTTTGGACCAATGAGGCATTACTTCCAATTTGTTCGCACCAAGGAGTTCCTCCAAGTCTGTCCGAGCAACAAAACAGTAAGTCCGGCAGATTTAGCTCATTCAGATTACGCACACACAATTCACGTCCATGTAAACGCTACACTCACTGGACATCGTTACAGCGCGCTTGTAACACGAGTGGTTGATGATATGCTAAGAGTATGATGTTCTTACAGAATGTGTCCTTGGTTTGGCAACATTTCCCACGATCGTCGATCTGAGTTATTCAAATTAACATGTGAAGGCAATATGACGTTCCTGATTGTGTTTCGGACCAACGACACCCGTTGTTCAAATTCATAGAACCTCTGCGCTTGGCCCCATGTTGTCAGGTTTATCTCGGTGAACTTGTTGTCGTCGAGAGCCCTGAAAACGGAGACACAACTTGATTTCAGATCAATGACGAAAGTATTCGAAGGCATGTCTCAGAGTTGTGGAGAGAGCTATAGAATATCATTTGATCCACTCTAAAAAGATCCAACATCCTTTCCGCTGCCAAACTGAAAACATCTTAGGAACAGATATAGGAATGACGAGTAGTTCATTCTTGAAGATAAAACCAGACCAAGTAGGATGTCTCGCTTCTGAATCACAGGTTCTGAGCACTTCCCTCACCAGCTTGGATAGGACAACTGTTCGTAACATACACATAAATGATATCATGCTGATCGAGCCTCCCTAATCGCGTGTGTGAATGTACATATATATATAAAAAAAAAACCTTCAACTTGGATCTACAATGTGATGGAAAATGGACCGAAATGATCACAAAGCTAATTACAAAGCTC